TCAAACCCCCACCCGCCCCGTGAAATTCGGCAGTGACTTGCCTGATTAGGAAACCAGGGCGCGCGTCAATGTGGCAGACAACAGCATATTCGGAGGCTTGGAGTGCTCATCTCATGGACAGGTGAGACGCAGCGCGGAACTCGTCATGACTGATGTGCGACGGCGACGACGGCGACGACGGCGAGCAAGCAAAAGCTGTCTCAACAAGTCGTTCGGGCCGATGACGACAAGCTACTTCGTACGTCGGCGCAAGATGGACGAGCCAAGGACGTCCGCAATCCGAACGCAGCACGTGGGACACCGTCAGCCCGCGGAAGGGGGGCAAAGGACGCTGCGTCCTGCTGGCCCTTACACAGCTCCGCTGCCCCGACTCCCTCCCTGTCTCGAAGTGTAATAATGACTTCGTACGGACACCCACAAACCAACCAACTACCCTAACAACGGGATGTTATTTCCAGCAGCCCCCTGTTGCTTCCCCGTGTTGCGTGGTTTGTTGGAAGTGAGCTGAGTCTGTGACTGGCAGTGCAAGCTGAGCCGAGCCGTCTTGTCCATCTTGTCGTTCATTGGGTTTGAGGTCGTGTGGTGAGACATAGACAGTACTCTTTTCCTTTTTGCGTGGCCGACATCCATACCCCAAGCCTGAGCTTCTCTTTCTTCTTTGATATCTGAAGTTACTCCGGGCCGGCCCGCGGACTACGTTCGGCGCTTCCTCCTTTCTTTTCGATTTGTTGTTTCCCAGTCTCGGTTTAAATACCGCCTCTATGTCAAATACATTTACACTAAGAATGTGAGTGTCGGCCCGCCTGCTTCAGGAGATATTTCGGCAGGATCATCATATTGCATTTAACATCGCACCACATTGTCCCGTGGCCGCACAGCATGAAGATACTACAATACAAGGGAGAGCAGGAAGGGTGACTGGTGCGGCAAACACACCCGGATGTTTGTTTGTACGCGGTAAGTTTGTGTGCATGTATGTCTAAGACAAGCCGGCCGGTGACGACGTCTGGTGATGGCGGCTAAATCGCTAAATCCAGATAACGGGGAGGAAGTGGACGGAATGAGCCGTGGCGTGGCGGGTTGTGAGACATCATGTTGTTCCCGCGGCTATGGCCGTGTTACCGGGCTTGCTTCCTTTCCTCCCAACAACCCCCACGAGCAAAAAGCACGGGACTTATATCTGCACTTTACGCCATGATTGAGGTAATACCGTGTGCTCCGGGAAAACAAGGGTTTTAGCTTAGCTCAAGATATCCACAGACTTCCCCGTGGGGGCATACTATCATGGTACCCTGTTCTACATGTACTATACAGTGGCCGAAGTGTCGGGTGAAAGTGTGACGAGCTGAGACCTTCGACGGCTCGGCGTTTCCATTCTACTGTACCGCAGTGTAGTTCCCGAGTGGTACCGTCCACACGGTGACCCCCCCCCCCCTTCCTCTTGTATACACTACGCTTCCGTTCATTGGATTGGATAGCCCCCATTCGACTTCTTGCCGTCTCGTTGATCGTTCCACAATCCCCCGTATGTCTCTCTTATATGTGCCGCATTGTGTCTTGCATGGTCTTCCCCTTGTGTAGTGTATTGTAGTCTAAGTGTATGTCCCCGTTGCGTTTCCCATGGGGATATTGTCCGTGTGTTTGTTGTCTTACTTACTCGCACGCCTTGCCTTGCCTCATGGCTCTTGGGGAGTTATGTTGTGACTTGGGTGTGGTAACTTTGGTTAGGTCTATCCTATTCTGTGTGTTCTGTACTCTGTGATGGATTGTGATGTACCCATGCTGTGCGCTCGTCGCCGGTTATCGGCAGATTGGCCCGATGCTTGTTACGGTTTTGCTTGCTGGGGTGAGACATGATGGGTTGATGTTTCGGGTATCAGAAGGTGAGAAGTCATTTTATTAATTTCTAACGAGCTGAATTGCCTCGCTCGGCGAACATAATGGTTTTCACGTGCCTACCTGAGTGATATGAAGGAGTCATTTACGGAATAGTTGCTACCCGTTATGGTTCAGTGTTGTAATCATTGAGATCAGACGGACGAGGGCCGTGACGGGAACGGGGGAAGTGTGACTTTGATGGGGGAAAAGGGGGGTAAACGGTCAATATAAAACCGGTTTGTAGATGGTGTAGTTTTAAGCGTGTTGCTTGGGCTTGGTCTAACATCTCCTTTCACTCTCATTTACACGCTTGACGCCTAGTGTAACAGGACCTGACGAAAAGCAAAGGAATACCCTGTAAGAGACGAGTGAATAGGCATGGCAGAATGTCGTGCACCGTGCAGTCGTGCACTCGTTAAGACTGACCGGCTGTATCTTGCCGCACATAGTAGATGCGGTGAAGGCCCGCGCATGGGTTGGGTAGCGTAGGGCGGGATGGACCCTGAACGAGTGGGTTATCTTTAGGCTGTTTTGACAGACGTGGGAGTCCTTCGTGCGCCGGCTGTACTCGTCGGGATAGGGGAATGCTCAGTCTCTTGGATCTCGAAGGGGGGTTCAGAATTAGACAAGCAGGTTCTCTGAGGATTGTGGCCATAAGGGCCAAAAGCCTGGACTAAATCCTCGTTTATACTTATCATCCGCAGGTTAGGATTGCCTTACCTCGATAGAACTTAGACAGATATGTTGACGCTGACGTTGCCTGTTTGTAACCTTTCAACACCGGGCTACAAGATTGAAGGCACACAGCAGTTCCTAAGAGGAAAATTGCCCGAGACGAGCCGGTTCCGTTATTACTCCCGGGTGTATGTTGTAAACGATTATCTTGCACAGTAAACTTGCTAACGTACATACCCCTAGGCTATCCATGCTAGTTTCAGTGGCATTTCACGAGGAATCGATCCCCTTGAGTTAGATACGTCTACCCCCTACTCGAGATAAACGAACCGATCAAGCAGAACGCAGGGTCTCAATATCAAAAATCACGCCCTCAATAAACTATTCGCAGGGCTGCAGAACCGGGAGTTGGCTAGCAAGCTGTGCTCCTCAGACAACTTACTGAAGACTTTAGCCATCGTGTGCAGCTCAATGATGTTCAGTTCCCGAGACCACTTCCGCTAGCGTACTTTAATGATATCGAGAAGATATTGCCGAGGCCCGCGAGATTCTCGCGGCTTAACAGCATGGATGTCGGGGTATAGATTTATATGTCATCCACTTCCCGGCAGTGCTCCACTGCCATTGTGGATAGTGACCGACCGGAGATCGGTAGGTTCCGCAATGCCGACGGTAATCCCGCAGAAAGCCGGACGTAACATCGGATTGCTCAATCGAGCGTGAATCGGCGCCGGTTGATGCGGTGAGTGGCCCTTATTGTTGGCATCCCGGCAGTACCGAGGCGGCTCTGTTCCGGCGAGCAACCGATAGGAAAAGATGTTCGCTTTTCCCGAGCTGCATACACGATTAATGTCAATATCGGACATTTTTTGCCAACAGGGGGGATATGCGTGGATACAGAGTAGGGTGGTGGTCCGCAAGCGATCAACATGAGTTTTTTCCGACCGTGACATGGGTGCCATATTATAATTCAGCGGAGCGAGGTTGAAGAACGGCCAACACCATCGGCCGGCAACTACAAATGTGACCGAGGCGACCAAAACAGCCACCCAGTGACCTGGTAGAGATTAATGAACCGGTGGCCCGGCTGTTACCGCCCGTCCTTTTATCTACCATTAGGCATGTTGCATCTGCAGGACCCGGAAGCGGGATGATGATTGTTTTGCGGTTTGTTGACCAGCGCACATTTATTAATCCAACACATCCCATCTACCCATGCTCGCCATGTAACACGGCATGTAACTGCACGGGCTATAGGTGATGTCTCATATACCCCGTCTGAGAGCTGAAGGTTTATTGCCTCCAGTTCCACAACAAACTTCCCGAGCCGTGATAATTAGCTAGTGGTGCGGCGGACAGCATGGCACGGGCACAAGCACGGGAACAGGCACGGTACTTTGACTCCTGTTCGGAAATCTCTCCGGCGTCTGAGCGGCCACGATCGGGACCCTCAGCCGAGCCCGGGCTTGTCTCATCGGTGAGCGAGCCGTCTGGATGACCGGCTCGGCCGGATAGCGGTTGGTCGGTTCTCAGATCATCCCTCGGGTCTTTCGGAAAGGCACATGCTGCTGTGATGCAACGCCTTCTCACCTAGGCGCTAAAGTATTTGTAATTCTCTTTTCTTTTTCTTCTTGTGGTTTCTAGACCACATGTTTTACACGAGGAGAGCCAAAACAAAATAGGAGAAAAAAAAACAAACAAAGGATCCGAAACATGATCTTCCTCGTCTCACCGGCCAGACGGCCGTCGCAGCCTGTTTTGGCTCCTTGTCAACCCACGCGACCCGGACCGACCGGGGCCGTGTAAGTCAGCACATACCACCCAGCGTCTGCCGCGGAAGTGGGGGCTTCTTCGGTCTCCATTTCCGGCGCAGTTTAGGGTCGACCAGGTCGGACTAGGGGGCCGCCAACACCCACCAAACAGAAACACTCGGGAGATCTGCACTAACACAACTCCATCATCCGCGCGGTGGGTGCACGATAAGAGGGTACGGTACCTACCACCTGAGTCACCACTTTTTAAGACAACGAGACACGGTTAACCTTGGAAGCGGCGACCAACCGAACCAACCTCTCGGCCCCCCGCGGTTGGTTTCGGGATGACCATCGAAGGCATGGCATGATTTACCCCACCCCGCGGAAAGCAATGGAACGAGAAGAGGGCAAGAGCGAGGGAAAAAAAGCGGGAAAGGTTGGTCATGGCCCCTTTAGTTAACGTTACCTGACCGTTGGTCGAATGCGCGAAATAATTCTGAGCGCAAATGCGTCAATTTTATACAACTTCCCTCTGAAGAATCGAAGTGCGCAAGTTGATCGAATCGAATCCAATATAGCACATACACCGAACCCGCCGCAGCCACGCGGCACCAGCATTAACAAGCGCGCGTGCGACTGGCAATCGGCACTCCCGTCCTCCACTGGGGTAAAAGAGGGCAAAAAAGAAAAGCCATGCGATCCTACAACGCAACCTCGCCGGCGGATTGGTCCGCTGCAGGAGCCTGGCACACCGTGCCGTGGTCACCGGTGCACGGTCTCCACGGCGTCGCAGCGGGCGCTACAGGGCCTGGAGCGGGCAATTCTAGCGGTTCAACCGGGGATTCGAGGGATTCTACCGACATCTCTAGTGCTGCTTTCGGGGGGCACAGCCCTGCAGCTTCGACGACTCCAAGCCAAGACGGCCCGGGATCACGATCGGGCACGACGTCCGCCGCGCCGTCAACTCCGACCTCGCCGACGTCTCCCACCTCGTTCACATCCACGGCGCCGACGGCCACGACAGCCCCGGACCTAGGTCCCAGCCCGATCGGCTGGCTCAAATCCGGCATCCCGTACCTCCCGCCCACCGACGCCCTCCAGCTCCACACCCTCGACGTCTGGGTTCCCAATCACGATAACACCAACGTACCGCCAGACCCTCTGTCTCCGTCCTCGCCTTCCGAAGCAGGAGGCACATGGATCGTCTACATCCACGGCGGCGCCTGGCGCGATCCTTTCATCACCTCGGCCTCCTTCGCCCCGGCCGCGGGCTATCTCCTTCACCATGCTGCTGAGCACGCCGCCGGAAGCGGGGCGCCACCTCCCCTAGCCGGTCTCGTGTCCATCAACTACCGCCTTTCACCGCACCCCTCGCACCCAGCACCCAGAGACCCTTCACGACAGGCCCGACACCCGGACCATATCGCCGACGTGCTCGCGGCGTTGTCATTTTTAGGACGAGTGTGTATTATCAAGGGCGGCGCGGTTAGTAGCGCTAGCGACGGACGAGACGACAACCGTGCGATTGGAGAAAAACTAGCACCCAGCAGCGAACCGGCCCCAGAAACAAACTGGATCCTCGCCGGCCACTCCTGCGGTGCCACCCTTGCCTTCCAAGCCGTCATGCACCCAGCCCGCTGGAAGCTTTCTTCCTCGTCTTCTTCCCACGTTCTACCACCCCCACGCGCGCTGGTGGGCTTCAACGGCCTATACGACCTCGCAGGCTTTGTCGCGGCGCCCCCGCTCGCATACGCCCACCTGCGCGACGCCTACCGCGAGTTTACCACGGCCGCGTTCGGCGGCGACGAGGACGGCTGGCGGGCAGTGTGCCCTGCGAGTGCGGGGGGTCAGTGGGTGCAGGAATGGGTGAGGGGCGGCGGGAAGCAGCAGCAGCAGCAGCAGCAAGAAGGGAAGAAGGCTGCTAAGAATAAATGGAGTCTCAAGGTTGTGGTTGAGTACCTGGTTAAGATGATATTGGGCGGTACCGGCAGCCAGAGAGACGGTAAGAAAGCCGCTGACAAGGAAACGAAGAAGGCGTCGTCGGCGGCCGTGGCAGTTACGAAGCCGCCAACCAAGAAATCCGTCGTGCTGGTTCAGTCCCGCGAGGATAGTCTTGTTCCTTGGGACCAGATCGATGCGATGCACGCCCGGCTCGCTGATGAGGGGGGTGTTAATGTCACTGTGGTTGAGTCTGATGGCGACCATGACGATGCGTGGAAAAAGGGGGGGCGGATGGCGGATATTTTGTGGGGGGTTGTGAGTGAGAAGGTTTAGGGGCATGAGCATATTTAGTTTTTTTGGGGCTTCATTGGGATGGGTTCATTGGAATGGGAGGTATCAATCTCAGCGTTTTGTTCCGTTTAGCGTAGCTTATTTTCCTCCCTCTTTTTTCTCTTTTTTTCCTTCTATTTTATTTCTTTCTCTTCTTCCTTTCCGCATCCTCATCTTTCAGTCTTCATTTGGGGACCGGGTTAGCATCAAGCATTTTGGGGCATTTTGGGACGCCGCAGTCGGTTTACAGGGCCAGCCGGATACATCAGACAAGCAGACGAACAGACAGACAGGCAGAAGAGGGACGGGCATACAGACAGACGGAGGGGGCAAACATGAACAGCAAGACACTTGGGGGTGCATGTTGTGTCCGATTTAATCACTTTCATCACTAATACACGAAACGTTTTATCTTCCCCGTTCCCGTTCCCTTTCTAATTAATACCGAACGAAGACTAAGGCAAGACCACGGGCTTTCGCGGTATATGACTTCCCCAAACCTGTCACTAGTTACAAGCAATGGGCGGGAGGCCCCTTTTGCATCATCACATTAAAAGATGTACACTACGGCACGAGCTGTGAGCTTGGCGGCTAGGAGTATACCCCAAGTTCTGCTATGCAGATAGACAGGTAGGTGGCTGTGGATCTAAGAGCTAATTATTTCATTAACAACCGACACCTACCTCACACACCTAAGGTAAAAGCAACATGTGTATGACTGATATCTTCTTTCCGAATAAGTTATACTATTAAAACCTATCCAATCCGCTGGCTCGAAGGGACCTTTTGTCCGATCGGGCAACACTAATCCAGAGTCAACCCTGAAAGTACTATCCTAATCCCAGTCTATACATACCCGTATGCTACTAGCCTGATGATGTGATGCTACCCCTTTCCTTATTCAACAATGCCCCTCTCGAGTATCCCAAAATATTTACACCCCCATTCACTCATCATCCCTTAACCCCGTCAAACCCCCCGCAAGCCCATGCATCCGTCTCCCCAGCAAGTCATCGGTACTCGCTAGCTTTACCAGAGACGAAGTATTCCCGTCCACCTTCTTGCTACCATCACCCTTTTGCACATCATCCTTGTACCGCGCCCGCTTTCCTTTACCCCCTTTCTGCTTCTTGCTTCTACTTGTAGTGGAGGAACTGGGCCTGGGCTGTGGTGCTTCGTAGGGGGTGGCATCGCCGTTATCGCCATCAGCGTCGTTGTTGAGGTTCTTGGCGCTCTCAGATGGGCCGGTCCCTGATGCTGATGTGGGTATCGCACCACTGAAAGATGCTACCTCCTTTCCTTTCCCGCTGTCACTAGCGCCCTTGAGCTTGCTCATTCCCATCTCCAAAAACTGGCCTTCATCTCCACTTGACTCGTGCCGGAAATGATACCTGGCGGTGGCCCCCGTCAGGTTTTGCTCAACACCCTCATCATCCCCCCCACCATTCCCATTCACGCCACTACCCGGGATCAAATCGCTCAATCTCCCCATCTGCCGCCCCCGAGTCGCCCACACCCGGTCCGACTCTTTCCTCTCCGCGTCGTTAAACAAATCCACCGCCCACTCGGCAGACTGCTCGAACAGTTGCCACGCTGGTTTGTACACGGTTGGGAACTGCAAAAACCCATGACTAACTCCAGGTAACAGCACCACCTCGGCCACGGCTTTCATATCATACCCCTCCGTCATGGCATCGCTATCGCGGTACTCGAGGCGCTGCCCGCCGCTGGCCATCACCGCGGCCTTAACCCGCCGTAGACGACCGGCCAAAATAACGGTGTCGTCGACGAGGGGGTCACGCTCGCCAGTGAGGAAGTAGGTTTTTGGGAATTTCGACAGTAAAACGTCTGGCGCCAGGATGGGCGAGAGGAGGTAGTCCTGGGAAAAGTCGGGCTGGTTGTGCCGTCCGACGTAAAGGATGATCATGGCGCGCATCATCTCGGGGGTCAATACGCGGTCGTTGAAGTACGAGATCATGGAGGATATAGCGAGACGAGTGTGCATCGGCTCAGGGCGGTGCGAAGCCCCAGGTTGTAGTGGGAGGTTGGTGTCTGTCGTGGCTGCCGCCGCTGTGCCCGCCGGTGCAGTGCTGTTGGTGGGGGCTCTTGTAGCCAAGGGGGATGGGGGCGCCGGCTGGACTTGGCTCCAGGTGGTTGGTCCCAGGTTCGCATACTCGGGTGCCGGGCTATGGATGTGCTGGTGTGTCGGACTCAAAAGGGCGGCGTCCTGAAACTCCTGGCTCTTTCCGTCGGCGCTCTCTTTGCGTGGCTGACAGCGGGCTTTGGATGACGACGCGGCGCTGTCGTCCTCCCCATCAGCTTCATCGTCGGACCCATATGGTGTCCCGACGAGGTTATCGTATTGCGAACGCTTGCGACGGACAATACTCTTATTCGTCGCCCTCATGCTGCGGTCCTTGATCAAACTCATCTGCTCGTCAGACATCCAACTACCAATGTTCATGTCAAGCGCTGGGTAGAACAGGATCAAGCCGTCAGGGACTGGAAGCTCCGTCTGGCCCTGGAAACGGCGCACCGGCGACGAGCCGCTCTCGATGATCATCAGCGTCGTCGACGTGGCCAACGTCCCGCCTGCGCTGTCACCCGTAATGACAACCTTGGGGACCACTTCACCGGATAGGCCGATGCACCGACCACGCGTCTTAATGATGGTGGTGTACACATCGTAGCACTCGTTAAGCGCGTAAGGATACGGATACTCCGGCGCCTTCTTGTAGTCCAGGCTCAACACGGGTCGCTTGGTCCTGCCGGCCCAGGCCAGCAGCTTGTCGTCATTGCACCGCGGGTCCATGGCCACGAAGCCGCCTCCGGGGATATCAAGAATAATTTGTGTGTGGTCCTTAAGCTGCGAGAGCGGCCCGTCAAAGTACAACCACCCCATAACCGGCTCTCGGTAATCGCTCGCGGACGGGCGCGGAATACGGATCTGACGCGGAGGCCACTTCGTGTATTGACGGCGGAGCAAGCCCTGGAAAAACCGCAGATAGGGCGACTCGCTGCCCTTGTTCCAACTGACGCGCATGTGGTCGATGTTGATGTTGCTGCGCACCTTACGCACCTTCTCGTCGGCCTGCTCAGCGGCGATCATGTAGAAACAAGAAAACACCATGCTCGCCAGGTCTCGCAGCGGCTTGTTCCGGATCTTCATGGCCGTCCAGAAGCCCGCATCGAGTGCCGTGAGCATCCACGTGGCGCGGAAGTAGTCGGCCTCGTACATGTTACTGAGAGGATCGGGGCTCGCGAGGCCGACGAGGGTGCTGAAGTTACGCGCGGCGTAAAGGTAGATCATGGTGATAACGACGGCCTGCCATGCCGTGAGCCGCTTCGAGAGCGCCCGCGACAACACGCGGACTAGGGGTGGACCATGTTTATTCCCCCTATCCAGGTTAGCTAGGCATACTACGGAAAGATGGGGGGCATGGATTATTCCACGTACTTGAACACATAGGCCGTCCAGATCCCCAGGACCACGAGGACCTGCAATCTGCGCGACTTGACAGACGGTCGCCCCAGCACATGGTCAATCATCTTGCGTTCAGCTCCAACACCACGCCCCGGATGATAGAGATGTTATTCGATCGATCCCGAGCACCGTGTTGCTAACCATTGACTCAATGGGAAGAGAAGCCAAGGATGTGCAAAGGGTACAACGATCGATCCCAAGTGGGTGGTCTCGTGACACCCGGGTCAGACAATACTCGGACTCAAACGGGCTGCGCCCCGTGCCATTAAAGGAGTGGCTTCCTTGTCTAAGAGAACAGACGGTGTTTAGGAAAGAAGAGAATAAGAGGTAAAATAAACCATCGAAGATGATAGAGATACGTTATTGATGGAATTAACTGAGGAAGGAGACACCCAATCGTCGGGTGACCTGAAACGCCGCTGTTGGACGACAAAGAGAAGGAGAGACCAACCGCACTAGGGTCGATGAATCTTGGGAATCAACAAGACGGGAGACTATTTCGAATAGCAAGAAAATACACCCGGATCACACGGTAACAAACGTAGGTAACGTTAGCTTTTTCTTCCATGTCTGTGTGCCCCCATGCGCTCTAACTTGACACAAGGGCACGAATCATGGCGTCACGGGGGCGGCAACACTTGACATGTGAAGGTGGAAGCACCCGCTGTAGGGAATTGTCTAGAAACGGAATGCGGTGGGTTGCTGCTCCAGTGCCCGCCTTGCATTTGGCAATTGCGCCGGGAAGGAGCGTGGGGTGGTTGGTGGGGTGGTCCGCTGGGACTGCGGGGTGCTGCTGCTTGTTTTCAGAAGGCTGGCACTCTGAGCATGTGAAAGAAAGCGCAGGTCGAATCGAATCACGTCCAAATTGAACCACCCTCCATTGGCTGGCATTTGTTTGTCGGGGACTTTTTTTCGGTCCGTGGTCAGCAGACGCATCAAGCGGGTGAAACTGGGCTTTCTGTGAGACGTGAAGATGCGAGTAGTTGAACTTGGGGAAGAGTGTCCAATAGTATATTTCCCGCTTCAAGCGGAAGGACAGGTGTGGAGGAACCGTCATGTGTTCCGGCTGCGATGTGCGGCATTGACCTCACCAACGTGAAACGAAACGGTTGAACAAGTCCCTGACGGTCGCTCTATGCGGTCCAACCAAGATTCAGTCGTTGCAAGATTAAAGCTTCATTAAGGGACCGACTGCTCGACGCAACTACACGTAATTGGTTACATGTCAGGATAGCCTTTGTGCTATGATCTAAACCTCAATACAATCCCTTCTCCGTGGCTCGACAAACGCCGGGCACACAGCGAAAAGAGGTCCAGATTCTGGATTATGACAGCAAAAATTGCGACCGGAACGGCCCCGAAGGACAATTCATGACGGCTAGCACCACGATGTGCAATGCAGGCTCTCCGCCATACGGCGCGGTTTTCATGATCTCCGCGCAGTCAATCAAGGTAAGTATGAAGAAAAAAAAGGGAAAAGAAGAGAGCAAGAATTTGGGAGCGGGTGCAAAAATTTATAGGCGAGGGGAGTGGTCTGTGCGTGTGGGCTGATTTGGGCTGATTTGGGCTGTGGCCCGTGTGCCTCTCATTTCAGGGTTGGGGTTGTTGATTTTCGAATAAACAACCAATTTACCAAACGTTAACCTGCTCTCACTCCATCACGACCGCAACCTCCGAAGCGGGACCTGAAGATACTTCTCCAAAATACTCATCAAATAGCCGGTCTAAGTTTACTATGTACAACCCGACTGAATTGACCTCCCACCGCAACCCTCACATTCATCACCCCTCGTCCCTCGTCACTTGCCCCCTCACTCTTCACAATAATCCACTGTCGTCGTAACCGTCACCGTCGGCGCCGGAGCGGTCGTTACCGACCCCGTCAGCCCAAAGCACGAGCACGCCGAAATGTACTCAGCCGCATCCACACAATTCTCCGCATAATCCGGGATCGCGGTCGGCACGACAGTCACCTGCCTGTTCTCGAGGAGATTACGCTTGGGGTGGGCGTGGGTTGGAGTCGGTGGGGGGTTCTCGACTGTTACTGTGACGGTTCTGGGGAGGGGTGAGATGGTGTCATGATGATTATGGTTGTGTTGAAGCATTGGGGCATGAAAGAGAAGTAGGTGGGAGGACTCACGATGCTGCGGGTGTGACGGTGATCAGCAAGAAGCTGGCGCAGTGCGAGGAGCGCTCGGTCAGCGGGAGCAGGCCCGGCCGAGTGCCGGTGACCGCGCGGTTGCAGTTGTTGCCGGCGCAGTGGCGGGGCTCGACAACGGCTGCGGCTGCGAGGCCGGCGAGGAAGGGGAGGACGGTGATGAACTTCATGGTTGTGGGTGAGTGGGTGAGTAGGTACGACGTTCACGGGAGGCAGAAGGTAGCTCAGAAGTTCAGATGAGAGGTAAGCTGGTTCTTGGTCCGTCTTATATCTCTCTCGTTCGGTCCACCTCTCCGCATTCTGGGCACGATAACCCGCCAGTTCGCATGATCGTAGCGCCACAGGCCCGCCTAACAAGCAGTGAAGCGGCGCTGGCGCTGTTCTTTCTCGTCCGCTTCCGGCTATCGGCGCTGACGCAGCGGGCGCCTCCGAGCTAGAACAACCACATCCTGAGCGCAAGCCAAGACTCAGGAACCAAGTGCCAGGAACCAGGAACCGGGTCCACGCGAGAGTAGCGGCCTTTGCGGTTGGACGTTCTACTTCGAGGCTTCGAGCTAGAAGCCTCGGCCGACGCAGTGTTACGCTGAGGCTGGCCTGGGCAAGGCCCTGAGCTAAACCTAATTGCTCTCCCGGAAGAGCCCGCATCGAGATGGTTCGTGGTTCCGGGCTTGGTGTGAGGTTTGGTTGTGGGCCAAGGGCTTTTGTGAGTGGATGTTTGCCTACGGGCTTTGCCGTGTGCTTGAGCCTCCGACCATGATCTGTTCTCTTCGGTGTTTGTTGTGTTTGCTCTCTCCCTGCTGTTTGTGGCAGCGCAGATATGTAGACCGTCAAGCAAACTACCGTAGATTCGAACTACTTAGTGTAGTACAGTTCTGTAAAAGTGCTACACTAAAAAAAGACCCTGGCGATCAATCCGCCCTGTGCCTGTCGATCACTTGCAAAAGTTACTGCAACCCATCTTCACCAACCTCTTCTCTCATCCTCAGCCGCATTCTTCCGCTTGGTTGACCACGCCGCGCTCCGTTGCGGGGTAAACTCACGCTAGTACCTGCGGACATACAATCGATTGGTTTGATCCGCTAGCCCAAGACGAAAAGAGAAACCCTTTGTCGTCCTCTCGGTGTGCAGGGCCCGTTCCTCCGTCTTTCGAGAAGGTCGAAAGACAAAAGCGACTGCACCTCGGAGGAATGAGCCTACAGCTTCCTGTTGTGTTCTGGAACTCAAAATCCGGGGTGAAGCGCACGAGAGGGGACAGCCACCCAAGATCGTTGATCCTTCGGTACCGATTCCTATGGGCGGTCTAGAATCTGACCCTGCCCGGGTGACGCGGACCGACGGGCTGAGCTACGCATCCTCGGACTGTGTCTAAGCTCTCAAGAGCATTTTCGTTGATTTTCGTATTGTATCCGTACAGTACACGATATTCCGAAGCCCTAATTAGCCTCAACGATTCACTCAACCCTAAATAATATAAAAAATATCCCAACCTCCTCAAGAAAAAGAGCCAAAACACCAAACTTTAGCAAGCGGCCCAAATCCAAAATTCTTCACCGACCCCATCAGCCGGAGCCATTCCCCGGGTTCCCTCCCTCTCCAACCTCACTTCTCCCAATCGGGAACCGACTCCGTTAACCCCTCAGGTCAATTATCCGCAGCCAAGACACGGGAAGAAGCGGCTGGTGAAAGTTGCTCTTTACTGTGTACACCACAGTTGCGCTCTCTTCTCCGCCCCCAACCGTACTGTCACTCAGTAACTGCTCAAAATAGAAGCACCTGGCAAAACATTCCAAATCTCCATGGACACTAACAATTTCATGGTATCGTAACCGTAACCACCGCGTTCTGGGTGACATCAACAGCGACGCTAAGCATAACGACAGAAACACTAAAAGTATACAAAAATACACAAGTAAACACAGTCGATCAACTAATTCGTGTTCTGTACCTATCCCACAACCTATCAGCGTGCGAGCAAAGCAGGGTATCCGAAGCCGTTTGACACACTCATAAAGCCAAAAAAGAGAGAAGAAAAAATAGAAGGTAGAAGAAACAAACCGAAAATATCAAACAGAAACAAGGGAGAAAATAAACCGAGAAATAAATAAATAAGATGAAAACATGGGTACGAAAGCCTTGAAGCTAAAGACCAGATATCCCCTTCCCCATAACTTGTATACAACTAGCTCATATCGGCGGCCCATAATGCCCATGCATATGCCCAGGCATCTCAACCGTCTCGTCAAGCGATGCCAACGGCTGCCCCCCTCCCACTCCCGTCCCCTGATTTACTCCCAACCCCGTACCACTAGCCGCACTATCCGATCTACTCCTCCCTCCCCCTTCTACACCCCCAGCACCAGACAACTCCACAATCCCGCCCGACCCCGCCAACTCAGGTATCAACTGCCCTTGCCTCGCGCCCCCGTCCGCTGCTGCCCCAGGCGTCCTTACAGGCGTTGTCCCGCCCACAACCCCCCGCCCACCAGCAACAACAATACTCCCTCCCCTTCCAATCTGGCCCATAACAGGCGACTCGACAATCCCGCTTCCTATTAGCGGACTGCTTACCCCAGCCGCTCCACTACCTCCACCTCCAGCTCCTCCTTCACTCCCATCGGCGGATAGCTCACTCGTGTTACTCATCGATCGCCAGTGGGTATACGAGTAGCCCCTACGGCCGGTATTTCCGCCTCCGGCCCCCCCTCCCCCGACTGACGAGGCCGAGACCTCGCTGTTGCCGCGCATACGTGCCGGTTGCATCGCGCCGGGGAGGTTGTTGCTGTGGGTGTTGCGCGAAGAAGGGGGGATGTCAAAGTACCCGGCGGCCCCGCCATGTCCACCTACTGGTGGTGAATGGTATGGGTCCGGGCTGGCGTGGCGAGAGCGGGAGTGATGGCTGTCTGAGTTAGCACTTGCGGCCGCGGTTGCCGCTGCCGCGGCTGAGGGGGTTTCGGCGTCGGCTTCGGCGGGGCTGTAGAGGTTCGGGGAGGGTGTGTAGCCGAGGGAGCCGCCGCGGCCGCGGGCGGTGGAGTCGTAGCCGTGGCTGTGGTTGCGGCCGTGGCCGTGGCTGCGTTGGGAGGTGGCTTCGGTGCTGGTGACGCTGGGTTGGACCATGAGGGGGTCGACGCTCATGTCGTCCATGTCGGAGTGCAAGTGGCGGCCGTAGTGTTCCATTTGGGCTTGGTTTTGGGATCGGGTCTTCTTGCCGCTGGAGGAGCCGCGCTTGGAGTTTTCGACGATGGTCTCGACCTGCTTGAGACGGCGGATGATGAGAAAAGCGGCGACGACGACGACGATTAGGAGCACCACGACACCCCCGATGATGCCGCCAATGGCTCCACCGCTGAGCCCGCTGCTCGGCTCGCTGGAGCTGGAAGGGGTCGCTGCGGGCTCCTTGGGCACGCTTGTCAGGATGAACATAGCAGCGGCACCGGTTTCGCGATAGTCGGTGGGAATCGTTGGTGTGCTGACGGTGACGGTGGTCCGCGTCGTTGTCACGGTTTCTTTGCCCGACGTTGTTGTGATTGTCTGTACGATCGTCGAGGTCACCGGGTCTGTTGAGTAACAGGAGGCACCCGGACCGCAGGCTAGCCCGTTCCTGCAGCACCCATCCCCGGCCTCGCAGGTAAAGTAGTTGGTCGGGCAGTGTAGGTCCACGGGGGTCGCGCCGACAGCCGCGAGACAGCCTTGAGGGCCGTCACAGATGTAGTTGAGCGGGCAGCAGCCGGCTACACGCCACAGTTAGTCCATGTGTCACAATCACAATCAAATACTCGAAGTAGCGGGGTCACCCACGTTTTCCATTTACCGGTGCGCAGGCGTACCAATTTGCCCTTGTGCAGGCCGTCGTGATCCCGGCCGTCGTCGCATAGCATGAGTCGACCGCACAAGCATATTTCGACGGGCAACAACCGCCACTCAAAGAGGCGGGGCACTCGGTGTACTCAGTCGAACAAACATTCTCAGTGACTTGGCCCCCGCCATCCCGACCGAGGACCGCGCGCGCTGTCACGAGCGCCTTGGGAATCCGATGCACATGGTTCCATTCCCTCCCCACGTGCGTTGCCGATACATCCCTCGCTAGGAACGCTGAGAGGAGAAAAACGGCGCACGACGAACAGGACCAAATACTGTTGCGCATGGCGACGATGTCGCGAATCCTCGCGCGGGCTGGCGCCTCGTTCGCTGGTACGCGCTTCAAGATCAGATGCGCTGTCGTCAGCTTGTTGAGAGTACCGTACCGCTCGGCCGGGCAGGTTCAGCGCAATTGGATGAGCAGGGTTTGGGCGGGACGAGATGTGCAGGGGAATGCGCGGGGATCCGGCGGCGCGGGGCGGGAAGTCGTTTGTATAACGTGAACGTTCTTCGGGATGCCGGCGCAAACCCGTTTTCAAGTCTGGCGGTCCGAACTTGTCCTGTCGTCGAGTCGGTGAGGTCGTCCTTTGGGAGGGTGGATGGCGCTATCTCAGACACGACTAACTTGAGCTGGAATCGAGCAGGCGACAACCTTTTTGTTTGACGGGGCGGGGGCTGGGCTTGAGCTTGCAGGGCGCCACTCCCCTTCCGAGCGAAGACACGGCTTGTGAGAGGGGGGGTTGCAAGACGGAGTGATCGTAAGCTTCGCCAGGGTCTTACACACCGATACCACGCATACAGCCACCGGGCCCCACGACTCACTCCTACGGATACGGCTGATAAGTTAGACTTTGGTTTCGTCCGAACTGAGGACCCTGTGGCGCAAAGTCAAGCTCTTGTTTCCTTTCTGGAATGCGAGAGATTGGCCGTGATCTGACGAGGTGAACAAACAGAGACAAAGCCAGACAATCCCAGGCCAAGGATTCTTGAGACTCAATGGGGCAGGAGAGCGGGGTCTTCGCGCGAACTTCGGTCGTACAAAAGCTGACAGGGCCGGCTTCCTTCCCTTTTGAGCCTCCTCCACGACGACGAAAAGTTCGAAGGCAACGAAGTTCGCCGCCGTCCAAGCACTTTGAGCTATCCGGCCGACGAGCCTTGACAGAAACTGTTGGCACTATCGGGCTGGGTCAGCAACGCCGTGATTGGCCTATTTTCCGGGATCGCCATCGCTGGATGCGCCGAATGGCCGTCTCCCGTGAGGCTTCTGGGCATCCAGCACGAGCTGAGGGGTGGCTCAGCGTCGTGGCCCGTCCCCGTATTTTTTCCCTCGCTGCTCTCCTGCTGTGTCCTTTTGCTCGGGGCGGCGGAACCCTTGGACGGCCAGAGCAAGTCAGGTCGCCAATGGGAGGTGACATCGTGCTGTGGGCAAACAACCAACTGCAGCGGGAGGATGCCGGAGCGGGATCTTCGGCGGGGGCCAGCGCCCGTTGGGTATCATTTTTGGGTGATTCCTCCGGAAGAGACAGTCCCCGATCGGCACGGCATTGACTCCCGTCCGAAGCACGCCGGGCGCTCGAGAAGTGAGACCTCAAGACTCGCTCGGCGGACACGACACATGACCGTCTATCTTTTCGTTAGGTCTTTATGTCTTTACAGAATAAAATGGGGACGCCGTTGAATCTTCGAATGCATTGATGGACCCGGTCCCGACGTGGTCTCGTTTGCTGCGGCCGCTTGTCTTGTTTGCTTCCTCCGCGTGGAAGCTAGGATGCTTGAGGGGGGTGCTAATGCAAGGAGTGCGATGGTGCATGAGTTTGTCGAGATCTCATCGGTCCGATAAATACATACTGTGCGCAAGCAACAAATACTCAGCGCGTTTCATGTTTTGTTTTACGCTTCTGCGTTGAGGTTGGGCTGATGAGTGCGGCATGGGAGCTGCAAAACATCAAACACAGGGTGTTCAGCTCTTCCAGCCGTGCAGATGAAAAGCTGGGGAAGTTGCCGGTTTACCCGGAAACCGTGCGCCAGCCGGCTGCAGGTGACACCCGCAGCCGGCAGCCTGCGATCGACAGCAGCGGCTAGAAGGATGACTAAGTTTACTACTTTAACCCCAGCCCCAACCCCAACTCCCGCCAAGTACCATCATGGATCAAAAAAAGGGGTATCCAGTTCTATTGAGGAGTGCAGAGAGGATCGAAAGTCTTAAAGACAAGGGAAAAAGGAATGGAGACGACAAGATTACGCCTTCTTCTTCCCGATAGGACTCAGCTTCACCAGCTTCTCCATCTGCTCTGTCCACCGCCGCGCAAACTCCTCTTCCGTAAACCGCTTAGCCGACTGTCTTGCTCGCTGGCGGACAGCATATGGGTTGGGCAAGCTGAAAGCCTTCTCAAAGCCTTCCGCAAATTCGGCCGCTGTCGTTGCGTGGAAACCTGTGGGGGTATTGTCAGTACAGTATCGAAGAAACGGTGAGAAGTATAAAGCGCAAGTATGGAGCGGAATAAGCAGAAAGAACTCACCCGTCGGCTCCCCGTCCACGTCCACCACGATATCCAACTTCGGTCCACCGCTATCATGCACAACCGCCACCAGCCCAGCCGCTTGGTACTCAACCACCCCAATCCCAAAGTGCTCATTCCACATGCCATTTACGCCCACCGACGCCCGACGCAGCCACTCCAAAATCTCAGGCCACGACGCATCCAGGTGAAACTCAACGCGGTCGCGAATATGCAGTTCGTTGACCATCAACCGCAACTGGTAAACACGCTTCGAATCCTGGTCGTCGCGCACGCTGCCGACAAGCACGAGACGGGTGTTGTCGGTGACTGAAGGCGGGCGGGACTTGAGGAATTGGGCGAAGGATTCCAGGATGAGCTGGTGGTTCTTTTCCGGGCGGAACTGCGCAATGTACAGCACCACTTTTTCGCGGCGGGCTTCGCTGGCGGGGGACACTTCAACTTCGTGCTCCAGCTCACGGACAGCCACGGGCGGGTAGACAACGGCGATCGGGTGGGCGCCGTCAGAGGCTTTTGTCTTGCCTCCCTTGCGGAAGGGGGCCCAGAGACGTTGGATATGGCCCTGTGTCCAAGACGAGTTGGTCATGACCACATCTGCCGCGGCGCCTACACGAGAGTAGACCGCAGCAAAGGCACGCCAGTAAGTACGCTTTGCGGTCCCGCGGAGACCTGCGCCCTGGCCGGCGTTGAGACCGTTGCCAATGCTTTTGTTTGGGATCGGAGCCCCGATGTCGGCCGTGTCGAGGGAGTCTAGCATATCGGTAGAGATGGTCGGGTAGTGGACGTATGCGCCGGTGGGCACGGCGCGGCCAAAGAGGAAGCGTGCGAGGCCGAGTGCAAAGGCGTAGCCCATGGTGTCGATGAACATGTCTGGCACCAGTAGGGAGAAGGCGTCCCAGGCAAGCACAAGCGAGCCGAAGGACTGGCCGGCGAGGGTGAAGCGAGGCCATGTGGAGGCGAGCACCCAGTGGCGAGTGGAGAGGTAGAGGAAGTTGATGGTGGGTGGGTGCAAGTGGATGTTGAATCGGTTCTGGAACGGAGGGTAGAGTTAGCACATGTGGTCGGCAAAGAGGATTGGGCTAGTCCCAAAACCTGCCTTAACTCGGGATAGGATGGCGTCTTTTGTTACGCCGTGGTCCCCCGTGTAGACTACACACTTAGCCTTGGGCCAACGCTGCTGTGTTGCGCGGATCGCCGCCCAGAGAACGCGTTCTCCTCCGCCGCCGGCATTACTATTCCTTATGTCAGAACCTCGTCCAATGTCCGGTATGTAGGTACAACCACCAGCAAGACTCACCAGAACGGGTGAAAGAATCCGACAATTCCATCCCAATCACTATCCGCCGCCGTCTCCCCACCCTCCGCTACACCGTTCGTCTGCGTATCAAGCTTCTCCCACCCGCCATCCTCCCTGCTACCCCCCTCGCCACCGCTACTTGTACTTGTCCGCCTGCTTTCTGCGTACTTCTTCTCGTCGCTTTGTACCAGGTCGATGATATGGCTGCGGCGCCCGTCGGTCTTCTTGCGAAGGTACCAGCCGAGAACAGGCCCAGCAATGTGCCAGAGTATTGGTACCAGTAGAAGTGTGGCGAGCGGTGCGAGGCAGAGGATTGGGATGAGGACGTGCGAGACGAATTTCTCGGATGTGAACGGAAAGGTGTTGTTCTGGGGCATGGCACAGAGAGTGGCGCCGTCACCGGCGCCGCAGGTGTCGGCCATGGACCGGGAGGTTCCTGAGTCTGAGTCGGAAAGAGGGATAGTTTAGGCTGTCGTGGACGAGGTTCAAGTTCGGGGGATGTTCGATTGAGAGAGGAGAGGACGGTGAGTGGAGGTGCGAACACGGCTATTCTCAGGCGCAATCATAGGAACGAGGTGAGGAGAAAAAGGAGGGTTGGGTATTGGATCAACCTACTCAGTTGAACAAAAGATATACGACAATATACGACAAAAGGAACCTACCAGTAGGCACCGAGAAGCTCTCGACCAGAAAGCTGTCGGCGAGTTGCGGAGAGCTCAGGGCGCGAGCTTGGCGGACGTGGACAGCTGGTCAGAAGCACGGGACGCCCCACGTCATTTTGATTTGCAGGCCGCAGCGCATTGCCTCAGCGGCCCACTCCCACGTGGGCCACCATCCGTCAAGGATCTAGGCCTGGCAGAGCTGAAGTTGCCTGTTTCAATATCGACGCCCTGAACTCTTTTATGGCGTTTCCTACGGTTTCACTTCGTTCTTTTTATGTTTAATGCTGGCGAATTCCGCCATACTGCCAAATTCTCTCGAGCCACCGGCTTAGTCTTCTGATTAACCCATGTGAGCCCCGTTCCGCAAGACAACCTTAATCTTCCATCACTCTACAGCTACCAAAGTAGGTTCACAGTAATCCTACATAATTGTCCAACACAAAATCGCCCTCGCCTCGACCCGGATGAGTCACCTGCCGGTCCATCTCCGCAGTCTGGCCGTCGCCGTCCCATGAATGCAATCGGCAGCAAGCTCGGATGAGGTCAACAATGCGTACTCCATAGATTCAGGCCCTAACAAGCTGAGAGCCGGAGAGGATGCCCGGGATCAAACTCGGGTCGATTTCCCCTTTACTGTTCGACATTACCTCGGCTTGATTCATAGGGATAGGTTTGGTACCAGATAATGTTGAGTAGTGAAGAAAGCTTATTACAGTCCCGTTTCATTTTTATTCCCTTTGTTTACCTGCGAAACCCAGGCCCGTCACAGGGCGATTTCTAACATACCGCCCCAAGAGTTGGGGAAGGGCGTAGCATCCGCAACTTTGGCCACAGGTAGCTCTCAGTAGCTATTTCTTGAAGTAAGGAACATAGTCCTTAATCTAGCCGCTCGTGTGAAAAGGCCCTTTGTTTAACAATACTTTGTCCGGTACCCTACCTCGCTATGGCCAAAAAAAGCGGCAGACCAAGTCCCTAGATAACTTTGCTACAAAAGTGAAAAAAGACAAAAAGAAGACACCAAAAAAGAGTGAAAGAAGACAAAAAAGAATAAATCTAGAGAGTGACAAAAGACAGAAAAGAGTGAATCAATCAAAATTTACCAAGATTTGATTGAATGTTAATGGATTGGACTTGAGCTATCTGTTTGAGTGTGCCGCTTTTTTTGGCCACAGCGAGTGCCCCAAGAGTAGAATGGGCTGGGGAAGGGCCTAGCATTCGCAACGTTGGTTAGAGGTTGCTCTCAATAGTTGTTCCTCGTAGCAAGACAAGCAGGACTTAATCTAGCTCGTCGTCACAAAATGCCCTTTTGTTCAACAGTACTTGACCTGTAGCTTACACACTCAAAGGACTTGACATTTCGTACTGGTGGGGTGAGGTCGCTGGAAGAGATTAGATAAGCACCAACTGCAGCCGGCTTGCATTCACACATTCTCCACAGAACTCCAGTTATGCTGTTGAATTAGAAGCTCCCACTCACACAACAACACCAAGGGGCCAACACATACTCAATCGGCCCCGAAAATGGCCACACCCGCCATACGGTCACTCACCCGACTTCGGGCCAGCCACACTCGGCCCTCGCTCCTCTCACGAACGGCTCAAACCCCCTCCCGCCGAGTCACTCTCACCCTAACCCTCGCTCTTACCCGCAATTACCACCAAACACCAACCCGACCAACAACAACAACCCCCTTCAGAACCCTCCCCCTTCCCAACCCCAACCACCACGGCCACCAGCAAATCCGCCCCTTCTCCCTCTACCCCCTCATCGAAACAACCCTCTCCCTCTCCCACACAGCCCTCACCACCCTGCACACAGCAACCGGCACCCCCTGGTTCCTCACCATCCCCTTATTCTCCCTCGCCGTGTCCCTCTTCACTCGTCTACCAGCCATCATCTACTCCCGCCACACCCACCAACGTCTCCAGCGCATTCAGCCGCTCGCTAATGCCTGGCGGGCGCGTGTCACGCATGATTTACAGGGGGAGTTACGGCGGCAGCCGGATAAACCAACTGCTGCTACGACTATTACTACCGCGGGTAGTGGGGGACGGGGAAGGGGGCAGCAGTTGACGCCGAAGAGTTTTTACAACCATGCGCGAGCGGCCCAGTCGAAGCTGTACCGGCGGTGGGGGGTGCATACGTGGAGGGAGACTGGGATGAGGGTTGCGGCGGTGCCGTTTTGGTTGGTGGGGATTGAGTCGATTAGACGGATTTGTGGTGGGCCGAGGGGAGTGGTGGGGACGTTTCTTTTTGGGAGGGGAGAGGGGGTTGAGACGGTGGTTACGGAGGCTTTTACGGGGGGCGCCGGGACTGGGAGCGGGAGTGGGAGTGGGACGACTGGCACGGGGACGGGGACGGGAGAGATGATGTTGTCTGGGACGGGACCGGCGGGGGGAAGTGAGGTGATGACGACAACGGCCGGGGGCTGGGTAGATGGCTCGGTAACGGCCGCGAGTACATCAGCAGCCGACATCCAGCAAGCTGTAGTGGCGGCCTCATCGTCGTCATCGTCAGGCTACGCGGCAGACCCGACGCTAATGACGGGCGGGTGTCTCTGGTTCCCCGACCTGACGGCCGCCGACCCGCTACACATCCTCCCTCTGGCGCTCTCCGTCGTCTTCGTCCTCAACATCATGCCCAACACCATGAGCGGGATCCGACTCCTGTTTGGCGCGCGAGACCCCCAGAACCCGGGAACCTCGGACGCGGCCGTGCTTGACCCGGCAATGAAGTGGCGGCTGCGGTTGCAGAGGAGTTTGCTGATGGTGGGTATCGCCGTTGGCCCGCTCACGATGGATCTGCCGTGTGCGCTGCATTTGTATTGGATTACCTCGTCCTTGTCTGGTAACTTGCAGGCGCAGGTCATCTCCAAGCTGATGCCGTTGCCTAAGACGGTTCCGCCGGCGAAGATGCAGGAGCCGATATTTATTTCACCGACGAGGGAGAGTGTGGCGTTTGAGGAGGAGCGGGCAAGGCAGTGGGCGCAGGAAAAGCGGAATCGTCAATAGACGGGCTGGGTCGGTCAGGGTAACACAAGAGATGAATAAGAGCGATAAACGGTAGCATGCCTTGGACGGCTTAAGAGGCTCTAGGCCCAACTCCAAAACGCCTCCTCCGTTGTACAATAAAAGAAACAAAATGATACCATTATACCACCCGCCCGAACCACAGCACGCTCTCAAAAAAGCGACATCATCCCTGGATATATGAGAAACACGAACCGCAAACAAAAGAGACACACCAGCTAAGCCCCAACCCTTCTATTCCTCCCGCAAACCGATTAGCGTCCTCCTCCTCTACCCCAAAAACACCGCCAATAGAATAATCGTCAAGATCACCACCAAGATCACCAACAAACAGCAAGCTTTGCTCCGCGCATTCTTCTGGTACCGCGCGGCGCTCCGCAACTCACGATCAGCGCCCTGCGTATCATCACGCACCACCTCAACATTCCGCTCAATCGTGTCCAGCACCTCGCCCTGCTCCGTCACAATCTGCGCAACCTGCTGGAACAGCACGTTGAGGTCGCCCACACCCTGCTCAATGTTGCGGATCTCTTCCTCGCGCTCGATGATGAGCGCTTCTTGGAAGTCGACTTCGTCTTGCGGGGCGAGGCGGGTGAGTTCTTGTTGTTGGAGTTGCTGTGGTTGTCCGTGTTGGAGTTGCTGCTGCTGTTGGTACTGGGAGCCGCTGTCGAGGCCGGCACCGGCGGAATCGTCGTCTACGGCGGCGCGGGCGGCGGAGATGGAGGCTTTTTGTTTTTCGAGTGCTTGTCGCTGGAGGGACTGGAATTCGGAGAGCGAGGCTTGGAAGTCACGGGAGAGTTTTTGCTGGTTGTATTTTTGTTGGGGCTGTACCGTGCGTTAGTAACAATCCGCCTGAATCGTTCAGGGGGAAAACCCACCGTAGCATCCTCCCACGCCTGAATCTTCTTGACCCCCTCGCCAACATCCTTAAATGTGTTGCGCGACTCCTCAATCAGCTCGTGCACCCGCTCCCGCACCCGCGGCGTGTCCCGCCGTGTGCCCAAGTGGCCGACCTCTCCGCTTAGTCGCTGGTTGTTCCCGTTGAGCTTGAACAGCTTGTTGCTCAGCTCCTGGAATAGCCGCTGGAACTCGGGGTCGTCGCTGTAGCCTCCTGCCCCGGGACCGCCGGGCCCCCCGGGAGCTCCTCCTCGGCGACGCCCCGCTTCGAGGGACGAGAGTTGATCGAATGACATGGTTGGTCGTTTGGGTTGTGTGTTGGGTTCTTTTTTGCGAGCTAATGTACCTCAGCAAGACGACACTGGAATTTCAATGCTGTAGCGAGCGATGCGACAGGTGCGCGGGCCGTAGTCGTGGTTTTGACTGGAATCGGATTGACGATGGTTCGTTCGGTTGAGTTCAAGGTTTGGTGGAAGGCAACGAGGTTGGCGGATCCTGGGGCGTTCCTGTGACAGGTCCCAGCCGCAGCAGCCCCACAACGACGTAATGGGCCTCTCCACCAATCAGGGAGCTCTGCCCTGCGCACAAAAGCGGAACCCTTCCCCTTCGCGTCTCCCCTGGTCCCTTGCGTGGTTGCTCTGTGGATTTGTTGCATTGCTGGTGGGCTCCTCTCCCAACGACAGCTTTTTTATTTACAAACTGAACGAGGCGGGACAGCTCCAGGCTGCGAACATCCACCACCACCATCACCGAACGATTGACCGACCGGGGGATGTGCAGCAGAAATGGCGGCGGCTACAGTTAGGAGATCTCCGTATAAGGATTTCTTGCAACCCGCGTTGCAGCGGCGCTTTGCCACGGCGAGTTTGGGCGTGCTGGCCGTTACATACATTCAAGCGCTATTCTTGGCGAATTGGAGCTCTCGTACGATGCCGCCGAACAGCATTTTCCCGTCGTATTTGTGTTGGGATGAGCTGCTAACGTTATCTATTCGACTCTAGTATTTTGGTCCTGGTTCCCCCTCAGCGCAACCGGTTTCCGCGCGATCGCCCTGTTCTTCTGCGGCATCCTCATCATCATCCTTCGCATCTCACAGTACCACCCCGGGCTACGGACCTCCGACTCGGGCATTTCCACCTTCTTCCGCTATGCCCCGCGGCTCGAGACCGCCGAGACGATTGTCACATACACGCTGTCGGCCGTCATCTTCAGCTTCATCTACATTTGGTCGCTCTCGGAGGACTCCGGACTAGAGTTCATCACCTATTTCACGGCCGACCGGGCGCGGCTCAACGAGAAGCCGCTGTTTTTGATCTCGCACTTGGTGCTGCTGGGACTTTATCAAGGTTTCCTGCACCTCTTCTGCGATGTCGACCGGCTGTCGCTCGGTGTGGCTAAGCCGCAGAACGGAGAGAAGAAGGCTGAGGAAGGGGACGCGGCGATCCAGATGCGCCGGTTGAAGGAACAGCTGCCGGCAATCCTGGTGCGCACCGTCAACATCTCGTTGATTGGCCTGATTCTGAGCACCATTATCTACCCGCTCACGGTCCGCAGCGCGGTCTGGAAGACGAGCTTGGTGTTCTTGCGGCCGATCTACAACCTCCCGCGGAGCAATATGCTGCCGCCTACAGCACCTTTTGCTTTCTGGTTTTTGGTCCGCACCTTCTTGGTTAGCTTGCTGCTGACGTTTTCGTGGGCTGCCGCCAACACGGCATTTTCTCTGTTCCTGGTCAAGCACCCGCTCAAGAACGGGAAGCCCCTGACATCGGACTCCAAGGACCCGAACGGTAGTCTGTTGAACGGGTTGAAGAATAAGAAGCTCTCTATCAAGGTATGGACCGCGCTCCACTGGGAGACACCTCCGTTGGCTAACCTTGTCTAGTGTTTCGCGATGTGGGAGCTGGCGTTCATTGCCCGCGACTTTGCCGATCGCCGCAAGGCCATCTACGAAGACATCGACCGCAAAGACGGGCCGATGTGGTCTCAAGTCTACCAAATCTGCCTCGACACATTGAAGACCTTGGAAACCAGCATCGATGCCTACACTGCACCACCCCCACCACCTCCCACAGCAGCCGACGTAAAGGCCGAGCAACAAAAAGTCCGCACTACCGAGCCCCCACGTAACGAGGAGATTTTCCAACCCATCCCGCAACACAAGGGCCTGCGCAACCAAGTCGAGAAGGCCGTCCACCAAGTGGCCCTTGCCCCGGGCCAGACCTCGCAGTTGTCCCCAGCCGCGAAGAAAGCCGTCGAGTCGGCTAAGCACCAACTGCTTAAGATCCAAAAGGAGGCCACCGGCTCCGACGACCCGCAGGGCCTCTTCCAGGACTTCGCCCTCCGAGCCCTCCACTCCCCATTTGGCTGGCCCTTCCGACACCAATACCGCCGTCGCCTGGCCCACGCCGTCTTGGGAAGCCCCTACGGCGAACCCAGCCTGTATGTCAACGCGGCGTGTGCGCTGGCCGGGCTGACGGTCCATTCGCTGCGCGAGGACCGCTACGGGAACGTGCAGCGGGACGTAGCGACGCTGATTCGGGCGCTGACGGGGGTGACGAAGAAGCTGGAGGGGTTCCAGGCTGGATTGGCGACGCACTGGACGGATGTCGAAGCGGAACGGACGTGCCCGGAGGTGGAGGAGGTGCTGGCTGCGCTCAAGGATGGGCTGGCGAGGACGATTGAGGGGTTTGGGCCTTATGCGCGGGAATTGAGGCTGAGTTTGACGGATATGCGGCTCGCGAGGGAGGCTGCGGGCGTGGAAGAGGCGGAACAGGAGATGGAGGAGGTGGGGAGAGGGAGGTAGTAATTGGGAATGGGGATGGGTTGGTGTGTTATACGAATAGACGGGTTGGGATCATGGTGTATCATCGGTTGTGTGTACTAAAATGAAAGGATAATAATTATGACAAGGGATCACATGCATGCATAATAGGGAGGTCAAGAAACAGCCCCCAACCCTAACCCTTAACTTTTCATCCAAACAAAGACGGGATAGGCACAAGCTCCACCATCGCAGCTTCCCATTTTCAACTTCCGTAATCTCTCGACCATCACCAGCGATGACGCGAACTTGACTACTACAACCTCCAACGCGCAACCCGAGCTCGGCGCAGCCATGATCAACAACCGCCGCCATCGACCGACCGATTTGCGTCCTTGCGCGGCGTGGCCAGGGCGCATCGCGACGATTGCGCTCGCGTTTTCTGCAGCGAAGAAGTGAAAGCCATCGTCGCAGCGATTTCCGATTTCGCGATTTCGCGATTTAATACAATCAGAACCTCGCTATCACCCCGACGAACTGCCTTCGAGCCCCGATATACCAAACCCAACAATGCCCTCCACAACAACCCCCTCCCCCACCTCCCTCCTCTTCCTCATAACGTACAACATCCTCTACTACACCCTCTACCTAATCCTCTTCGCCTTCCTCGTCGTCACGCCCATCGACCTCATCCAACAAGGCGTGCACCACCGTCGAAACTATGACATACTCGTCGTCACCGTCGTCTACATCACTACTATCCTGGTAGTTGCCTTCATCTATGCGTCGCGTTTGTACATCAGTCGCTCGGTGCTGGCGTCCATCCCGAAGGCGTGGGTGCCTGTGGAAAAGGGGGATGTACCGCCTGATGTGAGGAGGATGATTGCGGAGGGGTTGGGGAAGAGTGCGGGTGTTGCTTGGGAGGCGAGGCCGAGGGTGCTGGTGCCTGCGGCCGCGGCAGCGGTGGGGGGTGTTGGGGGTGGTGGTGGTGCGACGGGGAGTGGAGGGTCGGTGGGCACGGCGGTGGGTGGTGAGGCTGGGAGGGATACGAGGCCGGGGACGACATGGTTGGGTGTGTCGGAGTCGGCGCCGGGGACTGCGATAGTGTCGGGCGCTTTGCCGCTGGGGTCGAGGAGGAGTGTTGTTGTGGCGCCGGCATCAGCACCAACGGGTGCGCTTTCAGCACCGGCGCATGAGGCGGCGAAAGAAGCCGGGCATAGCAACGGTGGTGATGGTGATGGGGCGGTGGTTACGCTACAGCAGGCCACCCCTAACAAACCACCGGTCTGGGGCAAGATTGAGCACCCCGGCTGGGCATCGCCCATGTCTCTGGACCTACCCAACCTGCAGTACGACACCGTGGTGGCCGAGCTGCCGAACCTGATCGAGGCCAAGGCTATCACCCTCGCTCCGCCAGACGCAGACGCACAATCCCTCCACCCGGATACGCAGACCGCCGACCCGCCCGCGCTCGACCCCGACGCCGTCGCTCTGTTGCAGCGGCCCGAGTTCATGGACCTACGCGAATATCTGGGGTTCCTTACCGAGCTGGCCGTGCTAGCGCCGTTGCCGGCCACATCCGAGTTCTTGGTGCAGTACGAGGCCGCGCGTTACGCGGGCCGGCCGTTGTCGGAAGCGCAGTTTCGGGGGTTGATGCATTTGTTTGCGGATGTGCTGCACAACATGCACCCGCTCAGTCCGGCTGCGCTGGCGAGATACGCTGGGGGTGATGACTACGATGATGGTGATCATGGGGAAGTGGAGGACTACGACGGGGATAATAATAATAATAATAATAAGGGGAAGTCGAGATCATCAGAACTTCCACCATCAGAAAGCGACATCGACAACGACGCGCCACGCGGAACAAGCCCATCCAGCATGGGCACCCACCACGATCCCACAAGGTCCAAGGCCCCAAATAATAGTAGCCGACGACGACGCCAACGTCCAACACGGACCACCGGAACCACCCCCCATCTCCACCACCAATCCAGTTTCAGCACAACCCGCACCATCAGCAGCGGCGCCAGCACAAACAGCAGCACAGACGCCGACGGCACCAGCCAGCGACACCGACCATGGTCACACCACCACCACCACCACCCCATCCGTCCAGGCCTCAGCAAACGCACATCGTCAGGGACCACATCCAACTGGCAGTTCCGCACGGCACCGACGACGCCCAAGAGCCGGCACACGGCTTTCTCGGTGCGCACGTCTAGTTCGGTGGAGAGTTTTGCGCACACGAGGCGGCCGTATCCGGAGAGTTTGTACTCGGGTTCGGGGTCTGCTGGGGTTGGGCCTAGTGGTGCGCGCCCTGGTGGTGCAAGTCCGCGGTCGGTGAGTAGTGGGAGTGGGAGTGGGAGCGGTTCTGGTTCGGTGATTCGGTTGGCGAACCGGGAGGACGCGACGGATTTACCGTATGTGTTGACGTACACCTCTCCGGGTCCGTGAGGGTGTATTGGAGAGGGTGTATTGGAGAGGGATGCCGGAGTGGGTGTGGGGCAGTCTGTGGTGTTACCTGAGAGAGCTCGCTTATTTGTCTGGGAGCTGGGCTGCACGTCATACGCTAAGAGGAATGCTGCAGAATGGGATGCATCAGTTTCTCCTGCACTAGGAAAGGGAGTAATGATAGTATATAATACTTATCTTCAATAGACGGACGGATAGACGGATAGACTTTTCTATGATCCTGTACTCTGTATCCTATATCCTATAATTACATTCCCGTGCCTTAAACTCGGCTGAACTCAGTGGGCGTCCTGGTAGCCGTCTAAGATCCAAAACCAGCGCAAACATCACAGAAAACAGAACCACCGAAACGACATCCAGGCAGACATGCACGAAACAGCAACGCACGTAACGGCGCCGATCCTTCCCATCCCAACCACAAGAATGCGAAGAACCCCCAAAAAAGGAGTGATGTGCCGCCGTGAGCGCCGCGGATTGTTTCCTATCCATAAGGCTCTTGGCCAACATTGGGCCGGTGACATCATCGCCCGCATCCGGTTATCATTCCCCGATCGAGAAATAATCATCACACGGGAAACGAAACAAGATCCAAGGTGAAGACCCCGGCGGCCTGTTTGTCCGATGATTTGCATCGAGGCGATGACAGGTGTATCCTGGCGTGGATGAGGTCAATGTTGGATCTTGGGCTTGGAGGTTGGGATGGGGTGTGGTTGCTCAGGAAGGGGAGAAGAAGGGGGTTAGGAAGGGGGGGGATTCTTGTTATCTAGCTGTTCCCCAGCCCTATGAAAGATATTCTGTCCTGGAACCAAACCAACACTCGTTCGTTTCTTCATTGGTTTTTTTTCTCCCGTCTACTGCTTACACTACAACAACGTGGCAAGTAAGTAAAGTCTAGACACTCCGAACAGATCACCAGACCAAAAGACCCTTGCGTCTGGCGTCTTACTCTCTGCCTCACTCTCCGCCTCGTTCATCGCCTCGTTGATCATCCAATCGATCCACCACTTCGGTACTGATCGGGGAAAGGCATCTACTTATACCACATCTAGTACACGTCACACAACGGTAGCCACACAACCAAACAACAGACTCGTCACATTATACCCCGTCGTCTCGGACCCGGAGTCCTGGATATTTGAGCCTCATCGCTTAGCAAGCACAAACCGTCGTTTCACTCGCACCATCCGCCTTCTTTGAGCACAAAGGAGGCAGCTTCGTACGAACGCCGGTTACATACCTTACATACACCGGCGTACTCCCCGGCTTACGGCTCGTGTATCATCCCCTTGTTTCCCGCTTGCTGGGACGGTGCCACACGATTCGGCACTTACTCGTTAGTCGGGCAAAAGGCTGAGTCTTGGCTTTTGACTCCCCATCGAGATCGGGTGTGTATGAGAGCTGGTGCTTCGGAGTCGAGTTAGAGGTTCAAGGTCTTAAAAGCGGCCGTCTGACCCCCATCGGCCACTCACTCCCTGGCGTTTTCAACAACCACCATAAACATACCAGAGAACTTTGCCATGCCCCGCTACCACTCCGACTCCGATACCAACTCCGATACCGAGCACCATCCCCGTCGTCGTCGTTTTAGCACCCCAGGCCCTCCACCCACCACAACTGACCGCCACGCACACCCTCACCCACATTTTCCATACGAACCACATACCCTTTTCTACCCAGCTGAAGCCTCTGGCGCCGCCGGTCCCGGTCCAGGTCCAGGTCCCGGTCCCAGTAACCATCCCCGCCGTCTCCGACCCTCCGATCCTAGTCTCACCGACCCCACGGGTACTTCCACCACCACAGGTAGCAGTAACCCCAACAGTGGCGGTATCCAGCCCAGTATGATCGCCGACTCAGCCGTCCTCACCCGCGATCGTGACCGGGCCCGTCGCGGCCGGAGACCTCAGGCTGCTGCGTACCACCACAGCGGCGGCCGTCGTGCACGGGATGATTCCCTAGCTGACGACGACGACGACCTGTATGATGACGACGACGATACCTACAACTACGACGACACCAGCTATGCTCGGTCACTCTCCCGCTCTCGGTCACGCTCCCACGGCCGAAGGAATAACCGAAAGAAATCAACCTCCCGCTCCAAATCCCCGCATAAAATAACACACAAAGCCCGCGGCCTGATCTCATCCACCTTCACCCCGTCCACGTCAGGCTTGGGGGTTGGTGTGTTGGGGGCTATTGTGGGGGGTCTGGCGGCACGGGAGGCTAGTGAGGCTGTTGCTGGACATAACCACCACAGTCACGGCCACGATCACAGTCACAGACACGGCCACGGTCGAAGTCGCAGTCACGGAGGCCATAACCATCACCATACCCATGGAGACCACCACGGGCATCGACACAGCAGAAGCCGCAGCAAATCCAGAGAAGAAGGGAGCCACGCCCGGCTGATTTCAACAGTAGTAGGCGCAGCGGTGGGCGGGTTAGGGGCGAATGCGATTGAGAAGAGGATGGAGATGGGACGGAGGGGTGGAGAGGGGGATGGGCTTTGGTTTCGGGAAAGGGGTGGGGATATGTAGTTAGCAGTTTGTCTGTCTACCTCGTGTAGTGTATCTACTTAAGGACTGGAGTTGGGAAGGGAGTTGGAAAGGGGAGTTGGGAAGGGGAGTTAAGGGGGTTGTTGAGAATGGGAGTGATGGGTGGGTTTGGGTATGATGATGATGGAGTTGTGTGTTTTGTTTTGTGAGAATATGAAGATGGGTAATAGGGCAAACGGCTTGTCGCTTTTATGGCGTTTGAATCATTCATCCCTGATACGTGGGATACTTTCGATACGCGAGAATACACAGTTTCATCTCCTTACATCCACCGTACGTACATACAATTATACGTACAGTACCCACTTCGTTCGGTGAGTATTCTAAAGCCATATACAAAATGTGATGGTCAGTTCGTGATTGCACTCGCCGTGTCCACGCAGCGACCCTAAGTTTAAAAGCACCCTCACCATCGGTGCCGTGCCCCCTGGGACGTAGTATATACCACCCATTGCCCGTAACATAAGGACAAGAGCTTCCTCCACGTCTGGACTGTCCCACGGCACTAACATGGGCATAAATGCAGTGAGCAGGTTCTCATAACACCACAGAGATTATTCCGCGCATTTTCAGGCGTAACGGATACCTCATCGCCGTTGGATACGTCTAGCGCACTAGATTTCCGGAAACCCCGTTGGACGGAAGGGGGTAGGAGAGGGTCGTATAAGTAGAAGGTACACACTTCACAGTAAGCCGGATACCTAGGTAATATAGACTCGGGTAGGCAGATGATGCCGTTTCACGACTGTTTTCTGTATATTCCGAGGCTACGCCATGGCGGTTCACCCCTTATCAGGGTGCATACAGTCCGACGATAAATATACAGGAGCAGGAGGTCCCAAAAACACAGTAAAAAACCCTTCTAATGGGGCAACACACAAGACTAAGACACCAGTTCATTTCCAGTGCCGTAAATACAACAGCTCAAGCTATAATCTTACATGTTATCATGACACTAATAGCGCCCCCTAAACACCTCTTCCTCGCCCTATTGCATTCCTTTTAGTTACCTACCCGGGGCACAACCTGGAAACATTCCTCCTCTCAAGTTCCAATGTGACCAGACGCCGAGACAAGCCATCCTAGGTAGCCCAGGCCAACCCAGACCAGACCAACCAAACGCCGTAGTAACCCGTGAAACAAGCCAGTAATTGCTCTCTTGCGGAGGCGTGAAACGCCAGTCCATACCCTCCTCGTCAGTCATGTAATAACGTCCTGTGATCAGCTCGTGTTGTTGCGTTCGTGCGTCTGGCCATGTCGTGTCGTCCAGTTGTGTCGTCCAGCCATCTCGTTCAGTCATGTTTCTAGACCCGTTTGTTAACCCCCCGATATATCGAGACCGCCGAAGAAAGTCGCTTTCTCGGACCTCCATTTTCCCCCAAAGCCATGTGCGCCAATAAAATAAATACCCACCCATCCGTTGCTGTCCGAGTGAGAAAGTAAAGTCAAAGTCGAGACTCCGGGACTAAGCAGCGAAGACCGAGAAGAAGAGACTTCGAGAACGGGAAGGAGACGCCGAAACAAACAAACCCCTCCATCACTCCTCAACAGACTCGTACGCAGCCGGATCCATCCTACCCACCCCTGCACCACCCGAGTTCCCCCTCGGTCCATTGAGGCCATGACCGTGGCCACCGTGGCCACCACCATGACCAGTCGGGGCAGTGTTATGGTTGTGTCCGTGACCATGGCCGTGGACATAGCCGTCGCTATGAGTATGGCCACGAGCAGGACCATGAGTAGCGTGGCTGAGAGTGTGGGATTGGGTATGTCCCCACCATCCACCGTCTCCAGAGCGTTTCTGCTGGTGCTGCTGGTGACGAACCGGGTTACCATCAGGACTCTTGGTGTTGCTGTTGCTATGGCTGTGGCTGCTGTGTGTAGTAGGAGCGGTACACCCCGTATGGGTACCCGTGTTGGTGCCCGTGTTGGTGTGGGAGTAAGTACCGGTGTGACTGCCCGTTGAGTAACCCAGGGAGCCAGAGGCGGATATCGATGCGGTGTGTCCGGGAAGATGGTGAGCGTGTTGCTGCTGCTGCTGCTGCTGATGCATCGGGATACCCTGCTGCTGCTGGTGGTACTGCATTCCCTGTTGCATCGCCTGCTGTTGGGCCTGCTGTGCCTGCTGCTGGGCCTGTTGTGCCTGCTGCTGCTCAACAGCCTTCACCATGCGCCTCCTCTCCACCGCGGCCCGAAAAAACGCAATCATCTCCGCCATCTTGATCTGCTGCTCCTCCGGGCAGCCCAACACATGGAACAACCCACGCGCGTCTATCAATTGCTTGGCAATAACCGTATCCGGCTGGCAGAAGGTCCTCACACGCAGCGCGCGGGCCGTAGACCGCGCCGTGTCAAGCACCGCTAGAATAGCCGGGGCCGAGGCCGTGCCATTGTTGTTACTACCCGCGGTAGTGCCAGTAGCAGTATCGCCCATCCCATCCGCCGGATCCCCCACAAACGGCCTACCACAAAACATAAACTCATGCACATGCGCTTTCACCATATCCAGCTGCGTCTCAACATCATACCGGAACCCGAGCACGCGGGGCCGACCTTTACGCTGCCAGTCCTCAGCGACTTTCTTCAGGCGGTCGGCGCTGACACGTCCGGCGGCGAATTGTGCGGTCAGGTACTCGTTGAGGGCAGTCGCTAAGGCGAATTCGAGCTCGCAGTACAGGAGGCTTTGCTCGCGCGGGCTGAGGGAGATGGCAAGTTGGCGCGAGGCGGGGCGTTTATCTTTGGATTTGGCGTCTTTGGAGGATTTGTCCTTGGAGGTGTCTTTGTCGGAATCGCGCGATTTGCGCTGGGCGCGTTGGTCCGAGTTAGTTTCCATCTGGGTTGGGTAGGTGGGTTAGCTGATGATATCATACTGGATCATAACATGCTGGATCATGGTGATGCACAGAAAAGGGGTAAAAGTAAACAAACAAAACCTACCATCTCCTTAGCCTTCTTGACCAAGTTCCCCAAAAACCCCCCACCACCACGCGTCGGCGAGCTGTTCAGTCCCGCGCCGGTAGCGCCACCAGCACCCCCCATCGGGTCAGTCTTGGACGTGTTCTCCAACCAGCCGCCCTCGCCGATCAGCGTCTTGGACGCCTTCCGCACGGTTGGCATGTCCCGCGGTAAAAAGGGCGCAAGCGGGGTGTAGCCGATCTCTGCGCTGCCGGACAGGTCGTCGGGTGCGTCCAGCAGGTGTTGATTCTGGGACTGCTGAGACTGGTGCTGCATCTGCTGTTGCTGCGGTAGCTGAGCTTGTTTCTCAAGCACCGGCTGACGGACCGCCGTCGGGTAAGTCGGCGGCTGGTAATGATGCGGCTGGAGAAAGAGTTGATTATCATCCCCACCATTCTCCTTCTTCTGCTGCTGTTGTCCCTGTCCCTGGGACTTTCCATCGAGCAGCGCCTCCTGACTACGCGCCGAGTGTTTCCGCTCGGTGTACTCCTGCAGAATGCTCAGATGTCTCGGCTCATGCTCGTCTCTACAGTCTTTGTGGATGCGCAATGGGCTGATGTGCGAGGGATGGCGTTCTAAACCACCTCCACCGCCGCCGCCGTCGTCAAGGACGGGCGACTCCTGCGAGTAATACGACGATGTATCGTCGTAATCCAAAGTCGGGTATGCCTCGGGAGCGGGCTGACGCACCGGAGACGGAGCGCGTTCGACAACCGGCTTGTGCACGGCAATAGCAGGCTGCTTGCCGATGCGCAGTGCAGCCAGGCGGGCGTGGGCGCGGGCGATCTCGGTATCGATGGGAGCCAGGGATGGCTTGGGAGCAGCTGGGGCATGTCCGCGGCTGTTGTCGCTGTTGCCTCCTCCTCCCGAGCGGGTGGGGGTTTTATGGGTAGGCGGGGTGGTCCGGTGGGAGTGAGGGGTCTCGCGGGCCTTGTTGGGCGATACACTCCCGATCTGGACGCTGGATTGGTTCCGGTGGTGGCCGCGGCCTTGGATGGTGCGTTGACTCTCGGGGGTCTTGGTGAGGATTGATTTGATGGGCGAGCGAGAGCGCGCGCGGGCTGGGCTGGAGTCGGACTGGTGCATCTTTGCGGGCGATTGGGATCGCGATCGGGTGAGGTACGTGTCGGTCTCGCGATCTTTATCGCCGGAATTGCGGTCGGTTAGCTTCATCCTGCCTCGGGGAAGTGCAGGGACGTCGCCGTCCTCGGAGGACAGTCTATAAGAATCAATTAGTAAATAAATAGATCCCGTGTTGATAGTGCAAAGAGAAGAACATACACGGCAGCCAATTTCTCCATCTGCGAGTCCGTCAAGCTCAGCTTCAAATAAACGCTGCGAGGTTCCTCTTCGGGTCCGTCCGTCGACGAGCGTTCCTTTGACGACCTAGACTTGGATTTGGGTTTAGGCTTGGAAAGAGGAATAAAGTTGCCTTGGATCGGGTTGTGCGGGACACCCATAGCTTTGTGGGAAGAAGCCTCAGGTTCAGAGTTTTTTTGTTTACTTTCGTGTTCCTGCGGGCCGTGTTAGCAGCTTTTTCACACATACCCGGGCGGGCAAGCGCGTGAAGTTGAGCTCGGGCGACCAAGGCAGAGAGCATAAAGAGCTAGGGAACCCACAGCAAGAGGGGCCACATGCCCTGGAACAACGTCGGTCTCGGTGGTGAGGTTCTGAACCCACTCTGTAGTGCGGGATGCGTAGAATTCCTTCTCTGTGGTAATCGGTAAGAAACATGGGATGCTTTTGGGAGTTATGGCGAGGAACTTACGGATAGTCCGAAGTGACTTCTTCTCAGCGGTATCTAGGGCTGCAAGGACTGGGTCCGAGTCTGAAGTCAAGGGTAGGCATTATCCTAGGTCAGCTTCTCTATACTCATCTCATCTCTTGTTGTTGCCGATCTCAACAATAGCAACGGCCAACAATTGGTATCAAGCTGGACTCACCCTCCCGTTTCTCGCCTCCCTCGTTGACAGAGCTGCTACTCGACATCGATCTCAGAAGGAAAGGCCCAAGACGACTCGGAAGCTTCGTCGTCGTGTTGCCTTTGGTATCTCCTTTTTCGTCCTCGGACTTGAGTACCGCCGAAATTGTTGGTGTCTGGTCACGCCTGGATACGCCACTCAGTCCGGAGCCTTTTCTGATCCAATTCGAGCTGGATATGTCCCCTCCTCCTCCCATATCCATCAGAAAATCTAGACAGAAAGCACTTAGCATTAGTCCCGTGACATGATGGAGGAGACACTTAAAGTAATGCTTACCCGCAACCTCGTCAAACCTATGCTGATTTGGGTCCGAATCGCCAGTGGTGTTTCCCGAGACTGAGCCATCATCCCGATCAATACTGATCCCATCGTCACCATCCTCGCCGTTGTGCCCTTCGTTGCCCCCATCCCCGGCCTTGTCATCATTCATAAGCCCGCGCTGGGGCGAAACAGGAGACTTAGGGGGATGGATGCTGCCGCTGACCGTCACCAACAGAGCTCTGGTAGGCGGGGCAAGGACCAGATGTTGGGCCATGCAAATCTCGTGGCGGGAGCGGCGATGGTTGTCGTTGGTATTCCTCCCATCATCGTCGTCGGTGTTGCCGCCCCTGCGGTCCTCACTGTCCTCGATGCTGGTTTTGCTCTCCACATCGTCCTCGGCCGGTTGCCGGGGAACCGGAGTTGAATTCATAATGTATTTAGGAGGGGTTCGAAATGCGGTTGGTGCGAGTGGTTGGATAATTGCAGCAAAGGTAGTGGGAAGCAGAAAGAGAAATGTGTCTCGACATGCCACCGTTGGTGTTGAGCTCGAACTAGAGGTGTACAACAATGCTGGCCAATTTTTCCTCAATTGAGTCGTTGTCAGGCAACAATACCATTGAGGTTGCTATTGGCGTGAATGCCAGAAAATTTGGGTTGAATGCCGTCCCAAGGCACCCTCTTGCCTTCCATCGTGAGTACCCACATCGACAGCATCAGATGAGTTGACGGGGCTTGCCATGCGGCTCGCGCCATTGGCCGCTGTCGTGGTGTTCATGGTGGACGGAATATTGTAGTGAATGCTGGTATTGTAGCCCAATGCTGTGAGTAATTATTGTTGTTATTGTTAACTAGAGTGATAGGAGGTGGTGAGCACTTGGATCATGTCACTCACTCATGGTCTAGACTGGGGGTAGTGATTATACCACAGTTTTGGCCACAGCCTTTTCACTCTCATAGCCATTTTGACCGATTGATGGTACATGTTTAATACACTTTCCCTACAATGCCATTCCCTCTTTCATCACAGGAGTAAAGATTAAGAGATGACCATGAAGCAGCTTTGTGAAACGATGATACAGAAGGTGTCAAGCAGGCCAGACTATGGTTCTCCTCAGACTTGACATCCCGAGTTGGTAGTACGATTGCCGGAAACACAGGCAATAACTCGACAATTTGTTTGAGACGCTTTGGGGAAGCCAAGTTTGTCGTTTTCGGTACCGAACACGCTAGCCCCTGACACCCATCATCGGACATTATCAACGGCCAAGACACCATCGGATACTTTTTGTCGTCCTCTGCAGCCGGATCGTCCATCCCAGGTAGGTACGCATGTACACATGTGGACGGCGCTCTTTCTCGTCGCATTTCAAGTCTCGGGAGACCACGGCAGCAGCTGGACGGACACAACTTAGCTCAGCTGATCAGTGATCACCTCGCTCGTCCGACAAGGCCGAGGAAGCGAGCGGCGAGTCGTTGACAGCCTCGTCTCGCTCTGCGTGGGGGTCCGGGTCGCCTGCCGGAGGCTGGAGTTGAAACCCCCCACACGGCCCACACACTTTTGTCTTTGCTCCACCAGAAGAACCCTTTTTAGGAGTCGTGGGAGTGTCCTCGGCAGAGTTCCGGGCTTCCTCGCATTGCTTCTCAGCCAGTTTCGCGTTGACGAAAGACTTCTGGCACGTAGAACACCTCTTCCAACCTCTCTGGACGAGGGCACGTAGAACGGTACGGTTTGCAACCTCCTTTTCGATCCCTGATTCCGTCAGGAGCCACTGATAGGGGAGGCTCTTCCCTTCAAGCCCGTGCTCCCATATCAGCTTTTCAATCTTGTTGAGGTCTTCGTCATCTAGCTTCCTCTTCCGGCCGCGAGTCTCATCCACAAATGAGTTATTGTGGAAAGTCCTGGGGTAGTCACGCAGTATTTTGTACCCCGAGCTTCTACTTACGCCTGTGGCACGAAAGATGTCGTTTTTGTAAAAGGGACAGCCATAGTGAAGCTTTTGAAGCCGGGCGAACTCGTATGCCCCGTGGACCCTGGCTTTGGTAGGGGTTTGGTGGTGCTTGTAGCCCATTGTAGCGTGGCTGGTGGGCGGGTACACGATAGGCGGTTGGGTGGATGGAAGTTGTTTGAATGGGGGAGATTGTGATGGTGGGGCGGTTTTGCAGTGCTGTGTTTTTTTGTCGACCGCCTTGTTCGGCTAACAAAATCGGCAGGCTCGCAGGCCAGCCTTTCCCAAGGCGGCCACTTGCGGGTGCACGTGCTGGGGCGCTCTGGGGTTGGTGGGGTTTATCGACCCCCAGAAGCCAAACCTTCTGAAGAACATGCATGGAAGCCAGTAAAACCGGGCTGGCCCGCTGCGCTGTCGCTCCCAAGTCCAATCAGCCTGATCCATTTCCACCGTTGCTGGAGTCCACAGCATGCACTTTGTTTCTGCTCCAACTTTGCAATTCCCACTTCAATTCCCGACTCTCTCAGCCGTGCAACAACGGAGCCAGTCCCCACCCATGCCACAACGGCCCCGCCGGACTTCATTCCCGTGTCCAAGTCCCGACATCTCGATTGCCCCTCACTGCGATCCCCCCGGGCGGTGCACCGGACGGCTAGACGGGAAGATGAGAGAGGCAAAAGCTGACAAGGGCTGGAAAGTACAAGCTCCAATCTGGTGCAACACTGTGGATTACGGGGCTACGGGTAACAAGGCTACAGTTTGCGGTTATCGTTGCGGGAGATGATCTGTTCTCTCTCTGGCTCTCGTCTCTCGGCGCGCGCTTCCTGTTTCCCGCTTCCTCAGAGTCTCAAGGATCTCAAGGAGGAACTAGTATTCCGCACACTCACACAGACACGCCACACAACCCTCGGTCTTCTCGCGGTTGTCACATCGGCGGCGTCTCCTTTCCCTTGTCGTCTTGCCGAGCCCCATCCTCTCACAATTCGTGGATTGCCTGTTCCGGTATCATTCAACGCGAACTATCCACAAACCTCACTTCCCACTTACAATCGTCCTTTTCTCTCGCTCTCTCACCTCGGACCGAGTCAGCGAGCCCACATCTTTCCTCCTTGGATTCCTGGATGCTCCAATACTCGTTGCACAACACATCTTCCCGAGAGACTTGCCGTGTTATCTCATCTCAAGCACGTCTGATGACGAACTCGCGATGTGATTGATCGCTGCTCCGGTACCCTTCCCCATCGTTCCCGCCTGGCTATCCGCGTCTCGTTCCGGGGACCGGGGTTCAAATATAGTCCCCATCCGCCCTCTGCCTCTAAAACTATTGGAGCGGCAATTGCTTCTGCATTCTCTTGAGACTATATCCTCAGCTTCACGCTTCATCGAATCTTCTCTTCAGATACCTGATACATCTCCTGTTTGCTTCGCTCCTTGTTTTTTTTCCTGTTGTGTTGTTGTTTGAAGATACCCCTGGAAACATGGCCGCGCCTGCAGACAAACACCCCAGCCCAAGTCACTATGACATCGGTAAGACAGCCCAGACGCCCCCCTACCCAACCAACCACCACCCCTGACACAAAACTTGTACATAGTCATCGTCGGCGCCGGCCCCGTGGGCCTGATGCTGTCGACATGCCTGGCAAGATGGGGCTACAAGATCAAGCACATCGACAACCGCGCCGAGCCGACACCAACAGGTCGGGCCGACGGCATCCAGCCGCGCTCGCTCGATCTGCTGCGGAACATGGGTCTCAAATCCGCCATCATGGCCCACAAGCCCGCTCGCGTCTACGAAGTCGCCTTTTGGGACCCATCATCGTCATCGTCAGGGTCAGGTGAAGCCGGCCAGGGAAAGGGAAGAGGCATCGTCCGCACCGGCACTTGGGCCAGCTGTCCCGGCTTCATCGACGCTCGGTACCCCTTCACCACCCTCCTCCATCAGGGCCGAATCGAGCGCGTGTTTATTGCCGATCTGGGGAAGAGCGGGGTGACGATCCAGCGCCCCTGGACGATCTCGGGGTTTGCTTCTGATGAGAACGCCGACCCGAACTACCCCGTGACCGTCAACCTTGAACATGTCGACGGCACCGCCAAGGAGACGGTGAAGGCCAAGTATCTGTTTGGCGGGGAGGGCGCGCGGTCGTTTATCCGCAACCAGCTGGGCATTGGGATCAAGCATAAGGATCCAATTGCTCATGTCTGGGGCGTCATGGATGGTGTGGTTAAGACGGACTTTCCCGATATCAAGGTGCGATCTTTGAGATACCCAAGCGATCAGATTCACAGACCCTCTCAAAATAGACCACCAAGCTAACAACACCAGATGAAATGCACTATCCATTCCGAGCACGGGTCCATCATGGTCATCCCGCGCGAGGACAACATGGTGCGGCTTTACATCCAGATCGCCTCGTCTACCGACCCGGACTTTAGCCCCCGGAAGACTGCCACGGCCGAGCAGGTCCAAGCCTCGGCCAAGCGCATCCTGCAGCCCTACTCGATCGAGTGGGAGCGTGTTGAGTGGTACTCGGTCTATCCCATTGGCCAGGGCATCGCCGATAAGTACACTTTGGATCATCGTGTGTTTCTTGGCGGTGATGCCTGCCATACCCATAGCGTGAGTCTTCTTTTTAGTTTCTATGAGACGCCCACCAACAGGATACTGACCTCCCACAGCCCAAGGCCGGCCAGGGCATGAACACTGCCTTCCTCGACGCCCTTAACCTCGCCTGGAAGATCCACGCCGTCGAATCCGGCTTTGCCCGCCGGAGTCTGCTCGAGACCTACGAGACCGAGCGCAAGGAGGTAGCCGAGTCCCTCCTGGCATTCGACAACAAATACGCCCGCCTTTTCTCCCAGCGTCCTCCCGCCGCCAGCGAGGTAGCCGCCGCCTCTGCCCAAACTAACGGGGGTACCCCCGGTGCCAACAACGAAAGCAGCCACAAAGACAACGAGTTCGTCAACACCTTCAAGGAATCCTGTGCCTTCACCAGCGGCTACGGCGTCTCGTACCAGCCCAACGCCCTCAACTGGTCGCCCTCCCACCCGGCTCAATCCCACGTCATCCTACACCCCGATAGCACAGACGCCAAAGAACCCCGGAGAACAAGAACCAGACTCATCCCCGGCCGCCTCCTCCCCAACGCCGACGTCACCCGTGTAGTCGACGCCAACGTCGTCCACCTCGAACAGGAGATCCCATTAAACGGCTCCTTCAGGCTATTCATCTTCACCGGTGGACCGCTCACCTCAACAACCACAACAAGCAACCCCTCCCCCCGCCGCAACCGCCGCCACCGCGCCCTGCACGACCTCGCAGCCCACATGTCCCGGCGCAACTCCTTCTACGCCGCCTACTCCTACACCCACCACCCACAAACCCACCCCAACCCCCCTCTCACAACACCACAAGCCAAAAACAACACCAACCCAACAACCTCAACCCAAACGCAAACCACCACAACCCCCACCACCACCGTCACAACAACAACCACCACAGCAACCACCACGGACCCCGCGATAAGCCACCACGAGCAACACAACCCCCACTCCCGCTTCTTCACCCTCTGCACCGTCATCGCCGCGCCGCGCGCCGACATCGATATCGCGCGTGACCTGCCGCCGCTGATGGCAAGGTATCGCGAGCATGTGTATGCTGATGATCGGATTCTGCTTCTTCAGGGGCAGAGTCAAAGTCAGAGTCAGAGTCAGGGGCAAGGGCAGGGGCAGGGTCAGAGGACGAGGACGAGGAAACTAGGTGCGGCGCACGCCAAGATGGGGTTGGATGTACATATTGATGCCGCGGACGTCGAACAACAAGATGTTGGGAACAGCAATGCCGGGGATAGCAGCAGCAACGGCAGTAACGACAGTAACGGCGCGGTGGTGGTGGTCCGACCCGACGGGTATGTGGGGATTGTGGTGGCGCTGGAGGAAGGGAATGCCACGGGGGATGCGTTGGATGCGTATTTTGGGGCGTTTAGTAGTAAACCGTTGGGGGTTGGGGGGCAGGCGATGCTTTAGATTGGGGGGATGGTTCAAAGGCTGGGGGTGCTTTGGAAGCTTGATCTGTTGATCAATTTGATGGGACCATGATATGGGGGGAGAGGGGTGGAGTAATTAGCCATGAGTTGGTCAAAGGTGGTTTAGAGCCATGTACGCGATAAAGTACGGAAGATTATACATACATGAGGCGCCTAGACTTGTATCAACCTTTTTCTTGAAATAACCCAGGCAGGCCCTTTGCGTTGACACGATCCAATCGATTGTGCAAGTTTACAACACGGGGGGAAAAAAGTCATTGCTCCAAGGACAGGCGGGAAAGGTCCACCCCATATCTTATGCGTTGGGCAAGACAGCCTAGTTGACAGATACTCACTGAGCGTACCCATCTATTGTTATCAATGTACTCAAATCACAATCAAAAAAGCAAAAGTCGGAGAACAAGACAAAAGACGGCCAAGACGCGCTCACAAATATCTCAAGTTCCTCAGACACTAACTGTAACAAACAATCCCATCCCTTTCACGATGTCCTTTGCCCTAATTCCATGACTACCTATATGCCCTTCCCGACCCAATCCCAATCCAAGACGCCTGCTAAACCAAATACCCACCCGCGCTAATCCCTCACAAGAAAACTAGAACAAAAATTGAAGGATAACAGCGAAGAATAATAAAAGGGGTCCTCATCGTGGTTCCCAAACTCCGCGGTATCAATCCCAACCAGACATTCTGAGATAGCCGCCCCATCTTGATATTTGCGTCGTTTTGCTTCGCCAAGAAATTCCAATCAAGTGAAGACAGTCTTCATGAAAGTAAGTGCGAAAGGAGACAAAACAAGTAAGCAAAAAGAATGTAGATAACCCAAAAATAAGGTAAAAATAATGAAGCGATAGATGGGACACAAACCTCCCACCAAAACACAATCATAACCTGCGACATAGCGCAACAAAGTCACACCGTCTCATCCCACAGCCATCGCATCATCTCACCAAACCAAACCAACCCAAGTAAAAAAAGGAAAACTACTCCATAGGATGGTGCTGATTCGACCCCACCATCCCGCCCTCAAACAACCCCCCAAGGACCTCCCCAGGCAAAATCTCCAGCCAAGGCGGCATCATCGTGCTCGGCAAGCCCAGCATGTCGAAATTGACCTCCTGGCTGTTGAACGTGATGAAATCGTTGATAGGCGTCGGGCCCATGTAGGAGTACGACCCGGATACCAGACCGCTCTGCGCAAAGTCGGCTTCGTAGTCGCTGTGATTATTATTATGTGCGGTCATGTTGTTGTTGTTGTTGTTGTTGTTGTTGTTGTTGTTATTGGTGTTGTTTAGGGCAGCGGCGGAGTCGTGATTAGATGAGCCCTGGCCCTGAATGTGCTGCCCATGCTGGGCCATTTCGGATTCTGTAGAAGGGCTGGGATGCGAGCGTGTTTGGTCTAGGTTGTTGTATGCGGGTTGTATTGAAGCAGCGGGATGGTAAGAAGAATGGTGTGGTAGGTTTTGGTTCGATCGCGACCCGTAGGCTTGCGAGTTGGCGGTTTGCGCGTTGCCCACATCCAGATCCCCAGCAGGAGACGGCGACTCGAACTTGAGGGTTGACTTGCTTAGGGCAGGTGATTGGGAGACTCGGTGCACCCTGTGGGGATGAGGCTGGTAGCGCACAGCTGACACATTGGGCTGTAGATATGCGGGTGGGAACGCCGGGGGTGTCTCGGGGAGACTCTGCCGGATCGGGTCGTAAATCATGTTTCCTGGTGGCGTTGCGGCCGAGACTGGCACGGACGTTGGTTGTGATGGCACGGAGTGGGCGCCTGGCTGTCCATTGTGGTTGCCTTGGAAGAGGACCGTAAGGTTGGAGTTGGGCGAGTTTGTGGTTCCGGTGAGCGAGTATGCAATAGGAGGCACGTTCGGAGAAGCCGGATACTCGAACCGGGCCAGCTGGCTTAGTGGAGTTTGCTGTGCCATCTTCATAGCCTCATACTCTTCACTGGTAAACGTCTCACAATCCCATATGCCCTTCGACTTTTGATCCAAAGCCGTGAGGATGTACCCGACGCCGCCCCAGTACTGCTCAAGTTGCTGGAGTGACTTGTAGCAGCGCTGGTAGTTTTGGTTGGCGGCGGATGCCAGAAGTGAGTGTTTCACCGGGCGTGTGTCGCTGCTTGAGCCGTATTTTGCCACGGGCGGTGGCGGCTTAAATTGTTCAGCCCTGAAATCCGGGGTTGGCGATGGCTCATAGGAAGCAGGCTGGGACGTGTTGGCGACCGATTCCATGAGGAATGCGCATGCGGCAATGTAGATGGGCTGCGATGTAAATGGGTTTCCGATCAGACTTTTGGGGTCGATCAACTCGGCGAACGCCAGAATGTCGGCGATCGTCTTAGCGCTCGACATGGACAGTTCGCGGCTGTCTGGCAGCTCGGGGCTGTTCGTCAGCAGCTGAGCCGGGCTGAGGTTGTGGAAAGGCGTAAGTAGGGTAGGCTGGTGGAGGATGATGACGAGTGCGTGGAACCAGAAATGGAGCAACGTGAACATGGTGCCTTGCTCTGCTTTGACGTATTCCCGGAAGTTGACTGCGCTGAAGTGGAGGCGTTCATCTTGCTTCTGGTAGATCGCTGTGAGGTCCCTTTCCATAATCCTGAGCTTGTGCAATCTGTCCTCTGTCAAATCTTTGGCATTTCGGATGTTGTTGAGTACATCCGAGGCGCGGCCGTACAGGTGGATAATCTCGATGAAAGGCGGGAAAGGGTCGGGCCGGTGATATACGGGGTCGATGGTCGGTGGTGGTAGTGACAGCTCAAAGTCGCCGTCGCGGAACGTTACCGGTCGACCGGTCCCTGATGAGATGACACGATCCAGTATGAAAACAGACCAAAACGTATCAATCCGCTCCTGCTCTACTTTCTGCTGCTCCTCTGGGCCGAGGGTCTCCTCCTCGTGCTTGGAGTCGGGATCATCGAGGCCATCGGGGCCAAGGTCGGCCCGCGTCCGGTATCTTAAATACCAAGCGTCGTGCTCCCCTTGGTACTTGACGCCTTCCATTCTCTGGAGTCCAAGATCCACAGCCATGCGTATGGCAATGCCGAGATACATCCAGAGCGCGCTATCTTGATCGGCACCAAACCCTTCGTAGGCCATCAACAGACAGGCTTGGACAGCAGCAACCGAAGGGCAGGGAAAGGTATCGACGATGGCCGCCTTGGCTCGATGCGCAAAAACGTGGCCATATTCTGATCGTTTCAGGCTCTCGTCCTGGGTACTGGCAAATATAGGCAACTCGGAAAACCGTGCGGCTAAGGAGCAGACAGCATCAACAAGAATGGGTTCTATCCTCTTCTCCTTCAGCATCGCTAGGAAGCGGTCCCTGCGTAAAAATCGATAGTTGCAACCTAGTTGGGTAAAGAAGGTCTCAACAAGGGAAATTATCAGAGGGTGGACAGGGCCCGGGTTGTTAACGTCGTACGTGGGCAAGTCCTCGAGCGACTCGAGGATGGTATCGTGTTGCGGAGTGTGGTTGTAACGGAAGGTGTGTCCAAATAGGGACGATCCTGGCGAGGATGTTGAGAATGAGCTGCCTCGGCTCTTGTGCCTGCTGCCACGGTACACATTCACGACCATCTGTTTAAATCCAGGCACGATAGCAGTAGGGCCGAAATAGCGGAAGTAGGGCACCCGGCGGCGCTCGAGCGACGAGATAGGCGAGCGGTTATGGGTGCTCCGACTCTCCTCGGAGTACGAGCCGGTTCCGGCCAGGTTGGAGTGCCGCATCGCTTTCCCCGAACTCCGAGACCCGCTATCCTGATCCCACTCGCTCCCGGCTTCGTGTCGATGGTTCGGTGTGATGGTCGCGCTGGGTCGCAACTCGTGCTTCGGTAAGGCGTCCTGGTCGACGAATCCGGCCGTCTGCGGGGCAATCTTGTTCGCCCAGCGACGCCGGTCTCGGTCGTCGTCGTCCTCATCATTGTCCAAAAATTCATCGCGAGTGCCGTTTCTCAAATCTAATCCGTCATGAGACTCGCTCTTTAGAACCATATACCCATCGTCCCCACGGGGGTCCCTCCTCCTGTCCGCAATGTCCGTGTATCCCAAGCAAACATGCCCATTTCTCTTGCAGGTCGAGCAATCCGGCTTCTCACCAGCACATCGGGTCTTTCTCTTACGGCATGTCAAGCAGCTGACAAAAGGTCAGCACTAAGTTCGGCTGGAGCAACAACTACGTCCTGGTCTACCCGCCATGTCCGAGTGCGCCGCCGCAGAGGGGTGATGCGATAGGCAGTGCGGACAAGCTGCGATAAGGGTGCGCGAAACTTCGCAGAATTGCATACGGGGAAAGGAAAAGAAGAAAGGGAATTCAAAGCGAAAACAAACATACGCCGCATTAATCCTCCGTCTTTTCGACGGAGGCTGGCCTTGGTTGTTGACAAAGCGTATTTGCTTGGGCGCGGGCAGGGCTCCGGTGGTCGGGTTGGACATGTCGGGCGATCCTCATAGCAAGATCATGGTGAGCCGGTTGGTGTCGCTGAGGCGGACTTAAACGGTGTGAGCCCCGGGTAGCGAATGTTTGCGCTTTGTCGCGAGCTGCGAGTGTTCTGGCAAAAGGACACTGCGGTAAGTGTCGCTTTGTAACTTTTATTGTCCCTCGTTGAGGGGGATCACGATGTTGAACTAATGTGGGAACTGTGGGGGCTTGGCACCGCCCCTGCTGCGGTCTGAAGAAAGGCCCCAAGAAGGGTCAAGCGGTTGGAGTTAGTAATCAACAAGGCGCATAGCATGGTTGATCACAACGGAGACGGGACGTAAGAAGCACTGGTGGAAGTCATCTTGTTTTCCCAGTCTTGAGGAGGAGAGGAAGGCAATCGCAGGAGGCCAGCGATGGCCAAGTCAATGCGAATGTGGCAGGCAGTTCTGGGGTCCGTGAGGGATCAGCGATCCTTTTTTTGCGGAGCTTCGCTGGTGTTTCCAAGCGTCGCGTGCCGGTTGGCTGGGATTGGGTGGCCAGTGGTTGAACGCCGACGTCGTTTTGCTCAACGGTGTAAGTAACGTGTGGAGAGGCGCCCAGGGCCAGCAAAAGACGTTGTCAGAGTATTTCGTCCTCCTCAAGGGCGACAGGAGAGCCAAGAAAGAATAAGACCGAGGATCTCGGCGTTGGGGGGAGAAAATAAAACTGTGGGGGGCGAGACAAACAGGAAGCCGAATGTAAAAAGAGACCTCGGCGCAAAAGGATATGTGCCGGTCGCAGGTCGCAAGTCGCGATGCCTCGGATTGTTTAGCAAAGAGAAGTAAACATAGTGGCCTCATGGCTAGGGCCTGAAGCCCCTCCCCAATTGTTAAGCGTATCAAAACCCTGAGTGGCCTGTGTGCCGCTGGTGGAATTGGGCCAGGGCACGGAATCCTCATGTTCTTTCTTTGGCCGGCAGCTGTCTGTCGTTTGGATGCTCCTTCTCCGGCATCGTCAACATTGAGCTGTTCCAATGCCCCTTCCTTTGTGCCAGGCTTATCCCGATTCAACACATCTTTCCATCACAAACTTTCGTCTCATCAATAAGAGCAGTATTTAGCTGAGTAGGAAGCCGTTGTTGCAATCCTCCCGCACAGTTGCACACACCCTTGAACTGTGATAAGAGATTTTCGTTCGTCCACCAGCAGATGTCAATGTCGCATTGCCCTCCAGTCTCCCAGAACAAGCGAGACGGGTCTCGTCATCCCCTCGGGTCCTTGTCCAACGTCCTTGTTGAGTGTGTGGTCGGTCGGTGCTCGTGGATTGGCCCGCGGAGCAGCCCGCCAATAGGGGGTGCAGCTGGACTTGAAATGCCTTTGCACTGCTTCTGCAAGAAGGGACTTGCCCGGCAAATTTGGGCCAGGCACACTGCTCGCTTGCACAAAACCTACATATTATTACAGTGAGATATCTCCCTCTTGGGTGTCTTCCCCCCAGCTTCCCTTCCTCTTACAAAGCCGTACAAAGACGAGTTGAGCTTGGGCTGTGCCGCAGACAGTCCCCCATCCGACATGGAATGCTCGACATAAGTTGGTCTGTGCGCCCATCCCCCCGGCGCATTTCGCGATTTGATGTGGGCCCTCGTTTTCCCGCGGCCCCGACGTGTCCAACTTGCCGACTTCCAGGTTGTCGCCGCCCAGGAAAGTCGCCGAGGTTCGTTGAGTTCAGGCTTTTCAGATCGCCAAAGGTAACAGAAATGGGAAAGAAAGAAAATATCGGCGGCAAGATAAGTAACTTGGGGACGCTACACTCTCGAAAACACCTACAGAGGACGAATGCTGCAGCTTCTGTTACTCCACCAAAAAAGCTTAGCGTCATGCCGTTATTCTGCAGGGAAGCCGCCCAGCGACACGGCCCGGCCCAGTCGGGTGCTGCTCCTCACGAACCCGTTCTCTCCTCCGCAAAACGGGCATTTTCTATCTTCAGCTGCTATTGGAGTACCTACCAAGCCTTTTTCATCTTGTTTTGTTTAAGCTGCCGTTTTTGGCAAAGCATGCTAATATGCTAGGCCTCCCGAGCGTGTCCGTCGAGCTCCCCGTTACACAATCAACGAGCAGCACCAGCCACAACAGGTAAAACTACTTGAACTTTAGTCGGCCCTTTACTGTGTACATGGAAGGTGATCCTGGAAGCGGGACAACCGGTCCCTAGGCATGCCGAGGTTTTGCGCCTGGGGTTGTGTTTCTTCCTCCAAGCTCCCACGATTCCACGTTCTTTCGCGGATGTTCTCCGCTCTTCGTAAAGTCTCACGGTTTCCCATCGTTGAGAAGACCACGAATTTAGCCCAACCCCCCCACGTACTATAGGAGGGAGCAATTTACATCGTGAAGCGGGGCATCGTCATGGAGAAACTCACCGGAACCCTGACGCGGTACGCCGGCGCCTCGACGATAACCCCGTGTCCAGGCCGAGAGCAGGGGAATCAGCCAGAAGAAAAAAAAACGGGACTCACCACTCGGTTGGAGAGAGCTCCCCATCAACACCCCGCACCCGGCAGAGTGGTGCACGATGAGAGGGAAGTCACCTGGGCGGCAGGATTCTCAGCCCCCAGGAACTTTCTTCGACTCGACACAAGATGACGGCATACATCGAGCCCTCGATATTGACATCCCTTCAGCCGGGAAAGAAGAATCGATGTCCCAAAATTAAAGCTCAGCCCGTGATAGCTCCCCTCATCGAGGTCGTGAGTGGTGGAGGGGAAGCAACTAGATTCCCCGAGATCCAACGGCGTGGCACAAATAGCCTAAATTGAAAGCAAAACCAAAAGCCTAGGAAAACCGCCCCCCCCCACCATTACCACCACCACCGCCAACCACCACCATCGCTTGAGATCGCTCGCTCGCTCGCTTCGGCTGGCAGATGAGGCTGTCCATGAAAAACAAGCTCTCCCGGCGGACCGCCCTTGCGGCCGCTCGTCTTGCATCAAAGCACGCTGCACGCGAAAATGCTTGATATAGTGTGATTCTCTCACCCACCTGCCGGGCAAGGGAACGCCACATCGTTTGTAACCCCATCTATCATATCACTTTACGGCCCGGGTACTATGTACATACAAGTGTGGTGCGCAGAAAATATCCTCCACGGCCGGTTGCTTGCTTCCCCATTTCCCAGCTCCCTCGTTTCAGAGGGAGGCAAGGCAGCATGGGAATACGAGCACGCCACGGGAATGCACCCAACCTAGCCCACATGATCAACCTTGAACGAAGTCTGTCTGTTGGTGAGATTGTTACACCGCCCCCCGATTCCCCAGTTATCGAGCCCCATAGACCCATATGGAAATATCAACGGGCTCTGTCACTCACACCACGCGTCTAACGGCATACTAGTATGTACGAAGGTGGTCAAGATTCTGTATCAAGTTTTGATATACAGTGAGAACGGATATGTGCACGTTAAAGTAACAGATCCCAAAACAAAAAACATGTAACGCCCCTTTTCCGATAAACAACCCACGGAAAGACCTTGCTTGCTCCTTCAAGTGAACAGGAACCTCTGCCCCATGATTATCCGTCCTGTTGTTTTCCAATGCCCCCTGGCCCAGTGCCGTGTGCCTATTGTACAAGCCCATTTTTGAACCCGTCAACACTCCGTTCCCCTTGCCCCTCACCCAAAAACAATGCTTACTCCCATCTCCCGACATACCCTCCTCCATAGCTCTTCACCATCGTCATCCTCCATCTCTAACCCCAACTCTTCCTCGGCAACCCCATAATCCCCCCCATCTCCACCTTCCCGGTTGCCCTTTAACACCTCCCTCTTCTCATCAGCCCTCCTCCAAACCTCCCCCAAAATAACCCAAGCCCGCTCAATATTCCGCATCCCTTGCCTCCGATCCACTTCCCTGAATACCCTACCCGCCAAGCCGCGGTCCTCTTCCGTGACTGCCTCACATGCTGCCATAAATAGTGGCCATAGAAGTGCGGAGACGGGTCCGCCGTGGCGAACGGTAGCAGCACAGTGTGACAAGGCGAGGCGCGCGTGGGTTTGAATTCGGGTGGATGGGTGTAGATCCGCGCGTGAGAGGATGGTGCGGTGGAGGTAGACGAGGGCGGCGTGGCGGTATGCTTGAGCATTGTGGTGGATCGAAGAGAGGCGTGGGTGGTCTTGGTGCTGGCGGGAGGGTTGGCGTAATTCGATTCGGGGTTTTTGTGGAATGGGCCGCTCGGCGGAAGTTGGTGGCGAGGGAGCCGTAATAGGCTCGGAGTCATCTAGTAGTCTGTGAGAGGAGTAGACAGTAACAACTGTGCCAGTAGGTGACCCTGTGGATGCTCTTGAATCGGTGTCAGAAGAAACATCGTCATCATCCGGGTCGAGCTCGTCGGGTGTGAAATTAGAAGGGAGTTGAGGTTGCCACTGGATTAAGGCGGTCTCGATAGCTTGGGCGGTAGACTCGAGCTCGGTGCGGAGGACAGCGGTCTTGGAAGGACTCTGATTTGTGCGGACGGCGTTGGCTAGCTCGGTTTTCAGCGCACGGAGGCCGGCGAGACGGTGAATGATAGGCCATAATGTCGTGGCCATGCCGAGGAGTGTATCGACATTGCCCATAGGGGACGTAAAGGGGGTAGCACCCAGAGGGGCCAAAGGCTGTAGACATGCGGGCGTGGGGGCAGGCGAGATGGGTGGGGTGCCGTTGGAGAGAGCGGTGATCACGTCGTAAAATCGGAAGGCCTGCGTACCGATGTTAGGGGATTCTTTCTTGACCGGAGCCCAGGTGGGGTAAGTCAGCATACTCGTTCTAGAAATGTACTTGTCTGGTCTTCCGGGTCCGAAGCCGTGCCCATGACCGTAAGAGCCCCCTTTAAATGGTTGGAGACAATGTTAGATTGTCCTTTTTGAACAAGCTGCGAGACGGTTAGCCCCTTTGTCCCCACTTGGCCCAGCCTGTTTTCCTCAGGTGCCTCAAGAAGGACTCACGCATTCGTAATACACCAGCAGCATAATGGCCGCCAGAATCTCATTCCGGCTGACCTCGCCGCTGCTCTGCTGTATCAACTGTGCAACCCCCCTGATGGCCATATTGTGGAAATACAGCGAGTTTTCCGGGTTCTCCACCCCTCGATACTCCAAGTGCGCGGAAGCAAGCGCGAAGATAGCATAGGTCACTGGCGAGTCTCCGCGGGTCAGGGGGAGCACCAGTTGCTGAAATGGGTTGCCGGTTTCCTCGCGGAAGACGATCAGATGTGATAAGACGTTGCAGAAATGATCCACAAGCGCGCGACGGTTTTGCTTTTCCGAAAACTCATAGAAGTCGGGGAGGCGAAACTCCACGGTCGGGGAGGCCACTGGGCAGGGTGCGATCATGGCAAGGTCAGGATATAAGGATTTCTTCCTCGGAACTATCGTGACACTCGTTGGGGGCTGCTGGGAACTGGTTCCCTCATCATCTGCGTTTTGGTCTAAGATCTCGGTTGGGGGTAAGGACGACGGGGGAAACCTCCCCAGCACACTTTCCACGGGGCTCGGGGTGATCGGATAGTCGAAGGGATACGCAAGGACATCCTCAGCGAAATCTCGACCGTAGAAATCGGACTCATAGCTGGAGTGGCTGACTTGCGAAAACAGCCGGATCATCGGCTGCGAACTGCAGGGGCTTCCAGGTACCGTCGATTCACGCCGTTTCCGTTGCCGTGGTCTCGCGATTTCGTACGAGCAGTCGGCGCCCTGCTCCTCGCAGCGGCTGCACTTGGGCCGCCTTTCGTCGCATTTCTTTTTCTAAACAACAGTGAGTTGGTTGGCCAAATCGGGGGCAGGGATTTTTACGGCGGCTGGGCGATGCTTCACAAACCTTTTCCTTGCTTCGTCACGGTCAGAGGGTAAGGTCTTGAAGAAGAGTGAACATGATACCAAGGAACAATAGCATTACGTACCAGAATGTGCAACCTGTTGGAAAAAGAGAACCGTTAGTTTCCTGTCCCCCCAAAAAGCCACATCGTTGCTCCAGCGGACATTCAGAGTCCCTAAGCTCGTGTAGAGTGCTGTGTTCACGTACCGCTTCTTGACCGTCTCTTGGGCTGCTTCGGCGCAGCCAGTCTCGTGTACAGAAGCATCTTGTGTCCGTCGAGGCTAGTTTGTACCTCGATGCAACTATGCGTATAATCGTTCAATTAATCGTGTTTGCCAGTAGGCGTCTCTTCTTTCCGATCGCCCAATGAAAGCATCAGCTCAGGCGGTAGTGACTGCCGATTTGCAGGTCGCTGCATTCAACCGTGCACTCCAGCCATCAAGCTGCGAGGGAGCGTAGCCGTGATACCTCGAAGCCTCCAAGAAGCGGGTGTTGACTTGTGTTGACTGGCTGAGCTGGTGTCCAGTCACCACAAAACGGTAGCATCAAGGCCAATGACATGAAGTTAGGAGCTTGATGTCCTCCCAGTGAGGTTCCGAGACAGCTAGTCGGTTCTTTTCACGTGGTTTTAGCAGACCTCAGCGGCGTACATAATCGGCTGATGGAGGATGGCGTTGGATGACGGACGGATCAGCGTGGCAATGTTGATGTATGAAGTTGAAAGCCATTTGACGTTGACCCTCAGCAGGGGGGGGAGACTTCAGGGTTCCGGCGCAATGGTCGGTCGGATGGGACACAGTCTCGATCAAACGATCCACATGGGTTGCTTCCAGGTTCGCCCTCCTGTTGAGAAAGACGGGGTTGACCAATCGGCGTTGCCAATGGGTCGCCCGGCAAGGGACGCTGGGGGTTCTGCAGAGAAAAGGTGTGCGGGGGAGAATGGGGCTCCGGCCTCTTTCTGGAAGTCGAGCCTAGAACTCCGAGACCGAGCTTGTGAGGGGAGCTTGGCTACGTCCATCCTGCTGTCGTACCCTCGTTCCCCTGTGCGGTCCGCGCAGAAAATGGGTAAATCACGGCAGCTGACCACCGGCAAAGTGTGGATCTCGGCTGTGAGGGCAGCCCCGGAACAATTGTCCTGTTTCAAGACTTGGGTAAACACCCGAAAATGATTTGACGTCTTGACGTCCGTTGCGAACAACGCTGGGATCACCAGCTTTAGGGGTTATTTTTCCCCATTTGACATGCAAATTCGGAGCTTCCTGTCCTGCACATTCCCATTATGAACCTGTCAACAAAAGATCCTTTCCGCTCTGTCCGATAACCCTCAATAACCCTAACCCCTCCCCCGCAATGGCGGTGGAGCGCATAATCTGCACCACCCGATCGGGAAAACGCCTTAATGCAAGAGCTTCGAGAAGTCTCCTCGGCTCCTCACTCCATCACAGAGCTAAAAAATCCCGTTGGAGGGGCCTGGAGGCATTCAACCTCACAGAATAGGGTCGTGAAATTCATCACTGCGAGAGAGCATTCCCCAGCGAGGGGCAACCTTCCCGGGGATGCCGTCATCGTCGGTGCCGCGTAAATTTAATCCCTGCTTTCTAACGGTTTGTCTCAAAGCATCGGAGAAAGGGTTCAAAGATGGTGTGGCTGCATTGGGGTTAACTATTCCGTACTGAGTAATGGACAACAACGTTAGTTCTGCCAGGGGTCTAGAAATCGTGGCGAGTTCCGGCCAACTTTCCAACCTGAAAGTACACTAACTAGGTGACTAGGCGAACATGCAAAACGAGAAAGCGAGCGTTTGTTATTCCTCTGCTCGGGTTTCCGCCGTTCATCCCGACCCTTGCCGTCTTAAGTGTATTAGGATTTACGAGTGACACCATTAGACGAACAGCGTAGTCATCGGCAGATAAGCGGGCCGAAATCAAGCTCCTCTACACGTGTATGTATGTACGTACAGCTGAGTAGACAAAGGAGAATGTTACATTCACCCAAATGGATGAGGACCATGGGCGACATGCTATATGGTAAGGGGGACATTGCCGGTGACCCAGCCCTGGGCCTAGCCAATACGACTGGCCCACTCTACTACCTAATTGCTGAGGCCCCTTCCATTTCTTGGATTAAGTTGCGAGGCGTGATGAAATAGTGGCTTCATGCATTCAACGAGCAGGCTAGGATCGTCCTTCTCGCACGTGTGCACTACCTACACTACACTTCGACCATAGTCGGGGATTTATTGACCTGGGGCTGTGGAAGGAAGAATTTCGTGCCGTTGGCTTCTTCCTAGCCCTGCGCTAGCCGATGTCTATCATCCGGAATATGACCGGCGGGGAAGCTGGTTGCCTCGTAAAAAAAGTGGCGTGTCAAAAGTATGACTACATTTTCCCCACACACACATGCACCGCGTTTTTGGGAACGCGTCTTCCCCACATCCACAGCACCACCACCTTCAATCTCCAACATCTGCACCACCAAAACATGGCCAAAATACGTGAATTTAAGTCCGAAATATCGGCCGATGTTCACACTACCTCCGGATCTCGAAAGGATCTCACCCCATCTGAACGTGCCGCTATTGTGGCCGCATCCAAAACAGGGGTCACCCAAACAGCTCTGGCAGCCGCGTTTAAGTGCAGTCGATCATGCATTGCACGTACGATCAAACGCGCTACAACCACACAGAAACTTGAAAGTATGCCACGAAGTGGTAGGCCTGCGAAGCTCAGTGCCCAGCAAATACGATACATTCGACTGTTGGTCAAGCGGGAACCCCACATCACCTGGGACGCTTTAATAACTGCGAGCCCGATTGGGGTATCGAAAACTACCCTTCGTCGAGTTCTTGGCCCTGATTTTCGACGAGAGTAAAGTTCAAATAAGAGGACGAAGACAACGGTTACCGCAGCAGCCGAATGGCTTGCTTACGGGTGTGGAAATATGTGAAAAATCAAGACGTTGATGGAGGTATGTATGTGACTTGAAAGATAGGGGTTGGTAAGTCTCGCTACTGGTGTTTTTCAGGGGGCCTGGTTTGATGAAAGTCCGACCCAAGCTGTACCATTTACCTCTAATGGTTGGACTTTTTGTACCCCAAGAAAAAGTACAATGGAGATCTAGTCAATCTCCCGGCTCACGCCCAGGCGGAGATCACTTTGGTGGTTTGGGGGTTTTCTAGAAAGAAGGGCGGCGACTCGGGACCTGATCAGCCGGCTGATCGATTCGGTACCTTGTGGACTTATTACGGCTTTGAAGGCGGGTGGTACACCAAATATTGAAGCCATGCCAAATTTCCACATTTTGATTATACTTGGATGGGTATACCGTCCTTCGTTGAGTTGTATGCATTTGGATCTTGGACGGAGTCTACATACCATGGGGCAGTACACGGGTTGGAAGTTTAGCCATACTTTCGATACCCCACGTTAGTTGTGCCTTGTTTTGCCTCCTGTCTCTCTGTGATCGAGGTTCCCAAAAGGGGTTGTGGTGACTACAGTTTCAGATTTGAAGCGGTGCAGGAGCTTTGTCTGGGCGGTTGTGTAAAGTGTTTTGACATCTGCTGCAGGCCGCTTCGGGATATGGTCCGTGAGACCCAGCATGGAAGATAGCACAAGGGTTGACGAAAAGCCGATGCTTCAACCGAAGGTTCTATCCATTGTTTTGTCTATGCCTCATCAACCCGATTCAAGACAGCCACGCCCTCCACATGCCCCGTCTGCGGGAAAAAGTCAAACCCTCTGATACTCTCAATCTCGTAGCGTGTCCTCTTCTTCTTCTCCTTCTGCTCACCGCCCGTTTGCTCACTCTCCTTCTGCTCACTCCCCTCTCCATCTAGCCGCCTCTTATTCCCATTACCAGGCAAACCCACCTGTCCCCTAACCAACACACCGACGTCCCTCGCCTGCGTATGCACATTACAGCTCACATACACCACTCTCCGCGGCGCAAACTCCAACAACTGCCTCAAGAAGCTCGTGTCGCAGCCCTTGCGCGGCGGGTCCAGCACGACGACGGTCTCGTCCGGGTTGTACGCGCTGACGCTCTTGAACAACTCCGGCGCGTCGGCGGCGAGGAAACGGCACTGGCTCTCGTCCAGACCGTTGAGGGTAGCGTTGCGTCGCGCGTAGGCGATGGATTTCTCGGCGATGTCGATCCCGATGCTGCCGCCGGGGAAAAGCGAATATTGGGTGATGGTGAAGAGCCCGGAGCCGGAGTAGGCGTCGATGAGATACTTGATGGGTGGTTTGGAGGCAGTCGAGGCGAGAGACGAAGGCGGAAGGATATGTTCCCGGATATAAGCCGTGAAGGGGGATAAGATAGAATTGTTGTTCTGGAAGAAGGCGCCGGCTGGATTGGTGAACTGGAAGTTGTCGATGTACTCGGTCGAGGTGGCATTTTGGTCCGTGATACATGTCTTGAAATCGACGTGCGTGTCGGCGTCGACGCGGACAGCATTCTCGGGAACGCCTTCCGGCGTCTCGATGGCATCGCTAGGTGAGGCCTTGACGATTCGCTTAGTGTCCTCACGCAAGAGGATGGTCGCGCCCTTGACGTAATTTCCATACTCGACTGCCATGCGCGCCCGCTCGTCTGTCAACCCCTTGCGGACGGCATCCGTCGCAATAGGGCAGTCTTCAATATCCAAGACCTGGCGTGTGCTCTTGGGCGTGAAGCCCACCGCCGGCATGAACGTGTGGGCATTCTTGGGCCCTCGACGCTTGTTTCCCGGGGGCGCATCGAAGTGAGGTGTGAGCTTAGTGCGGTAGCCGTATTGTAGCGGACTCCCAATGGTGTCGAGGACGTCTGGCACCAGCTCCGGCGACAGCCGGGAGAAGTTCTTGTAAGCCTTGACAACGATATTCCGCTTTAGCTTCAGCTGCTCGGTATAGTCTAGCATCTGGAACTGACACCCCGAGCACTTAGCAAAGTAGCCGCACTGAATTCGGCTGTCATCCCGGAGGGCGGACGGCTTGACAACGGAGATAAAATCAGCGGCCGTATACCCTTCCTCAAAGTTGTGGCGGTACACCTTGGCTTTCACCGTGTCTCCCGGGATAGAGAACGGCACCACGTAAATGTGATCAGACCCCTTTTGTTTCGCCAACCCGTCGCCTGTTGACGACAATTCCACGACCTCCAGTTCAATCTCGGTGCCTTTCCTTGGTAAGGGGGTCTCTTCCTCTTCGGCAGAAGCACCACCCTCAACATCATCCACAATCTTCTGCGAATCCAACATTGCCTGGATATCCGCCATCAAAACCTCCTCATGAGACCCATCCTGGAACGTCTTCTGCTTCCTCCTGTGCTTGGCACCTTTGCGCTGATGACCACCATTGAACGGCCTTTTGCCGGGTTGTTTGTGGTTGTCTCCGGCCTGTGCTGGTACTGCCATTGGCGTGGCACCAGCGTCGATTGTGGACTGTCCGGTTGCCATGGTGAAGTTTGTTCGAGCCCAGAATTTGGCCGGGAACGATGCCGGCACCGATAAGGATGAGAATGTTGATGTCCGACGAATGAGAGGCGAGGTAAATGTAAGTGTTAAAACACTTGGTTGCGTCAAAACCTTGACACCGGGAAGTCGCATGGATGCGATCACCCGCTGTAATGTGAGTTTCTGACACAAATCGACAACTAAGTACAGGGAGGGGAAAGAAGGATTAGTTTGGGAGGAGACTTGACGAAAGTCTAATGCAGAGAGTATCGAATTCGGAAATTTTTCACAGTGGTAAAAAATCTCAAGCATCGGGAAAGGCCAAGGCGCTGGAGTGGTGCGTGCACGGACCAGCACCAACGCCCCTGAAACCAAGCAAGAACCCGACACCTACAGCCAAAGGAGGAGGGAATGTCAAGATACCCCAAGTATACATTGAATAGGAAGTCCAGTTGAAAGCCAAAATAAAGCAACATGCCAATTGTGTGTGAAGCTTTTCCAGTCGCCCGAAGCCATACTCATCTCAGTTCACCTTCCCATGCCTTCCCAATGCCATCCTCCCGTAACCCAGTAACAACTATGAATAAATGAATAAAGGGTATCATCATACACATACCAGACAAACCCGTCTGGGCCCTTAGCTCTCAAGCTCTCAAGTCCAACAGACACACCAATCTTCCCAGCCCAGTTGATTTGAGGCGGCGTGCTACCCAAGCAGAACCTGTTCATACTGCTCCGGATCCAGATGTTCGCACAGCGCTCCCTGTAGTGCAGCCCTGCTCCTCGCAATAGCCGGTAATACACCGTCGATCTGACTTAGGTTGCTCTTCATACTCTCCATGTGGTTCCCAATCTGCTGCGATAGCGCGACAAGCGCTTCGTCTTGTAGGTCCTGAAGCCGTGCACCACGTTAGCACATCAAGACAACTAGATGGGAAGTGAGAGGAGCAAGGAGAGACAACAACAAACCTGGAAAACACCGCCACCTTCAACACCCGCCGTCCTCGACACAACGTTCAACCCATCGCCTTTCTCCTCATCCCGACCTTCGCCAGCACCAATCCCACCGACCAAAACATGCTCTCGCCCCTTCCCTTTCCCCTCTCTCCAACCCCTCGCCTGTGCCCTCGCATTCCCCTCCAACCGCCTCAAATTCTCATAATCTCTCTCCAGCGCCTTCTCTTCCCGCTCCTTCTCCCCTTTCAACAACACCACACTATGCAGCAGCGGATCAAGCGCCCTCTCCAACCCAGCAATCGCGTCAACCGTCTTCTCAAAGTTCAACTCCGTCTCATGGCCCCCACCACCACCACCGCCACCCCCGTCTCCACCATCTTTGGGTTTCCTCCCCCTCACCTTGGGCGCGGGCACCGCTGGCGGCGGGAAGGGCATCCCCTTGACGAGCTTGGCGTGTAGTCGGGTGGAGAAAGTGCGCAGAATGGAGGCCGCTTGGGCGTGTCGTTGGTCGCGCTCGCGAAGGCGGTGCAGGACCGGCCGGGCACTGTCTCGGAGGAGGGAGGATATGGCGTTGATGGAGGGTGTGGAGAGCGGGGCCCATTTGGAGGCGATGGTGGTGCGCGGGATGTGTCGGGTGAGTGTGGTTAGTTGATGGGGTCTTGAGGGGGGAGGTGGTTGGGGCTCGTTCTCGGATTCTTGGTCTTGCTGTTGCTGCTGCTGTTGCCGGGAGGGTTGGTTGGTATCGAAGGAAGTGCGACGTTGAGGCGATTTCTTATGTCGTCTGCGGGGGTTGGTCGAGCCCGGCGCTTCCGCGGGTTGGCTGGGAGATCCGGCCTCGCCAGAGGTCCGAGGGGGACGCCCACGGCGCTTCTTAGCTCCTTGCTCTTCTACCTCTCCTTGAGGATGGTCATTCTGGTTCTGCGCCCTCGAAATGGACAGCTCGGTCAGAGAAGGACGGCCGCGCCTTCGTCTTGCAGCAGCCTGCGGTTGCCCGCCGGACGCAGCCCCATCTTGGGGAGGTTCATTCCCCGGGGACTCTCGTGTTCTTGGACTTCGTCGGGTGGAATTTTCTCCTGTGTTTATGTCCTCGGCCGCATCATCCTGTCCCAGCGACTTTCGTGGAGGCCGTCCTCTTCGCCTCCTTGCGGCCTCGGGGGCTTCTGGCGAAGGCTGCGCGGGGCTATCGCCTGCTGTCCTGGCCGGGTTCTCATCCAAAACGGAAGCCTCTTGGGGAGCGCCGGTCACAGGCCTGCCTCTCTTAGGAGCCTTGATTCTCCCGGCCCTCTCTTGAATATCCTCCGTCTCTTCACCAAGACCGTCACGCTTCCGTTTCCGCGGCCGTGTGTCCACCGGGCTACCTGCTTCTGGTTCGGGTTCGCTAACTTTGGGCGGTCGCCCCCGTCTCTGGGTGGCGGGGTTCGATGGACTGGCTGCCGTGGGCCGTGCTTCTTCTTGTACTATGGTATCAATACTTTTTCGCGGTCTCCCTCGCTTCTTGGGGCCATCAATCGGCCCAGCTGGTTCCTCCCCCGGCGCATTTTCGGGATCGCGCGCCGACGCGATCGAGGCTCGTGGGGGCCGACCGCGTTTCTTCGGTTGACTTTGTTCGCGTGGGGCCTGGATCATGTTAGTTAGGGTCGAGCAAAATCGAATTATTTCCGTACCATAATAACAATGTCCCGGTTCGGACGATCATAGAATCGCCCGTTTGTATTGTTATATTTGTTTCTGGTAGTGTTGACGTTGAGCCACACTCGTCATTACCAATTCCAAGTCCCACTGTGGCTGGAAGGCGCCCAAGCGCGTTCGAGGCTCAAGCTGTGAACGCGAACCCAAAAGGCTCCACTTAAAATTAATCCCCAGCTCAAGTACTCGTTCCCGAAAATACAAGGGGGCAAACACGACCCCGGGCACGCTAAAGAGCCGGGGTCACAATTGAAAAGAAATATTGGGCAGAATCTCGACAGGAGAAGATTTGCGATCCTCCCCCTTCTATTCTGTTGATTTTCCGAGCTTGTTTTTGTTTGGATAGGTTCATTGCTATCATAGCGATCCTGTAATCTATAGCTACTTCAGGCACCCACACGGGCCCCCTCTTTACATCATCCTTTAGCTCATAGGCTACAGCTGCAGCTCAGCTCCCTCGCACCACACCACATCACCCACCCCTTTCTTCCATCAATTCCGCGTACCTAGCGTCGATAGCCCGTCTCCCCCGAAGTCTTCCATCAACGACACACGTCACACCACGCCCTCCGCAAAAATGCGCTTCTCCACAACCGCCCTGCTGGCGCTGCCGGTGCTTGCCGCGGCCGCTGAGAGCCCGTTCGAGCAATACAAGGCCAAGTTCCAGAACTTCATCAGCAACTTTGGCGCGGCAACACCCAGCGCGGAACGGGAGAACGCGCCAGCGGCCGCGGCGCCCGGTGGTGCGTCCACGGGCCGGGCGAAGTCAAAGAAGGTTGTGGAGCCCAAGAGCATCGAGACTCTGACGCTCGAGAACTGGAAGGACACGTTGTACAGCCCTGTGCAGACCGACGCGACGGGCCCTGAGGAGTGGCTGGTGCTGTTGACTGGCGGGAACAAGACCTGCTTCGGTATGTTATCACGATTCTAACGCTCCAGTACTGTCTAGTAGAGCACTATGATTGTCGCATCACCTGCAGTTTTGCTAACCACGAATTGCGCTCCCTCTCCAGGCCACTGCGCCAAGATCGAGACAGCCTTCAGCGAGTCCGCGCTCAACTTCGCGGCGCTCCCGCCGTCGCAGCCGTCGCCGCACCTGGCCAAGCTCAACTGCGACGACCAGCCGGTGCTGTGCAACAGCTGGTCCGCCAACACGGGCGCGCTGTGGTTGTTCAGCCTGCCCCCACCGCCGGCCCCGGCCGACATCGCCACCAAGCGTGTCAACCTTACCACCGTCACGACCCAGGACATTGTTGACGCATACACGGCGTCCAACCGCACTGAGGCGGGCTGGCAGACCTTCGCCCCCGATGGGTACTTCCATCCCCTTGAGGGCAAGCTGGCTAAGCTGGGTCTTTCTGTCCCGCTGGGTTATGCCCTCTGGGCGTTGAACGCTATCCCCTCGTGGGGCATGATGCTCATTGTGTCGTTCCTGAGCCGCACCATGATGTAAGTCTCCAACGCAGTCGTTTTTGTGTGTGTGTGTTGGTTCTACCAGGTTTCTAACCTAGTCTCTTTGTAGGAACCGTCGCATGGATGGTATGGCCGGTGGCCGGCCCGCTGGCGCTCAGGGTGCTGCTGCCGCGCCCCGCGCTGCTCCTGCCGGAGACGGCCGCTCGTAAACGAGCTATGAGGCTTGGCGCGGAGTTGCTCGGTTGTGTGTTGGAGACCTGGTCATTTTATTTATGATAGTACTATAATTGCGGGGGCGGGGATGTGGTTGCCTTTTTCCTGTAGGCTTGATTGATCAGTAGACATGGTTGGGGGTGGGCTTAGGACGGAGTCCTATCTTGGATTGTATCTGAATGTTGGATGCCGAAGATGCGTCACGGTAAATGCAGCTGTTATTTTTGGAAATGAAAATGGTTTAGTTCAGTTATTATTGGCCCGACAAATCGCTTCTAAGTTCCCCAGCCCATCGAGGACTTGCTCAGGCAGCTGGCCATTAGCCAGTCGTCCATACCGTAAGTCACTCAATGCATCAACCGTTTGCCGAACTGAAGCGAGCAGCGATGCCTCTTCCTCCTCTAGTAATTGCAGTTCGGCTTCCAGCGCACTTATCGCGGCCTCCATCTCGGGGAGGATTGTGGAAAGTGTGTGTTTGTCGTTTTGTGGTTCTGACCAGTTTCCCAGCTGCAGGAGGGGTCAATCAACACAACGCCCACATCATCGTCAAGGGGCGCCACTTTGGATTGGTTCAATACATCACTCACCATTCTCTCAATATCCACTTCATCATCCTGCTCCTGCGCCTCGGCCTCCCGTTTTGCCCTGATCACAGCTCGCCGCATTGCTTTGCCATGCTTGGCCTCCTCCTCGACCTCCTCGGCTACAGCATCTACCACAGCATTGCGTTGGCCTTGTAGATCGCGGTACAGACTCCGAATTTTGGGGGACGACTGTAATGGCCGTGGGAATAGGGCGATAAATTCTTGTAATGAGATGATTCCGGGAAGCTGGGCTGGCGTGAGGAGGTAATTGCTGAGGATGGCTTGCTCAGTCGGTGCCATTTTAGGGAGAACGTCAAGGCAAAGCCCCGGGAAATGTCAAGATATGAAAAATTGAAAGTTTTATTCGACCCCCAGTGCAGTTCCTGATGAGTGATGACGGGAGAGGGGCACAATTGGGGGTTGAAGCAAGCGCGTAAGGGCCACTCAGCGCGTGTTCATGTGATCCGTGCACCACACTCCTTGTCCCCAGCATCTCACCCGCGACTCACATATCCATCTTAACCGCCCCTTTCTCATCGACGCACACCGGACTTCATCGCCACCAACCTGCTTTTCTTTCGGATTCTTTGGACCTCACGTGAAGGTGCTACTCCGTGACCTTGGGATCAAACTGGTGTCTGGAACCAACAGCGCTTCTCTCTGGCCTTTTCACCGTTGGCTCTCGTGACCAGGAAAGATTTCAACACTCAACAATTTTTCCGCTTTTGGACTCCGGACACCGTCAAAAACACCGATACTGCGTGTGCCACTACAAAATACCATCGGACCTTACTTCTTCTGGTCCAATTACTTTCTAAAACAACCCAAAACTCTATCGAAACCACTCCCACGAGTCTCAACTTCCATCATTCACCCAGGAGACAACCAATACCATGGCTCCCCCCAAGCAACAACAGCCGCCTTTCCAGAAGGACGAGCGTGTGCTTTGCTTCCATATGGAGATGCTGTATGAAGCCAAGATTCTCGACACCATGCCGGCGGAGAGCGGCGAGGGATGGCAGTACAAGATCCATTACAAGGGCTGGAAGAGCTCCTGGGACGACTGGGTGCCACAGGATCGCGTGCGCAAGTTTACCGACGAGAACAAGGACCTGGCGGCCCAACTACTGGCCCAGTTCAAAATGCTTCAGTCCGGGAAATCGGCCAAGCAGTCCGCGAAGAAGGTCACCACGTCCAGGGCGGCTAACGGGTCCGAGTTGGGTTCTACCCGAGGCAGCGAGGAGCGCACTGCGGGCGCGACAGCTACGACGACCGGCAGAGGTCCGCGGAGGACGAGGGACTATGAGATGGAGCAAGTAAGTGTCTTTTTTTTACACTCGTTTCCTTTTGTACATTGCCCCTTTCCGTTTCACTTGTTTGGGGTTGCTCTGTTTTCATGGTATTGTTGCGTTGTTGTGTTCCTGCCTGGATATTGCGGGAACTTCGAGGCGCAAGTGTACATCCCTATTGTTCCCCAAGGGCAATAGAGACTTGCCAGAAGTAGGGTATTGTTCTCGACGAGAATACACCTAGGCCCTGGCCACCTACCACTTCAAAAAGGGAGGCTACACTGTTTCCGAACAACTCATCCCGTTTCCACCACTTCCTCAACCCGACTTTCAACACCAACTCAGAGGCGACACTCCTGCGACAATTTCAAACATCAACATCAAGGAACACCAAAACAATCCGGTTGGCCAAGCTCGCGGCTTGTGCCACTTCACCAACTACACCTTTCTCCTTCAACTTCCACCACTGTTGTTACGACTTGTCTCGCGACCCGTCACAACTTTAAACCCATGTTCTTCCTCCTTTTCTCCCCGTCGTCAAAACACCATCCCCCTCGCAGAATGGCTGCCCAAACCGCCACCACCTCCTCCTCCGAGTCGGCTCTGCGCCGCAGCACGCGCGCCCGCCGCCCCACCGCGGGTATCGTCAAGACCGGTGTCCAGAAGGCCGGCGCCAAAAAGGCAGCCGAGTCTATCAAGAAGGCTGTGCCCGCCGCTGAGAAGGCACACGCCGATGGGAAAAAGCCTGGCAAGAAACACCGCCAGGTCCTCGCGGACCTGCAAGCGGTCCAAGGCAAGACGGAATTCGAGAGGTGGGAGGAGGCCGCGTTCAACGCCGCGCAGGCCCGCGACGGGTTCCTCGTGATGCCGACGCCCGAGACATCCATCGTCAAGGGTGCCGGCCATGTTGGGCCCGGACGTTTGGACGAGTTGATAGGGTTCACCCCCTCCGTCGGCGCGGACCATCCTAAAATCAAGGAGGCCGTGGCCGACGGAGGTAGTGAGAAAAGGGTGCTGAGGCGGTACTGGAGCGGCATCCACCCGAAGACCAGAATGCCCCTCGCGGGGACTCCGGCAGAGTCGCCTTTTGGAGAGCCGCCAGTCAAGCCCAAAGCGGCCAACCAGAGAAGGGCCAAGAAGTTGGCGAAGAGGGCTGCCAACGCCAGCGACGCTGCTGCGACGACAACACCGACGATCCTTGACGCCGTATGTTACGACCGAGTTACCAGACGATACCCGACAATGCGGAAACCGATCCGGAGGCAATTCCATCACGGAGTACAAGCGGGCTCCGAATGATTCATCGCTGAAACAGGAACCATTTCCTTTGTTACTGATGCCGTTCATCACTCACTCTTCCATCAGCCCAAGCGGGCGGATAGAGGCAATCGGACTTGTGCCTTTCGTTTCCTCCCGTCCCCCCTACCCCAAATACCTTTGCTTTTCTCTTTGCGCGGCCGACAATTTAGAAGCAACGATGCTAACCCCTCACAGGAGGATAACTTCCATAACCGGCCGTCCATCAAGGTCCCCGTCCCCGACCATCTTAAGGCGATGCTCGTCGACGATTGGGAGAACGTCACCAAGAACCAGCAGCTCGTCCCACTCCCACATGCCCACTCCGTCAACGAAATCCTTGACGACTACCTCTCCCACGAGAGGCCGCACCGCGAGCAGGGCAGTGCTTCGCTCGACATCCTGGAGGAGACCATTTCCGGCCTGCGCGAGTATTTCGACAAGGCGCTCGGCCGCATCCTGCTGTACCGGTACGTTTTTGTCTCCGCGCTCATCCTCCTCGCTTGCTAATCACCTAGAACAGTTTCGAGCGCATGCAATACCACGACATGCACAAGCTCTGGGGCCAACCCGATGGCCAGCACAAAAGTGCTGTCGATACCTACGGCGCAGAGCACTTGTCGCGTCTTCTCGGTATGATTCCTTTGTTTCCTTTCTTCCTTCTTCCTCCAAATGACCAATGACTAACGCTTTTTGCTTCGCACGCACAGTCTCGCTCCCGGAGCTCATTGCCCAGACCAACATGGACCAACAGTCGGTCAACCGTCTCCGTGAAGAAATCATGAAGTTCACCAACTGGTTCGCGAGGCACGTCACCCGGTACTTTGTCAGCGAGTACGAGAACCCGGGGCCGGCCTACCTCGACCTGGCCCGCACCAACTGAGCTTCCTCTCCCTCCCTCCTCCCTCAGCAAGACAGACAATGCCACCGACAACAGAGTAGCTTGTCCGTTCGTCTAGTTTTAAGCCTTTCAAGACAGCTTTCAAGGCGCCTAAAGAGCTACCAAATCCTCAATAATCAGCGACATTGAGGAAAGCCGCTGTCTGTAGCACGCCTGCTAAGTCTAGGCAGCCACCTAGCCCGGAGTTAGGCCCAAAGCCGGTTGCTTTTTTCTTTGGCGGCAAACAGAGAAGTCGTGTCGTTGTACTTTTTGCATCGTTTGTTTCCCTTCTTTTTTTTCTCTTTTTTTCGGATTTGGTTTCAGCACCATGGACACTGGGCGCTGGGAGCCGGCACATTGGGGGGAATAGCTAGACCACGTTGTAATATCTGTCATCAGATCACAACTCATCCTCGGATGCGGCTCAGTCACGCTAGGAAGCCCATGGAATAGGAAAGTGCTGGAAAACGGACATGTAGGTCGTACACATACAACATGGGCCGTTGTTGTACATGATATTCTTCTTCAAGTTTCGTTTTCTGCTTTTACTCTTCGGATCGGTTCTGGTCAATAAAGTAGCGGACGTGGGTTTTTCTTAGAACTTTATCTCGGGTATGAATCAATGACGTTGTGGCTTCGCAGACAATAGCGTGAGTGAACCGGTGTGGTGCTCACTCAAATCGTGAAGGCGTGTCTTGAAGCAGCAACACAGTGATCCCATGAACTCAAACGTATTTTGTCGTACATAAATATTCTACAGCAGGGAGGTAGTGTTGATCCGCCAACAACATGTCCTCAAGCGCACCAACTTCCCTACGCTCATCCCTTCGTTATCCCCCCAGAAAGATTCTCCCAAGTCGGCATAACGACCCCTCCCCCAACTTCCTCGCCATCTCCTCCCCTCCAACCCCCTCCAAAAGCCCATCTCATAACCTCACCTCCCCCTCCTCCCCCTTCCCCACCTCCTTACCAACTGTCCCCGTCCCCGTCCCGGCCCCAGCAACCAACCCATCCGCCGCCCGCCTCGAAGCCCCAAAACTCTCAATCCAAAACCCCGGCTCCGGCGCCCTCTGCGCATACACCTCTTGTTTTGTCAATGCCCGGTCGACCTCCTCGACCTTGACCAGCTCCTTCACCTTCATGATCATACCCGCGATGTCGGCGGACACGGGCTGGAAGACGAGTTGGCCGCGGCGGTGCAGGCCGAGGGCGGCAAGCACGCCGCGGGTGCGCTTGGGCATGCCGATGAAGGAGCGGTGGAGGGTTATTTTGAAGAAGGACATTTTGGTTGTGGGCGGGTGGATGTGTAAGTGGATGTAGGTGTGGGTGGTGTGTGTTGGGTTTGGTGGCGTGTTTGAGAGCCCGGGGTTGGGGTTCGTTGCCGTAGTCGAGTCGATTGGTGCACTATGCCGTAAGATAATCGATTCGAAGGCCTGTGTTTTCCCTAGCCCGCCTGCCTACCCCTCGTCGTCGTCCCGGGCGTGGTAATCGTGGGGTTCGCGATTCGCAGATCGTCCTTTTCGACATCATCAGTATCCTTCTCTATCCCTCTAGACAAAAACAGAGTAACTCACCCAGCTCCAGTGCTAGTAGTCCCAAAGCCACCAGTGGCGCACTCCAAATCTCAACCTCGGGGCTTTTCGACGAACGCGACTATGCAGCTAGCTCTTCTCCACGAGGCGCAAATCAATCGCTCGTCGTCAATTGTCGGCTGCAAGAAAATACTAGTCGGCCCGGCAGCGCCGGCAGCGCCAGCTGTCAGCCCAGCATGGCCTTCAATGCCCCACTTCACCCGATAACATCAAAAAGAAAAAGCCCCACTAGATAAATATTCTGCCACCCACCACCGCCTCCCCTTTTCCAACCACTGTTTCAACGCTCAACAACTTGTTCTCGAACAAAAAGGTCACAGTAGAAAGGATCCGTTGAGCCCTGCAAGCCAGCAGCACCATCCCCCGCCCCCCATCCATGATTCCATTCAATTGATTGATTGCATCCAAATCATCAGTCAATCCGTCCGTCCCCCGTCAGTCAGTCCACCACACCGCCTTCCCGCTTGACCTCCTTGCCCCGCGTTACATCCAAAAAGCCAACCCACCACACCCTCCCACATCACCCCTCCACCGCCTCAGCCATAGTAAGCTCTTTTGGCTCTGTTCTTGTGTACCGCTCACCTCACCGCACACACACACACACTCACATACACACCACCGGGTAGTTTTTCGGAGTTGAGACCGGACCTTCTTCACAGCTTCCGGGAAAGAAAAAGGAAAAACAAGTCCGGAGGAGCGGGGCACGATCGGTGACTTTTCTCGGTTCTTGAACTCCTTGCTTGGGGGGGTCAAGGGAAACTTCCCGACGTTGGGTAAGTTAACCTGTTTTCTCGCGAAGGGTCTCCCGGACTTGTGAGTGAGCATCGCGTCGATTCCCTTGATGTCCATCTCGTGTGCTCATCTCCGAAGCTCGGCCGTCTCTCTCAGGGGTAAGGGCTTGAAGAGAAGAAGGGCCCGCTTACGTTACAGCGGCACTAGCCCGGCAAACCTTGCAGCTAAAGTGGGTGCGGATGCAGTAAGTTGGATGTGTCAGGTTGTCAACGTTCGCGATCATACCGCGCCATGAATTGGGAGAGAAAGTAAAAAGCATGAGAAGGCACACAAGGCTTCGGTTACTGATTAAAATTTCTAACTAATCCGGGCCTGTTCCCTGCTCTCCCACCGGCTGTGCTATCAAGAGCCCACCTGCCAGTGCCTCGCGTTGAGGAGGAAATCATGACACATCCCATGTTGCGAGCCCGTCCCATATCTCGTGAAAACGTGCGTCTAACTTCGTCTCTAAAAATATATCGCTTTCCCTCCCTTAAATCTGGACCTCAACACGGCCCTCGGTGCCCGGCGGGCCGGCCTGCTGCAAGCTCGGCAGGATGTACGTAATGTCATCCCAGGGGTGACGGTACAGACCGGTGCGCAGACGCTTCTGGTCGAGATAGTGGGCAATCAGACCAATGGAGCGGCCGAGCACGAAGAGACCGTTGAGCACACCCATGCTAAGGTAGTCCTCGGCCTCCTCTGCGCTGAATGCGCCGCAGTTGCGCATCAGGTCAACGAAGCACACGGCAATGCAGCCGTCCACGTTCAGGATCAGGTTGTCCTTCTTCGATGTCGTGACGGTTTCAACGGCCAGCGCGTAGTCAAGCATCTTAAAGCTGGGGAACTTGGCCTTGACGTATTCCTTGACCAGCTCCACGCGCAGATCGGGGTTGTTCCGTGACTTAACACGGTGCCCGATACCGGGGATGAGCTTGTTTTGCTTGCGCATGGTGTCGACGAACTCGCGCGGGCTAAGACCCTTATCGAAAGCCTTGGTGAACTCCTCGGCGGCGCCGTCCAGCGCACCACCGAACCGCGAACCAATAGTAAGCAGACCGCTCACCAACGCAGAGATAAGATCCTTGCCGGCACGGGTGGTGATAATGGTGTTCATGGCACCGGACACGGCCGGGCCGTGATCAGCGGTAAGCATGAGCACCATCTCGAGGAACTTGGAGGCGTAATCGGGCAGGCGGCGGCGGAACCACAGCAGCGACATGACACCACCAATGCCAATGTCCTCGCGGAAAACATCCGAGATGGGCATCCCAGCGTAGAGGAGCTCCTGGCCACGATCGTCCGAAATGGTCGAAATGAACGCAGCCGGCTTGCGGATGAGGCCGAGCTCCTGAGCCCACGAGTAGTCGATGGGAATCTTGGGGACAACGGGTTCGGGCTGGGGCTTGATGGTGCCCTCCTTAACGAGCTTGTCGTAGAGAGCCTTGAGGACGGCCGGCATGTCCTCAAAGGTGTCAGGGACGTGGAAGCCAGCTTCCCGCATGCTCGAGTTCTTCTTGGCCGCCGTCTCAAGCTGAGAGTTGGCAAACGAGCCGGCGTGGCCGAACTGAACCTCAGTCTTGAACATGCTAGCGCAAGTACCGATGGCCCAGGCCACAATCGGCTTGGTGATGATGCCCTGCTTCACAGCCTCAATGACCTTGTACTCCTCAACACCACCAACCTCACCGAGCAGGACGAGGATCTTGCAGTCGGGGTCGGCCTGGTAGCGCAACAGGTGGTCGATGAAAGTGGTACCAGGATACCTGTCACCACCGATCGCCACACCCTCGTAGACACCATCGGTCGTTTGAGAGATGATGTTGTTCAGCTCGTTGGACATGCCACCGGACTTGGATACGTAGCCGACAGAGCCCTTGCGGTAGAGCTTAGAAGCCACGATGTTGTCCATCATACCACCAGTGTTACCAATCTTGAAGCTGCCGGGCTTGATACCACCGACGGTGGCAGGGCCAATAATTGTGACACCCTTCTTTTGCGCAACATGCGCGATCTCACGAGCACGCTATACAGAAACCCCACGAGTCAGCAAACCAGTCACATAGGCTACCATTTCCACCCGGGGAGAAGGAATTCTCCCAAGAAGGAAAACTTACACGCTCCGGAACACCCTCAGCGATAATGGCGATCGTCTTAATTTGGGGGTTCTCCATAAGCTCCATCGTCGAGCTGTAGACACTGCGGGAGGAGGCAAAGTTGACGACAACGTCAACATCCGGGTGCTTGGCCACCGCCTTCTCAACCTGCTGGTACACCGGGAGGAGAGTCTCGCTCGTGCCCCAGTACATCTTGCTGACGAATTGACCGCCGAACGTGTAGATAATGCCGGCCACCGACGGCGTCGTCCGCTTGCAGATGAAGTCGAAGTCGAGCATACCTTGTACGGCACGAGGCTGCAGACCATAAACGAAGCATCGTGTCTTGTCGTTGAACAGGGCATGGGCGGGCAGCGGGCTCAGTGGCCTGCTGGGAGCGGCGAACCGGCGGATGTTGTCGTTAGCAGACAAGCCGCCGGACGGCTTCAGGTTAGCATTGCTGCTGGTTGTTGCCATTTTGACTTCGGTTTGTGTGGCTTTCTCGACTCGAGACTCGCCGTGGAAGTTTCCAATTCAGGCTGGAAAAAGAGAAGGTAAAGGTATAGATGGCGACGAGGTTCGCGAGAGCCTGGGCCGAGAGCGAGGGGAGAGTGATGGGTTCGCGGAAATGCGAGAGAGTAGGCGGGGAGCAATTTTGGGGGAAGAGGTTTTTGTCGGTCCCCGTTCGTTTCGTCGAGAAAGCACCACACTCGGGGTAGGCGCAAGAGCTCCGCAGCTGTCGAATTTAGTGAAGGCGCCCTGGCGAAGAACCGGAACTCGAACCCTCCTGCACTGGAATCCCCAAGAATTGTTGCCCATTGCTCATTGGGTGGCAGGCGGGTCAACGGTCCAACAAATGGTGGCGGTTCCCCAACTCTTTTGGGCCCTTGTCCGATCAATTGAGGGGCTACCGCCAAATCGGGAATGGTCTGGACTTTTCTGCCACATCGCTGACCAGAGGTGGGGTACCGAGCAGACTTGGTCTCCGAAGTACCGGTACACCGACGCACACCTCGTCCGATACCCCTCCGAACACCCAAAAATTTGCGAGATGCGGAATGAAGTTGCACCCCTGGGCGACGCACTCCTGGCGTTCTCCTCTGCATAGAACGAACTTACGCTGCGTGGAAAGCAGGGTTTAGAAGAATTGAAAAGGGGTATAAGAAAGCTGACGAGATATGCCCCAACCTGCAACTTCTCGCAACAGCTCAGCCAAAAAAGGGATATCATCTATCTACCTTCGGGTAGATTTTCAGTCAAAAGAGTACCGCAAGCTTCGGCCCTAGGTAGCTCAGAGAACTGCGAAGGTCTCGGGACATGTGGGGAGGTCGCGGGATTCAAGACAACAGGAGCCACGCCCGAAGTTAGGCACACGACAACCAGGAGCCTGACGTGCATGAAAGCTCCGAGGGACAGCCACTCGTGGAAGTCCCCGCGAAGAAAAAAGAAACCATAAGCCTCCATCTGATTCTCTTGGAAGTGCTGGCGCTCCTGGCAGACAACAACAGCCGGATGATCCCCACCGCTGTCCGCTCGTGAAGCCAATGCCACTCGACACAACCGCCACAGGTGGTAGAGGAGGAATATCAGGCAGTCCTCAAGTGTTCGACTAAGAACGGAAAGAATTGGTTTGAACACAGTCGGGCATCGCCAAAGGGGAAGCCGCAACGTGGACTTGGTATCGGGTATCTTTGCGGCCAAGATGCAGCGGCGGGGCAGAATCGAGGGGTCAGGAAGGCGCCAGGTGGTCGGCGGCCGAGTTCTTGGGTTTCCCGGAAAGTACCGGTACCTCAAGATGCTGACCGCCCCAAACGTAAGTGCCCCGCTTTGGAAACCCCCAATGGTTTTGGCGGGAGTGCACCACTGACTGGTACCTGGACTTTTTTTCTGGCCGCCCCCCAACCCAAGCGATTCTGTGGTCCCCTGTGCAAGCTGCTGCCCTGGGAGAGTGTTTTTGCCAAAGCCCAGTTCGGAATCGGCCCTCATCCTCGTCTTTTTCCCCAAGGGAGCTGCAACTCCAGACCAATCTTCCCCTCCTCCCACTCTGCCTTTCCTCTGGCTTGCTCCCACATCTCCGTCCGCGCCCACGCGTCTGATTTCCAGCAGTTCTGCTTGTTGAGGCTTCTCACTCAGGTAAATAAATTGCCCCTCACTTGAGGTCGGGACAGCACTGCTGCTAGTACCACTGCCTTATATCGAACCTCCCAATTTCGCAGCCAGCCGCTCGCGAACTCGTGAGCACTTGCTTGGAGGTTGCCTTTTTAGGGGACATCGCACTAACGATCCGGAAAGCAGAAGAAACACAGTAAAGCCGATTCCCACGACGTGTAAAGGGAGAAGAAAGGTTCCTTACATACCAGCAAGATGTCCGCGAAGAGCATTCTCGAAGCCGATGGCAAGGCCATCATCAACTACCACCTCACCCGTGCTCCGGTGATCAAGCCCAGCACTCTCCCTCCTCCGACTAAGCACAACGCCCCCCCCAGGCTTGCTTCGCTGCACTTCCCTGAGGACAAGGACGTCAACGCCGTGCTCGACCAGGCCGAGATCACATACCCGTGGCTGCTTCACCAGGACGCCAAGTTCGTCGCGAAGCCAGATCAGCTCATCAAGCGACGTGGCAAGAGCGGTCTGCTTGCGCTCAACAAGTCATGGGCCGAGGCGAGGGCGTGGGTTGCTGAGCGCGCTGGCAAGACGCAGAAGGTCGAGCACACAGAGGGTGTTCTCCGTCAATTCCTGGTTGAGCCCTTCGTGCCGCACCCTTCTGACACCGAATACTACATCAACGTGAGTTGCCTCATTTTCAGATGGATTGTCAAAGACAACCTGTGCTAACACCTCGCAGATCAACTCAGTCCGTGATGTAAGTTTGTTCCGAATTTCAGTACAGCCGTTTCTTGGCGCAGGGTGGGATTTGATTCGCAAAAGTAGCCCCCACTTGCAAGTGCAAGCTAGCATGGCCACAAATCGATGCTGGGTCGTGAAGTGAAGAGCCGGGAAACAAAGGAGAGGCCAAAGCGATGGGATGTGCGCACCGAGCAGCGGGTGCTTCTGAGTCTTTTTATACTCGGAAAATGCTGTGAGGGTTCGAGAGTTTGCAGGCGGGGCTTTTATCCTCCCTTGTGAAAAAATGCGGCTGTCCGTTACCTTCACGGACGAACGGAGGCTAAACCGTTTTGCGGTGTGGACCGGCCCGGCCCACCGACCGAAAGCGCGCGCATGACAAAGAGCTTCCGAAACATGGCTAACAACTCATGTCTTTCAGGGCGACTGGATTCTCTTCACCCACGAGGGTGGTGTTGATGTCGGTGATGTCGACGCCAAGGCGGAGAAGCTTCTCATCCCCGTCGACCTCAAAGAATACCCGTCAAACGAGGAGATCGCTGCCACTCTCCTGAAGAAGGTCCCTAAGGGCATTCACAACGTCCTCGTCGATTTCAGTGAGTTTTCCCTAGTCGTTTGACACACATACATCTGCTTACTATTCCGTTTTCAGTCACCCGCCTCTACGCCGTCTATGTTGACTGCCAGTTCACATACCTCGAAATCAACCCTCTGGTCGTCATCCCCAACGAGGATGCCACTTCCGCCTCGGTCCACTTCCTCGATCTTGCTGCCAAGCTTGACCAAACAGCAGACTTTGAGTGCGGTGTGAAGTGGGCTATTGCCAGGTCGCCGGCCGCCCTCGGCATCACGGCCCCGACGAGCAGTAGTGGCGCCGTTAGCATCGACGCCGGCCCGCCGATCGAGTTCCCCGCTCCGTTCGGCCGTGAACTCACTAAGGAAGAGGCTTACATTGCCGAACTTGATGCGAAGACTGGTGCCTCGCTTAAGTTGACCGTCCTCAACCCCAACGGCAGGATCTGGACCCTGGTTGCCGGTGGTGGTGCCTCCGTCGTCTACGCTGATGCCATCGCATCGGCTGGCTTTGCCGATGACCTCGCCAACTATGGCGAGTACTCCGGTGCCCCCACCGAGTCCCAGACCTATCACTACGCCCGCACCGTCCTTGACCTGATGCTCCGTGCTCCCATGGATCCTAAGGGCAAGGTTCTCTTCATCGGCGGCGGTATCGCCAACTTTACCAACGTTGCTAGCACATTCAAGGGTGTCATCAAGGCGCTCCGTGAGTACGCCAACACCCTTAACGAGCACAACGTCCAAATCTGGGTCCGCCGCGCGGGCCCCAACTACCAGGAGGGTCTCAAGAACATGAAGGCCGCGACACAGGAGCTTGGCCTCAACGCCAAGATCTTCGGCCCCGAGATGCACGTCAGTGGCATCGTACCCCTAGCTCTCATTCCCGGCAAGTGGGAGGAGAGCAAGGCTGAGGAGTTTAAGGCTTAAAGGGGTGGTATAAAGGAGGAGTAGAATTGATTATTCGCCCGGCCGTCTGAGGATTTAAACGGCACATTTTAACCCCTGGGATACGAGATCCCCAATAGAAAGTATAATACACCAGTTGAGATGCTCAACGTTTCTCTACAGGATAATGCTACTCCTCCCGGTGCATGTGTTCCCGTTTTAAATCTTCCCCGATTTTGTATGACTGACATCGCGGGGTCTACATTTTGTGTGGGAGGGCCGGCGTCGAGGCCGATAATGTCCGGTTCCGAATATCTCCTTCCTTGGCCACACGAGGTTACAGGTCGCAGCAGATCCAGCACTGCGACGGCCCAAGGCCCTTGTATTATATACGTTCAGAAAACTTGCCTCTTGTCCAGTATCACTACCTAGTTCCGGCGGAAGGGTGTGTTGCATCGTCCTCAAGCTGCCCTCTGTCTGCTCTGGGGAGGACATGGCCCGAAAAGTCTTCTCACCCGATTTTGGTACATAGTAAAGGCAAGCCCGCATTGAACTCGATAACCCAGGTATAACGAGTTAGCGAAAATCTTACGTCGGTTGTCACTGCCGTGTTTTTTTTCTTTCTACTTTCTCAGGGGTCTTGAGATTTGGCTAGGTAATTAATTGACGCACTTGGGATACCAGCCACCGGGATGTCAATGACAAAAGTACAGGTGATTAATTTCGTTTTTCTTTAATCACTCATCGGCCGTGTTGGATAGTTACATGTTTTAGTGCTCAGCACTCCCTCGGTCTGTGCATAGCTCCCCGTAGATTGTTTTCTTTGCCCCCTTCCTCTTCTAATATCTTCTTTCTTATTTGCCTCACCCGTTTCCCGGCATAGTACGAAGTACTCCGTAGTTTCTCCTGTTTCCCCCATTAACTATGTGTAAGATCATTTGCCGTGGAGTTGATGTGATATTCGGCAAACCTGATCTTCAATCCAACAAACCCAATTCTGTCAATTCGTGGTTTATGTCGATCGGTGTGCATCACAATTTTGGAACGTCACAACACAGTGGAGTTAAGGGATTTTCCCCCAGCAAACCACCCCTGGATGTAATATTTTCTGTTCGGTTTGACCGCCCGTTTGAATTGGGTTTTCCTGGCACTGTTTTTGTCACTGTCTGTCGGTTGCTCGCGTGCTGATGGCTGGGTTGTTGCGAGTGGTCAAGCTTTGGGGGGAAAAGGGGGGGGTGGAAAGCAAGGCACGCTGTGGGCAAGGTGGAAATAATTCGTCAGGTTGCTGGCGAGATGTTGAATGATGGAGGCTAGGTTGAAGGGATATACTGAAATCAATGAAGGTAAAGGAAATTGACCGGTAGATATACCTAAGGTGGGCAGCCGTGCATTTTTTCGGTAAGCTTCGGTTTCGGCCACGGAGCCGAGTGGTGGTTTGAAGGACGTGCTGGTTGGGGGAAGCTAACGGAAAGGTAACATAGAGGAAGATGGTTTGTGTTCAAAGGGCAAAACTCCAACGCATGGGAACGGCCATGAGAGAAACCACCAAAGCAGAGGAACGGAACGCTGACACAAGCACAAGACCGAAACAAAGCCTAATTCTTCTCCTCTACTCCCCAATTCGAAGGTATAGCCCCCGCTCCCACTCTCTCCAACTTCTACACCAACATTAACAACCCAACCAACACAACCAAATCCCTCATCGGTATCCTTCCACAAATCTCCAAGCATCTGCTAGACCCCAACCCCAAACTCCCCATCCCGTCAACAGCCTCCATCCTTGTTTCCCCACTAATCGCTTTACATGATAAAAGCACCAAGGACAGCAAAGATGCTCATAGCCGCAGCAGAGACCACACCAGCGCCGGTGATGGGCGCCGCGTCGTCGCTCGGGGTGGCGTCGGGCTCGCCGGTGCCGGTACCGCTGCCGCCGCCGGAGGTGCCAGAGCCCGTGTTGCTACCGGGGCCTGGATAGAGAGTTTCGTTAGTCCAGGTTTTTTTATAAAAGAAAAGGGTGGGGGGAGACGGAAGGGGAACGCACTGTTGATGGTATCGTCGGCGAGGGGCTTAACGGCCAGGTTGGTGATGACAGAGCCATCCGAGTTCTTCACAGTAAACTTGACCTTCCAGTTATCAATCTTGACAATCTGGCCCTTGGGGGCATGCTTGATGCCGTCGTCAATAAGGGCCTGAGCACCAGGGGGCGGGACGGGCAGGGTGAAGTTGCTGTTGAAGCCCTTGGTGGTGATGAGCTTCTCGTCGCAGACGGGGGCCTTGTTGGAAGACGAGGGGGCCTTTTGCGCCTGGATGGTGGTGAAGTCGAGCTTGCCGTACTGCTTCTTGAGGTCGTCGTAGTCGGTGCGGAGCTGGGCGGACCCGTCGGTCTTCATGCTGACCAGACCGAAGTTGTTGTCCTCCTGGGTGTACTCGTAGACGACGCCGCCGGAGAAGACGTCGGTCATTTGGTTGCCGTAGATGGTGGAGACTTCGGTGAAGATGCGCGGGGACGGAGTGTTGCAGCCGTATTCAGAGAAGAAGATGGGGACGGCGTTGCCCTTGAAGCCGTTGACGAGCTCGTCGTACTTGGCCTTCTTGAAGTTGCTGTCGCCGCACCAGCTGTAGCTGTTCAGGGCGAAGATGTCGCCGCGGCTCATGTTGCCGTCGTCGCCGTCGAGGGTGCACTGGAAGTAGTTGTAGGTGTCGAAGAGGATGTCACGGACATCGGCAGCGGAGTAACCGACGGGGATGGGGCGGGTGGAGTGCTTCTTGACGTAGTTCTTGATGTCGCGGGTGACGGCGCGGACATACGGGGGAACATCGGCGCCGGTCTCTTCGTTATTGAGAACCTCGTTGCCGGAGAAGAAGGCCAGGGTGTTGGGGTAGTCCTTGAACGCCTCGACGACGGCGAAGGTGCGGTTCAGGTAGGCGGCATAGTACGACTCCCAGGGGTGGTAGCTGGTCAGGGACTCGCCGACGAGGGGAGAGTTGACGTCCAGGACCATGTACATGCCGGCGGCGTTGAAGATGCTGGCGCACTTGTCGTGGTTGACGTTGGGGTTCACGTTGTACACACGGATGGTGTTGACACCGAGAATCTGGAGGAGAGCGGCATCGCGCAGGCAGATATCGGGGTCGCTCAGGGGGTCACGGCCCGAGGCCTCGTCGTAGCCGGCAGAACCGCCGGGCTGGTAGGCGACGCCGACAATCTGGAAGCGGTTGCCGGTCTTGGGGTTGACAAAGAACTGGTCCTGAACCTCGAGAGGCTGAACGGCAGCGGCGAGGGTAGCGCCGAGCGCTACAAGCGCCGTTTGAAGCTGTAATGAGAGTTAGCGTCTTGTCATCTCATCTCCCCAAGTTTGTTCCAACAGGAACAAGCGTGAGTGAGGTTGTGGTCGCATGTTGCGCAAAAGTTGACCATTGATACCACGAATTTAAGAAATATCGTAAATATCATGAATACACCCCTGCGCTCAGCCCTTAAACCTTAACGTACAAGCATCGTGAGTTTCTTGGTCGAAAGTGTCGTTATCAAAAATCGGTTGCTGGAATTACGCGAAATACGGAACTCGGAATGCGAAATTGAAAAACAGGGCGCAGAATAAAAATTTGGGTCAAAAGAGTGACAAGAATGGCGAAAGAAGTTGCACAAAGGCGCGTTCTTTCCCAAATCCAAAAGAGTGACTGGGTTTTAAGGTGATATGGAAAACGAAGGACGAGGGAAGCCTGACAGAAGAGAGGTTCAAGAAGGAACGGAGTCGACCTCGGTGCATCGAAACACACCCATTCTCACACACACGGGAACACGAAGGGGGTCGTTGGATGAGGTCAATTGGGAGTTCCCAGGACAGGCATAGCGGCGCTGCTCGTCCCTGGATACCCCAGGGTTTTACCAGTAGGCGGTTTATTATTGGCTGTTCTCACCAGGGGAAATTGTCACAGTGCCCATTTTGACCCAGGCCCTAAACCGGGTTGGGACTGGTGCGCCGGGCAAAAGAACCGAAAACTGTGTGGACGGTGTGTTTGCGGTGGAAGCCGACCGCCCGCACCGAGAGATACGAGATGGCAGCAGAGGAAACCATTGACGCCATTGAGAACCTGCTCAGCAATACGAGTCGCTATCACGCGCATGAAGTTTATGCGGCTGAGTGCAGGGCAGCAGCATCGTGACTGTGACTTTACTTCGTACAATCAATAATGCGACAAAATCGGTTTGAGAATCCGAAGCGCGAGGAAGTCATGGAAGTCTCTGAGAAACCCTCTGAGGTCTCCAAGGTCACCAGCTCAGGGACTCGACCAAGGAATTTGTTTCGTCGTGTGGCGGTGCCATCCACTGCACTCTTGACTCGCAAACCGTTGGTGGGACTGGCGCCGCTGCCCCGCGCTTCGTCGATCTTCAGGGTTTCGAGATGAACTCGGAGGGGAGCTTTGGAAGCTGAAGCGCTGGAAAGGGAGAAGAATGATTGCCTCATTTGGCAGCCAAGCAAATGAGACCAGCTTCTCAAACACCACAGTGCGGATTGGGCCGTTTCATTTTGGCGTTGCAGCGGCCTCCCACTCCCACATGCATGGTTTGTGGCCCGTCGCGCACGAGGAAACGTGACGCGGGTGCGCAGGTTGCGCGGGTTGCTCTGTGCTTGTTGCACCCGACGGCCCGTATGTGTAAATCTCGGATCCGGGGCGGTGAAGGAAAGGGGAAGCGAGGGAAGGGAAAGTGGGGGTGATTGACAGGAGAAACATATTAAACTGGTGGTAAGGTCAGAGAAATGGAAATAAAATAAATAATCAACAGTCACGTTGTCAGAGGAGAGAAAGGGGCCTAAGAAATGTTGACACAAACTCTTGTTTGTTTGAGATCAGACCATCCACAGCGGCAACGCGCCTTCCCGCTCGAACCCACAGGATGCACAGATGCACACAAGCATCGACTTCCAGGCTGGGAAACAGCTGCGTCATCTCTGTCTCCAGTGGATCGAATTCTGCATTTCTTTGGAGTTGTTTCTCCACTGTTTGTTTTTTTCGGTCGGCCTGCCGGATCTTCAAGATGCAGATGTGGCGTTGTTGCACAAAGCCAAAGCCAACGACAGCAGGTGACTTGGATGACAAAGCAGCGCCAACGTCTCGAACCTTCGCTAGGCTGAACTGAAGACGACATCTCACGGCTTACAATGATGCTTAACAATTTCAGATAGTTCCAACTTTTAATAACAACCTTTCTGACTTTACCAAGTTTCAACGTCCTCATCCATTCATCACTAAAAGTGCATAATCTAGTCACTAAAAAGTCTGAGAAATAAACCCCTGACGTCATCACGACGTTTCTCTCGGAGGTGAACTCACAACACCACCCTCTTATATCCACGACCATTATATCCACGATCAACAACAACGCCAAGTTGGGAATCATAAACACGGGTTCGACGATGGATCCCATTGAGGCAGCCCCAGAGGCGGCCCCAGAGGCTCTTCCGCTCGACTCCCTAAACGTCACCGACGACGCTTCCGCCGAAATCACCATCAAATTCCCTCCCGAGAAACACAACCAGACCTGGATCTTCTCCCCAACCGACACCTTCGAGCACCTCCTCCAGACTCTCTCCCTCGAGTTCCCCTCCTACGACTGGTCCAAAGCCAAAGCCCTCCCCGAGAAGCCCAAACACCAACACCAGCCCAACCCCGACCACCCCAAACTCAAACCCCTCTACACCCCCTCCTCCGACGCCTCCCTCCCCCTCTCCAACCTCCACCAAACCACCCTCCGCCTCCTCGCCCCCCAACTCTCCGCCCTCACCACCCTCCAGACCCAACACACCACCGCCACCACCTGGCAAGCCAAACGCGCCCTCACCCTATCCCGCTACTCCCGCCTCCCTCAATCCCAACGCGCCACCGCCGCCGACCTCTCCTACACCTTCCACACCCTCCGCCCCCTCCCCCATCTCCCCAATCCCGACCGTTCCCTCGCCTTCCTCGAACGCCTCAAGTCCGACCCCGGCATCCGCGCCGCCATGCGCAAACGCCACTTCTCCGTCGGTTTACTGACGGAAATGGATCCGTCAGCAAACACGTCTGCGTCACACGAAGGGGTGACGCGGATCTTGGGACTGAACCGCAACAAGGGGGAGGTGATTGAGCTGCGGTTACGGACGGATGCGTATGATGGGTGGCGGGACTACAAGACGATTCGGCGGACGTTGTGTCATGAGCTGACGCACAATGTGTTTTCGGAACATGATGGACAGTTTTGGGCGTTGTGTCGGGAGATTGAGAGGGAGGTGGAGAGGGGGGATTGGAAGAGTGGAGGGAAGAGTATGGGTGGGGGGGAGTTTGCGCCGGAACGGGGGGTAGAGGAGGAGGGGATGGTGATGGATCATGGGGGGTGGGAAGGGGGAACGTATGTTCTTGGTGGGGGAGGTGGTGGTAGTACTGCTGGGAGTGGTGGGAATGGGGAGAATGGGGGGTTGACTGCGAGGGAGGTGAGAGCTAGAGCGGCGGAGGCGAGGTGGTCGAATCTGGAGAAGGCGACGAGACAGGGGGGACAGGAAAAGGGGGCGGAGGAGGAGAAGGAATAGAGTAAATCCTTAAGAAGGACGATGGAGTTTGAGTGGGTTAAATGGGTGATACCACTGGATTGCAGGACTGGTAGTCTACAGGCGTTACGGGTAAACATGGTTGAGTTCCGTTCAGGGTTCTGAGGTTGGAGAGAAGTTGTTCAGAGTCAACTGAACTGGTGGTTATTATAATATCAAAGACTAGGGATGTCTGTATGACATCAACTGTTCCAAGATATAAGAACTAAAAACTATTGGTAAACTAACCTGGCTTTATTGTGACCTTTTTAGTATTAGAGTTAGCTATTGCTATGATCCCAACATAGGTTTTTGTTGTATTGACTTATATAAAAATAGTTCAGATTTACCTTGATATGATGATGGCGACGACATTGATACTTCGAAACAATAGAATTTATTATTTTACCTGAAGTCGGCTCTGAAATTTATTCTCCGCACTTCTGAGCTTAGTATGAACATATCTAACCCTTTCTCATGCCACATGTGATAACGACAGTAACCCGATTAACCGCCGCTTTACAGTCCATACCTCTCCACCCCTATTTTTCACACCTCATCATTCTTCACATAGCATGACACAGCAAACCACAACCAGAGCATCACAACCTCAAAAGCCAAATCAACAAATAACCCTTCTTCCTATCCATTCACCAAGCAAACGATTAATCTACTTCGTACCAACCAACCAACCAACTAATCAACCCAAACCAATCAAAACTCAACCCCCAAAAGAAAGACCACCATTTAAAGTCCTTAAAAACGCCTTGCGAATTTGTACCGCAATCTCCTCCCCAACCGACGCCAATTCAACGCCAAAACCAGGCCGCCTACGGCCGGCATACCAAGCATACCAAACAGACTGCCCCCCTTGTTTGTATTCTTAGTTTCCGGCCCAAGAGTGTTGTGTTGCAATGTATATGAAAGCAAGAGAGAGATTGAGGGAGGTAGGGAATGTGTGGGATAACGTAGGGAATGGGTGTTAAGCGATGGTAGGAATGGAAAGCAAAACCCAGGAAAGGAAGAAAGAACCAACGCCTTGAGGCGGCGTAAAAGGGAATGATATTGTACAGATAATGATACAAAGAGAAATGCTGTCGGCGTAAGCACAAAGAATAAAAAAAAGGTGTAGAGAGTGTCCTGTAAAAGACGACGATAACGATGCCGTGGTAAAAGAAAATGTAAAAACCCCAGAAAAGGGTATCGCCTCAGGGTGTCCTCGCCTCCTTTTATCCATCGACAGGTTGATCCATCCAACCATCCACCCACCCACCCGTTAGTCTATCCTTCGGCCTAACCAGCCATGCAAATGTCCGTAGATCCAGCAAACCGAACCCATCCAAGCGCCTGATGCGCAGCAACCAAAAAGGATTAGGTATTACCCGTGTGCACACGCGTATGTATCCCTTTTTCTCTCTTCCCAATGCTGTTGTTGTTTTCCAACTCTCCACTTCAGACCTCCTCCGGCTCCTCACAAACCGTCCCATCGCTGATACAACTCTCCCCGTCTCCATCTTCGAATCCCGACTCGGCACACGAGTCTTGTCCCGCCGTGGTTGGTCGATCTGGATCTCGGTAGCGGTCTCGCTCTCGATCTCGATCTCGATCCCGTTCCTCATCCCTCAGCCTCATCCTCAGCTTTTCGTCTAGCATGCTGACCAGCCGCTCGCTGTACTGATCTAACAGCCCGCTGAGGAGCGTTTCGCTGACCTCGGGCCCGACTCCATTGCTGTTGTTGCTGGCATTGGTACCGCCATTGGCACCACTTGCCCCGCTATTACTTCCATGCCTTGACCTATTATCCCTGTCCCTGTCTCTTTCTCTCCTCCCACTCCCATTCCCACCCCCCAAACCAGCCCCATGCCCACTAGCCATTCGGCTGCGAATCGCCCTTTCACCCAGTGCGGCCGCCGTCAATCTTAACTCCGCATCCAGTTGCGCCAGCACATCCGCATGAATCGTGTCTGCCGAAGCTAGTTTCTTGCGGTACGCCCTCAGCTGCCGGCACGTCTGCTCCGTCGCCATGCTCAATGTCCCAAAGCCATATCCACCACTTCCCCCATTACTGCCGTTATTGCTTCCGCTGCCATTCGTAGTCCCGTTCGTACTGCTGCGGTGGTTGCTGGAGTTCTTTCGGGACTTGACTAGTGACGACGGGGTAGCACCTAGCGCGGGAAGCGATGGGCGGCGGGACATTTTGTTGCGTGTCTTGGGGCTAGCCGGTGGTGGGCTGTCGTCGGAACATCGAGAGCCGCCTCCGGACGACGGACGGCGGGATGGTGTTTGGGCATGCGTGTCGTCGATAACGATGGTGCTGGTGGCGCTAATCGGAGAGGTGGAGGGTTTTTCGGGGGTGTTGATGATCTTGTTGTTATTATCACTGTTATTGGTCACGCCATTGCTGCTGTTCGGCGTGCGAAGTGAGGAGAAAGGAAGTTGAAATTTCGATGGGCGGCGATTGACGTGACGGCCGCTTGAGCCGTTAGGAGTCAGCCCAGCCGAGGACGACGGGCGTTGAAACTCGGCGAGCTCTGCTTTCGACAGGACCCGACGTAGTGGTGGCCGAGCAGACGTCGGCTGTGGCAGTTTCTCTGGAGACGGATCCCGGGACCGCGAATCGTTGGCCGGTTCTTGGACCTCGAGGGTCCAGATCATGATGGTGCCGTCCTCTCCCACGCTCACAATCCTGCGACCTGTCTCCTCGTTATCGACGAGGACCACGCCGTTGATGGCCTCGGTATGGCCCCATTCGCGGTCCACAAAGCAGCCCGCCTGCGCGTCGTAGACCCGAACCGACTTGTCCGTGTTGGAGATACCCAGCAAAAACGGCAAATCAGGCCCGACCTGGCCATGCGTGAGAGACTCGAGTACGACGGCATCCTGCCCAGCCTCGTCATTGCATTTGAACGAGCTAAGCATACGCCCGCTGGGGAAGTCAAACTGGCAGACGGAGCGGTCTAGAAGCGACACAAAAATCGCCTTCTCCTCTGCCGTGACCACCATCGACGACGGGGACGCCTTCAAGGAGATGACTTTGAATGGAATCGCCGCCATCACGTCGGGGTCCCCTTCTCGGCTCACCAGCTCATGGACCTGCAGCGTCCGGTCCAGTGAACAGGTCAAGAGCTTGTCCTCGGTCGGGATGAGTACCTGCACCACCTTGGCACTGAACTCAAGCGTTTGGAAATGCTCAAACGCGCCCGCGGAGGAACGGTGGAAGAGCTGCACCGTACGATCCCGGCCGCACGAGGCCACGAGAAACCGGGTCTTGCCCTCGTACACACTGATATCCTGGCAGTTGGAGGAGTGGGCCTTGGTCTCTAGCAGACACTCCCCCGAGGAAGCCTCGACAACCCGGAGCACGCCCAGCTTGTCGCCGGCCACAAAGAGGCTCCCGTCGTCGGTAGCTTTCGCCACAACGACTTGATTGGTCGGGTTGGACTCGGTACCCGCGTCTGGGGGCTGTTCCAGGGGTATGTCAATGACCGACTGGACCATGCCGTCCAAGTTCCAGGTCGTCACCCGCCCGGCTCCAGACCATGTGAAGAATCCGGTGCCCATCCCGTTGGGCGCGCAAAGGCGTTGAATTCCCACGATTGGGTCACCGAGTCCGGGAAGGGCGATGTGCGATTGGTCTTCGACATCGCCCAGTTTGTTAGACACGTTGTCAGCGCTCCATATGTCGATGGAACGCCGGCTGTCAATGGTCACAAAATTCTCAGCGAGGAACCCCATGGCGATTAGACCCGAAGTCCTGGTCGAACCATGCACGGTCGGGTCGGGGTTGCTGTTCAAGATATCGTTCAGGCCGATGGTAGCAAACTGCCCTTCCTTGCCTCCAACATACACAGCCTCGCCACGGCGGGACACGCAGGTAATGCTGAAGTCAACCTCAAGCACCTTGGTCAATTTTATCTGCTTGTTGGTGTCATCCACCAAGCAGACGCATCCCGTCTCAGAGCAGATCACTGCCTTCTCGTCCGATAACGGAAGCGTACAGGAGAACGTAGCATCCAACATGGACCCCAGCAGGATGTTTCTCCCGGGTAGCGGCTTTTGCGTCTGAATAGTAGGGGCAGGTGCTGTGGCATCGGTAGTTTTCGATTTCGCTGCAGTGCCACCAGCAGCAGTCCCCGGCGAAGGTTCCGGCTCGTCATCAAACACCCTCCACACCTTCGCATGGCGCACACCAAATGTGATGACGCTCGTCCCCATCCATACCATCCCCCGGACTGACGAGGTGCACTTGTTCTGCTGGAACAACTTCACGGCGCCCGTGCGAGGGTCAACCTTCCACAGATACAAGAACCCGTCGTTGGCCGCACCGAGCGAGGCCAGGTACCGGGTATCGGGCGACCACGCGACGGCCCTAACGCCAAAAGTATGCTCACTTATGGATACTAGAGGCACGTCGGAGGAAGCGTCCTGGAGGTTGAAAAGCAATACGCGCGGGGCGTACCCAGTTTCGCCGACGGCAAGATATCGGCCATCCCGACTCAGGGCCAGACAGGTGGCGGCCTTGATGCGCTCACGGCTAGTCCATGTCTTGGAGGAGGGCGACTCGGCCGGCCACTCGGACGAGGGGGCGTACAGCGACTCTCGCGGGGAAGCAGCCGTTCGGTTCCGGCTGTCGTTGGCCTTGGGAGTGGCGATGGGCGTCGATGACGAGGCATTGGTAGCGGGGCTGACGGCGAGTAGGGGCACGGCACTCGGACGGGCGCGGTAGAAACGTTGGGCATAGTGCTCTCCAGAGACATCGACAACCACGACGGCACCGCCAGCAATGTAGGCAAAGGACGACTGGACGGTGTCGAATCCGGTGGGCGAGGCGCAGGTGGTCCCTACCACACGCTGAAGGGAGAGGCTCGAGTCGTAGAGGGCTCGAGGCCGGATCGGAGAGCGGGAGGGGCGGGTGAGAAACGGGGAGGCGGACGGTGTAAGCTTAATCCGGTTTGAGGGAGTGGATGCCATCGCTCTTCGCCATGAACTGGTTCGGACGGGGCGAGCACGGAAGCTGGAGCGAGAACGAAGGGGGGGCTAAGCGGTGGTGTATGAACATATGGTGGGGGACGGACGACTTCGGAAGAAAATTGTCGGTGTAGAGGTGTGCCAAGTAGGGAAGTTACTTGTCTGCACCCAACCTCCAAGGTAGGTGTCCTGGGACGTTGGTTGGCTGATAAAGATGGCTGGCCTGTTCGAGCGCAGCAGAAGGAGCGCGGTGAAGAAGAAGTCGCCAGCAGCGAAGTCGACGAAGGGCGGAGAATGTACGGAATGCGTCTGTCTAACCCGAGGCTGCCCAAAGGAGTGATGGGTCAGAACGGCTCGGGGATGTGCGTGAGGTGGTAAAAGCTAAAAAGCCAAAGCAGGCGCGCAGAAGCGAGTAAACAAGTCAGAAGGCACGAATGCGAGAGAGGAGACATGGAAATGGAAGGTCAAGCAACAGGGCCGCATGCAGAAACAGAAGACGGCTTTGTTCTTGACGAACATAGTAGGACAAACATCCCATAGCTAAGGTAGGTACGGAGGTAGGTCGGAATCCGGAGGGTAGCTTACAATGACATGAAATCGTGCTGCGAGACAAACCCAATTGTCCCGAAGCCGACGTCGAATTAGGGCTGGGGCGCGATGGTCGACATTTGCGGGGGGGAGAAACGGCGTCGGGGGGGAAAACCGCCAGTCTGCGATTGATGATCGAAGGAGACTGGGTGAGCCACCCTAGCACAGACTTTCCGTGAAAAACACACCAGCCACCGTCCGCAATGTCCCCAGTCAAATCTCCAGCGGACGCAAGCCTCATGGAAACCTTCAGCTTGTTGGCGCACAGCTCCCCAGTGGGTTGGTTTTTGGTGGCTGGCGCTCGGCTTGCAGGGGGGTAAGCTTGGGAAAAGGTGCAAAAAAGAAAAATATGGCCCGTGCTCCACGCCTATCTGGGTTTGGCGCCAGCTTCTTTCCCGTTTAGGGAGACTATCAGCGGGGCCAGCCGCTCGGAGCTGGGCGTTGAGTGGTCACGGACAGTGAACCCAGTGCCCAAAGTCAACATGGACCTGGCACTGTCGGCTGCGGTTGCCCTTGGCATGCTTGTGTGAGTTGTCGTCCAGCTGGCAGTTCTGATAGAGAACTTGTCTTTTTAACTTTCGTTCCGTTATACCCTCCCTCGGGTAAGAATTTCAAGCCGGCTTGAGATCGGGCCCCGGCATTGCTTCAAGGTGTGATGGGGCGTTCTGACGTTGCATTAGTACGGCCCGGACTTGCATGCTGCAAGATTGACACCCAAGTACCACCCTAAATTGAGGCACCATTGGCTGGGGGTGGGATCCATCTTGAGGCCGAAGCTGGCACAACCCTGGGAGCCAGCTGGCACATTCTCGGGTAGCACCGCTGGGTGTGAATGTCGTCGAGAAAAGGTTTTCTCGAATATCATGAAAGGAGAAAGGGGTATCGTGGTATTTTGTCGATAATCGGGCCGACGAGTCGAAGAGTGCGTAAGGTATGTAAGTAAGGTGGCTGATGCTCGCCCATGCAGAAAAGCACTACATACGACTTCGGCTACTATGAACATGAGCTCACTCCTGTTTCCTTGCCTTTTCCATGGAACCTGGATTCAAGCTGGTGGGCTATCGGGCGATATAAGTGGAGGGTGGTCATTTCCGCCATCTACACAGTAGGGGGTAGTAACCCAAGTGCAGCGCTCATCCAAATATTCGTACATCGTACATCATCTGGCCCCTTTATGATTCCTGATTCTATCTGTTCATTCATTCGTCTCCTTTCAGCACATCAGCGCACAAGCATACTTCGACAGCTGCCCCAGCATTTCCGCCGTCGACGCAATGCCCCGCCCTCGAACGAATATCCAGCATTATCATCACCCACTCAGTACGGCCTCATTGCCCTCGCCAACCGCCTCTGCATGTCCGCCCGTACATGCTTATTCTTATGCGTCGGCCCGCGCGGCTCATTCCAGACAGGATCACGCACAATCCCTTCCTCGCGCCACTTGCGCGGCGGTTTCTTGCCCAGTGCCGCCCACTTCGACCACACCTGCTTGCCACGCTCGTGCCAACGTGTCTCCCTCCTCTCCTCCGCCTCCGCGTCGGGCGTCCATTTGGACTTGAGGATACGCCGGATCGCCTCGGGCGAAACTTCGAATTTCTGTGCCAGTGCCGCGGTGGTATAGGTTTCCGGGAACTGCTTGTTGAGCATGCGGATGCCGGCGAGGGCGTCGGGGGAAATCTTCTTGCGCGGGTTCCAGCCGTCGGGGAATTTTTCCTTTAGGGCTTCTTTCTGTATTTTCCATGATTCTTTGGGGGTGAATTTTTTGGCATTCGGTTTAGCCCAGTCGCTGCTCGCTCCGCTGCTTTTCGACTGGGTTCTGCTAGACCTCGATCCTTCTGACTTGGGTTTGTAGGCACCGTCTCCCTTTCCTCCTCCCCCCGCGTCTCGGCCCCGGTCTCGGTATCGGGCTTTCTTGCCAGTCCTTATCTTGACCGGTCTGGGGCTGGGCTCCGCCGCAACCCGGGGGCCGGGAGCGGGGGTCTCGATGTGATAGTCGGCGGCATCGGCAGCCGTGAACTCGGGTGTGTCTTCGTCGTCGTAATAGTTGTTGTTGTTGTTCGTATAACCCCCATCGTCAACCACCAAGGCGGCTCCCACCGCGCTGCTCTTCCGAGCACATGATGTGTGTAGGGCCCGTGATGTGGCCGTGGCCAGGGGACTTGGTTTTTGAGTTCCCAAACAGTACTGCTGGGTCGAGAGGGCTCGGTATTGTCCTCCACGTCCGTGTGGTATGGTTCGCAAGGGGAGCGAGACTTGAACTCGTGTGATGTTTCTAACAAAAATTCGGAGGGCTGCTGTGCGGCAGGAACAGTCCATTGTTAGAAAAAATGATCGGAAAAGGAAAATGGCGAGGGTATGGTGGGGGAAAGCAATCGGAGGAAATGCAAAAATCGACCCAAGACTGACGACGGTTTTCCTCTTTGGAAAATTTCCATGAACCCTGGCGGCGAAGACGCCCCACCGCGGCGAAATGTGGGGTGTTTAAGTGGGGCTTCAATTCGCCGTCCCCATCGGAACTCCTACGTCTACGGCTATCAACTCCATAGCCTGCGTCAAGATAGGGGTGAAGAATAACCAGCAAAGACATAAAATCACATTCTTCCTGGATACCTGCATCTTCCCTTCTTAGACCATCCCGACGTGGCACAGGCCTCGTTGGCCGCTGTGGAAGTGAGATGGAGAGCGGCTTGTTACAGTTTCTGAGACGATCGACCGGGTAGTGTGATTCAGGAACAATTAGGCCTGATCCTGCCCGGCGTTTGGGGGCCATGTGTTGCGGGATCGCAAATCCGGCGAGATATTACTAACCAGTTAACTGGTTAATGTCGCCGGGCTCTTGGGACGGCCGATCCTTCGGCCGCTTGGCCGGCTCGCCTTTTTATCCAAGGTGGGAGGTGGCTTGGTTTGTAACAGCTTATGACCGAAGAAATGCGTCCGACATTGCTGGAAAGCACATCAGATTATAGCTGGGACTTGAGAGTGTATGTGTTTTGCTGACAGTGCTCTGAATGAGCTCTATTACGGAAGCATAGGGGGTGGGCCTACCTGCCCAACCCCCGCTTAGTATGTACAATGTAATGACAATGCCTTTTCAAGACACGACGCCAAAGCTATCCTAATGAAGACAGGTATGCTTTATCCGCCGCCGCGACTCTCGCGCGCGCTCCCTTTCAGGTGTCCATGTCCATGCTCCTAAACGCCGACCGTCCCAGTTCTCCTAGAATTTGAGGTCCCAACCCAGAATGCAACAATGTAAAAGGAAGAAAGGTGTTAAAAGGGCCGAAATCTAAGCATCAAGCATCAGCTCGACTGGCGGCCGCGCAGTATGCGTCACGAGCATCTTAGGCGCCGCATCTGCAATCGGGCTCATCTCGTCAGGCTCGTCCGTCATGTCGTGGATAATGACACACGGCAGATCCGGGCTGGCGCCAAGCTCCGGGTTCGGCTGGAATACTAGCGTCGAGCTGCGACTCCGCCCCTTCCCACGACTGCTTTCCACCGGCGATACAGGCGAAGCCCCCGTGCCCGCCATCGTCACGTCGACACCGCCATTCGGGTTGTCGTGGTGGCGCAGCTTAGCCAAAGCATCGGCCAAGTCCTCCGCATGCACCATCGTGTTGGGGGCGTCCTCCATCTTTTGTTCCCAGCCGTGCGGCGGGCTGGGAGGCGGGGAAATGAAGAAGAGCTTGCCGGCGTCTGGGAGCGCGAGCGTGTGGGGGCGGGTCGTGAGCGGGGTGGGCTGGCCAAAGTAGACACGGCACCGGTCGCCCATGATGGCTTCGCCGTCCCAGATTTGGCGCACGGCGATAGCGTCGGCGTCGCTGTAGAAGGACACGATGATCCGGCTGAGCGACTTGAGCGGCGAGAAGGCGTGGATACGGGCTTTTTGCTCAATTAGGTCGCGGATCTGCTGAAGGTTGTCGGGAGCGAAGACGTCGCGCGATTGAAGGTTGGTGAAGATCAGCGTGTTGCAGGGGGGCGTTGGCTTGATCAATGGAGGGAGGTTGGTGAGGTCGAGGGTGAGTGTCGACTTGCGCGAGCGGGTGCTGCTGCCAGTAGAGGAGCGCGACGGTAACGGCCGGAGCTCAGGGGAGAGCTGGCTCTGGTCCTGTTCCTGAGTCTGTTCGCCGGCACGGAAAGGCAGGTCGCCTTGGTATGTTTGTTGGTCCATTTTGACTGGAATGTGTGTATAACAACAGGGGTGTTCAGATAGGTTGTTAGGGGTGCGTGGAGATCGATGGCCCCTCAATCGGTGGTCAAGTCCCTGTTGTCGGTAAATGCAATTGCAACGGCGTCGGCAGCTGTCGAGCGGTCTTCTTAGGCGCTGAGGGTTATCGAAGATTTTTCGTGGAGTTTTGTAGGATTTGAGCAGCGGTTGGGAGATGTCGATGGTAAAATGCAGGAGGAAGTGGTGGCGGGTTGGGGTTTATAAGGATGGTTGGAGGTGCATTGCCCGGCGCAGGAGTGTGGCACTGGTTGGTCCGGTGGGTTCGGGTCCATCTGCCTCAGAGCCCTGGCTCTGCTGCGACCCCGGGGCGATCACGGGCCGCTTGACAAGCCGCAATGCCGCCGTTGCGAGCTGATGACGGAGGCTGAGTTTGTCGGCAAGACCACCTCTCGGTTTATCTGCTCGAATCTGGAAGTGAGCGAACAAGCAACTCACTTTTCCATTACTGGCCTGGCTCCCTGCCGGCCGAGGCGAAGTTTGTCGCGAGGGCAGATTTTGCGACTCCTAAGCCCACGACACCTCAGTCACTGTCTCTCATTTGCAAACCTAGAACCTAGCCCCTCCATCTAGTCGCCTCTTTGCTTCTAGGTTTTCACGCCTTTTCCACCTTCCCAACCTGGGGCAGTGAATGGTTGGTTGGGCGGTTCTGGATTGTCAAATCGGGCGTACCATCCAGCGCCTGTTGCCACAAGAAAATGAACAACGACAGCCAAGAACAACACGCAACCTCTAAGGTTAGGTAGCGCCCCACGACAAGTCATGGGCGGGGCGCTGCGCCAATGCGGAGACGCCCACTCAGTGAAAGGGCCGCTGAAAAGCGACAGAGGGACCTGAATTACGGGGGACGACCCGAGGTACGGGTGACGGGCGCCCTCCCAGCCCCACGATTGGTCGCCCAGTCCCGCCTTCTTGGGCTGTCTTGGCCTTGAACTTTTTGCGACTTGCACAGCCTCTCTCTACCGAGCCCCGATCGTTGGGATGGAAAGCGGTCGCAACGAGGATCAGGGCCGGCTCAACACATCGTCGCATTGCCGAAACTGCCAGAGGGCCTCCTGAACGTGGCTGGGCCCGAAGAAAGCTCATACGGATCACGGTCACTGCCCTGCCGGATACGCCCCGTGGTTTCTCAACAAAAAGACAAGTAGGTCGTTGCTGAGATGGGCAAGGCAGCGCACGCTTTCGTACGCTTTCGTGTCTTGTCTTGTGTCTAGTGTTTTGTCTCAGAACCCACTTGTCATCAGCACGACGGTTGCTCAGCCTTCCAAAGCCGCCACCTGGTCCATGGGTCATACGCGGCCGGACTAGGTCGAAAGAAAACGGAAGAAAGAGGCAAAACAAATTTCAATTATCATGCATACCAGCCAAGAAACAACAAACCAAAGACCTGCCACATCGGGTGTTGGAACAACAGAGATGCAGAGCGGGTAAAAGTGGGATAACCAGCCAAAAGAAGACCTGCCTCTTTATCCCCCTAACTCCCTATGCGCGCATGTCAAGCGAGATCAGCTCCGGAACAACACCACGCAGGACTATGTAATCGGAACCCGGACTAAACCTATTATCACCTCCGAGTATCGACTACTGCCTGCCGTCTAGCAGAGTGAGGAAGACAGCAACCGGCGGATGGACTAACCCAAAGGACCACTGACGACAAAACGGAATAAGCCCCGGTCTCTCTGACAGTTAGCCGCGCAGGCGGGCAAAGAAAACGTGGCAACGAGGCACAGCAGACGATACGTTCCACCAACATGTGGCAAGTGTGGATAAAATCTTCTCAATGCACATACACTCGTTGAGCCTTATGTCCGGTCGACAAACATTTAACAAAAAGCCCGTTCCATGTGTTGCATTGCCCCTCATCTCCTCACCTCACTCAGCCTCCCAGTTTGCCTTTATCTGTCAAGTCGGCCCCTAAGGGACAACCCTCTAAAAGCCTAGACAACAAAACTCCGCCTGCGCCGCATTTTCTTCTTCGAGTAACCCTATCGGTGGATAAAAAAGCCCTCAGAAGCCCCAAAGGAGTATGCCGAGACGGAAAGCCCAAGGTCCCAAGATCATGAAATGGTAGCCCACGAGAGGCTCACATGTCACGAGTGGATCACGAACGGCCCGTTGTCTAATCACACAGTACTCTCTTGCACAGCACCGCGTTCTTACACAGCCCACATGATTACAACCGGATGGGAATGGGATGAGTTTAACGAAAACGTCAGCCGTTGCTCAGTAAGGGATAAGGAGATCTCATCATACACAGCCATCAGGTCATCTATCTAACACCGTTATATCTATCTGTGGACGTACAGTATAATACAGTTTTCCCACCCAGAGATTTGGAAAACGAAACAGCCGGTGATTTCCCCGCCTCATCGACGTCTCGTTAGTGTGGCTGAGTAGAGACGAGTCAATCGTTGGGACGTTTCTTGGCCCCCGCCGGTCGTCCGTATACTCGTGTAATAGTAGACGGCCGACCGGCCGGCCGGCCACGTGCGTATCATCTGATTTGGCCGTGTAACAACAATGCCACCCCCTGTTGGCGGCCGTGACGTTGACTATCACGACGCCTCAAAGCTCACGGGAAGAGAAGAACATCACCAGACAAGACAAGCAAGTCTGACGCCCGCTTGGCAACCAACCCCTTTCCCCCAACCAGCATCCGGCGGTTTGACCTGCCTGCCTGCCTGCCTTACAACCTAGGTTCTATCCCTAACCGTTTAACCAACTCCCTTATGACGCTCTGATGTAACCGATTCGTCTCGGCATTCGTTAATGTCCTCTCCAAACTCCGATAATTGATCCGGTAGCACATACTCCGCCTCCCTGTTTTCGGGTGCGTAAAATCATCCACAAGTGTAACATCCTCTACGGAGTCCTTTGCAACATCCCGCACCGCCGCCATCAAATCATTCGGATGCCAGTCCACTTTCCCCTTATTAGCAACCCTACCATCCCCATCCGCCGCACTCTCCTCCTTCTTCACCCAAAACGATACGTCCTTGGAGCACCCCGGGTGTTTGCTGAACGGGACAAACAACCGTAACTTCTTATCCATCGCAGCCTCCACACCACGGAACTGTGACAGGAACCGCTCGTCCTGCGACCAAAACAGCCGGATATCCGGAATCTGGAAGAGCAGCATGGCGATGCGCTCCAAACCGATACCAAACGCCCAGCCAATCTGATGGGGCCGGTCTGCATTGATATGAAGTGACTGCTTGATCACCCCGCACCCCAGTACCTCGAGCCATTTGCCCTGGTAGAACACCTCGAGCTCCCACGAGGGCGATGTGAACGGGAAGTAGGCCTCGACCCAGCGCACGCGGAGGGGTTCTGCTTGCGGTTGGTTCTTTGTGGAGGTCTTGGTCGCTGCTGCTGCTGCGGCGGCGGCTTTTACCTTGGAGAAAATCTCATTCACCATCAGTTCCAGCGAGCGCTTCAGGTGTGCCGCGACTACTTCCACCTCGTTCTCTGTGTGGTACTTCGACTGCCGGGGGTTGCCGGCGTGGAAGGGAGGGTTGGGATCTTCCACCTGCATGTTGTGTACCGGTAGCTTCTCGAGATCCTCCCGGACAACATCTTCTAGGCTTTTCCCGGGAGGTAGCTTGGTGCGGTCCCACACACGGGCGCCCTCCGTCTGGTGGAAAACGGGGTAGTGACTGCGGTCGATCTCGTCTCGGCGATAGACGTCGGCGCTGATTAGATAGCCGCTGACGCCGGCGCGGAAGAGATCGGCCTGGTGCGCGCTGGTGTGGGTGCGCAGGAGGGTGTATTTGTTGAGGTAATAGGTGTCGGAGGGGCCACGGCTCGGGTGGTTGGGTCGGATGTTGAGGGAGTCGAAGTTTTGGTAGGTGGACACAACGGGGTCGAAGTTATTGTGGTATTGGAAGGTAGGTTCCGGGAAAACGGACTCGATGATTTTGCGGGTTATGGCCACTGGGTGGTCGGGCTGAAGGTGCAGCTTGCGGGAGACTAGGGACTGGATGGTCTTCGAGATATTGAACCAGTGATCGACTTGGTGGATCTTGTCATTGATCTGTACCGCCTTGAGTGCCTGGGGTCGGAGTACGGAGGGGTGTTGGACTCTCAAGCTGGACCGTGGCTTCGCAAGGCGCAGGACGCTCAAGGCCTTCGCGGATCCCCGGGTGCGGACCATGCTAACTTGAGAAATCCGGGGTTGCGGCTCCGGGAGGCCTGAGGGTGGGGATTGGAGACCTCTCTCTCAACAAACAAAGATGCATTGAAGTTGTGATCGTGAATGCTGCGGCAGTGCGGCGGGACGTAACTCAAAAAGTAGGGGTCCGGAGTCTCGTGGGGCAGGGGTACGGCGGAGCTCAATCATTGGCTGTGCTTTGGGGAAAGATGATTGGTCAATTTACCCCGGCCCGAGAGGTTCATTTCCGAACATAGCATTGTGAGGGAGCCAAATAGCTGAGCCACCAAGGTGAAATCAACCTCGGAGCCCGATGAGTGAAGGTAGAAGAAGTCACCATGAAAAATAAGCAGCATTGAGTGTTCAGCCATCCGAAACCTTTTTTTACATTTTTTACCATCCTACATTAACTAGCTTACTTGCTGAGCGGCTCGCCATCCTTGATCTTTTGAAGCCCGTACTTCTCCAGGCGGATGGCCTGGATGGCAATGAAGCCGGTGGTATCGATGGGGGAGAAAGTGTCTAGAGAGTCCATGGACGCGTCCTCCTGCGAGTAAAGGTTGCTGGCGTCGCTCTTGCGGCCCAGAACATAGGCAGCACCCTTGAATACCGACATACGGACCTCGCCGGTGACGTTCTTCTGCGAGAAGATGATCGAGTTCTCCAGGAACTCGCGCTCCGGGCTGAAGTACATGCCGTTGTACAGCGCATGCGACCACTCAATGGTGACGAACTGGTCACGCAGCTTGCGCACCTTGGAGTCCATCACCAAACCCTCGAGATCGACGTGAGCGAGGCGGCTAATTGTATTTCATCGTCAGCCTCAAATCAATTATCTCTCCGGCAAAGGTTCCGGGTTACTTACGCAATGGTCAGGCCAGGGGTGTCGTAGCAGCCACGGCTCTTGAGCCCAATGAAGCGGTTCTCGACAATGTCGACACGTCCCACACCGTTGTCGTGACCAATCTTGTTGAGGAGCTTGAACAGCTCAACCGAGTCGGTGACCTCACCCTCGGGGGTAACAACCTTGGAGGGAATACCCTTCTCGAAGTGAATGGTGAAGTTGTAGGGCTCGTTGGGTGCGTCGGTGGGGTCGATGGTGCGAGTCCAGAGCTCCTTGGGCGGCGTGTGGTCGGGGTCCTCGAGGACACCGGCCTCGTACGAGCAGTGCACCAAGTTGTCGTCCATGCTCCAGGGAGCCTTGGGCGAGGAAGAGACGGGGATGTTGTTCTCAGCGGCGAACTTAAGGAGATCGTTACGGCCTCTGTTAGGCATTGGTCAGCGGGTTATCAAGAAACGCTCGGCAGCCAGCTCATGGTTCTACTATCACGTACTGGAACTTCTGGATGAACTCGGGCAACCTCCACGGGGCAATGACCTTGATGGAGGGGTCACAGGCCTTGAAGGCTAGCTCGAAGCGGACCTGGTCGTTGCCCTTGCCGGTGCAGCCGTGGCTAAGGAGGTCGCACTTGAATTGCTGGGCAACGCGCACCTGCGCCCGGGCAATGATGGGGCGGGCTAGCGAGGTGCCGAGGAGGTAGCGGTCCTCGTAGATGGCATTGCACTGGATGGCACGGAACACAATCTCATCGACGAATTCGCGCTGGAGATCCTCAATGATCATGCGCTCGGCACCGAGGGCCAGGGCCTTCTTCTCAACGGCCGCCCAGTCCTCTTCCTGGCCGACATTGGCGAGGAAGCACACAACGGTGTAGCCCTGGGTTAACAACTATCAGCACGCCAATTCGAATTCCTAGGGGTCTAGCAAGCTGTATTCACCTCAAGAATGAGCCATTTGAGGATGGTGGAGGTGTCGAGGCCTATTGGGCGTCGTTTGAGTTAGCGGGGTTGAATTGGCTTCTCGTTGGGTTGGTTGGGTCGAGGAGGGGCATCTTTGCGGCCGCAAAGGCATAATTCGAGTACTGTTGTATATACACAACGAGTAAAAGTTACAAAAAGAAGAGGCAATGGCGATCCTCAGTAAATCGTACCTCCGGAGTAGGCGCTATTGAGAAAGGTTGTGAGTCGCGTGCATCTCTAAGTGTGACGGACATTTTGGCGGGGTAGCCACTTACAGACAAACGCGACCCTTGGACATTTTGGAGATTGGGAGTAGAGGGGTCCACGGCTGAGATGCTGTACAGTTTGTAGGTATCTAGACAAGTAAGGTGGATCGTGGAGAAAGAATTGAGGAAGTTGAGGCAATAATAGGAGTAGTTGAAGGGGGAAAGAAAGGGTCTTTTAGCCAAACTACTTCTCCAAAAGTCGGCAGCTATCGGCCTTCTGCATCTCCTGCCCCACGTTTCCACTGATGACTCGAAGCGTCAACCCCGGCAGCGGTCAACAAACTTTTTTTCCAGCTCCCAGCTTCAATTCCTGTGGGTCGCCTGATAAGGCTAGTGCCCGACCCGCTGATAAGCGGGACCGCCGGCACCCCTGTCCGGGTGGCCGCCGGACCGGAGGAGTGTTGTGCTCCAGCGGCCGGCTGGGGCAACTGACGTAACAGAGAAGCGAGGGGGTGCACGTTCCAGACGAGAAAGAAAATCCTAAGATTTTGATTTTTGACTTGCCGTTGCTGCCGACGCCAGCGCTGATAAACCCGTCTATCTCTAAACTCCGTCATCGCCATGGGTGTGGTGGGTGTTTGCTTTGCAACCAACCTCTCTATAGTCTTATAGACGTCCTCGTTCCCTTTAGCGTGTTTGCAGCCATTCGCTTGAAATCGTATTGGTTTTTGAATTTGTTTCTATCCGATCACTGAACGGCATGCTTGTATAACGCAGGGTCTTGGTCCCCGCTTGATGCGCGATGCAAGCCGCCAAAAGCGAAGTACGCCCCCCGGCGGTACCCTCGGGGACCGCTCTAGGGAGGAAAGATGGCGACGGGAACACCTCCCCGCCAACACGGCCGCGTCCTGTACACTATCCTTTCTGGTTTGGCGGTAGTGCAAGTAGTATGGCCGCCTGCGTTACACACCCCCTGGATCTTGGTGAGCCTCCCCCTTAACCCCCACATTCCTCAGTGTGATACTAACTTACACCCTCAGTCAAGGTCAGTCAGATATATGCTCCTAACTACCACGGATAGGCTGTTATTAGAAGAGGATGTTGAGAGAAGATAGCCGCTAACACTACATCTCAGGTCCGTCTTCAAACCCGCACGGGTGACATGCCCAAATCGATGAGCGGCACCTTCATCCACATCATCAAGCACAACGGTCCGCTCGGACTCTACAACGGCCTCTCCGCCTCTCTCCTCCGCCAAATCACCTACTCCACCACCCGCTTCGGCATCTACGAAGAGCTCAAGTCCCGCTTCTCCTCCAAAAAGACCGACCCCACCACCGGCAAGCCCAAACCGCCCTCTCTCCCCCTCCTCATCGCCATGGCCTCCGCCTCAGGCTTCATCGGCGGCATCGGCGGCAACGCCGCCGACGTGCTCAACGTGCGCATGCAGCACGACGCCGCCCTCCCACCCGCACAGCGACGCAACTACGCGCATGCGCTCGACGGCCTCGTGCGCATGGTCCGCGAGGAAGGGGTCGCTAGCATCTTCCGCGGCGTGTGGCCCAACAGCGCCCGCGCGGCGGCCATGACCGCCAGCCAGCTGGCGAGTTACGACGTGTTCAAGCGCACGCTGTTGCGGGTGACGCCGTTGCGGGATGGGTTGGCGGTGCATTTTAGTGCGAGTTTCTTGGCTGGGGTGGTTGCGGCGACGGTGACGAGTCCGATTGATGTGATTAAGACGCGGGTGATGTCCGCGACGGGCGGGAATCATGGTGTCGTGGGGGTGTTGAGGGAGGTGTATGCTAAGGAGGGCATGCGGTGGATGTTCAAGGGCTGGGTGCCTAGTTTTTTGAGGTTGGGGCCGTAAGTTTTCTTTCTTGCTCCCTGTGGGCGGCACTTATCTTCCGCGGATTCGAGTTGTGAGACTAACAATGGGCGTGTGACAGGCAAACAATATGTACATTCCTCTTTCTAGAGTCGCATCGCAAGGTATACCGAAAGATCAACGGGATACCAGAGCCGGCATGAGCTTGTGTCACAAAATTCTGCACCAACAGACGCATGAGCGAAACAGCAGCATCGATATACCATTACACATAGGATAGGTCATGTCAACAACAAAGGTACATACACTTCGAGATAGATCTTACTATAGCATAGGAAGGCAACCATAGAACCGTTTAGATGGGGAGGCAGGTGGACAGGGGGGGCGTTCACCTTGTTTTTGATAAAGAGAGAGTAGAATTTATTAGCAGTTGATTGGTGCTGGCTTGGCTTTTGGCTTTATTAAATAGAAAGCGCCGCTCTGGTAAAGGTATCCTGGGTCCCCCGAAACAACGCCTGAAGTCCTGTATTATGCTCATGTCTCATTTTCCTTTTCATCTATACCCACCTATGCTGACGGTAGATTAAAAGAGAGCACCCTAGTTAGCGCTCAGTATCCCCCCCTTTGAAAGGATATCGAGGAGTGGAAAGCCCCAAATCCAACAACCACCCAGCCTTTTTGTCAGCTTTCCCATGCCCCTGAAAGGACCATGCTCGTGTTGGTCAAATACAAGTTGAAAAGAGCCCGCTTGAAATCTTGCGTGACCCTATACTCCGAGGACGGAGGCTATCGGGTGGTGAGCGGAAAGGTACCATCCATAGCTGGGATCTATATAATACACGGCTAGTGGTGGAATGTCGTCGGAAGAAGGCTGTTCGCAGCGAATGGCGGTGGTCTGTTTCGCACACGAGGCGACCGGATGAGGGCCTGTTGCAGATGCAGGAAGAACCCACTTCCAGATTTGTAGCGAAGCCCGATGGTGCCGCGAGTAAGCGCGACGGCTTAAAAAGGGTGGCCGAGTTGTGGCATACCTCGGATCTCAGTCCCTCACGACCAATTATTTTGGCCAGCACCATAAGGAGTCGTTCCATAGGGCGTCGTGCTGCCGGCCGCTCCGCCGCCCCAGGAGCTCTGGTTTCCGCCATTGCCGAAGGGAGTGGTGTAGCCACCTCCGAAGCCGTCGGCGCCCGTCCCGTACTCTGGGCTCCGGGGGCCGTTGTAATCGCCGTTCATACCGTCGCCACCTTCGTCCGCAAGTTCATGGATGAGGCCGGCCAGCTTCTGCTGGATCACTTTGATCCCCTCGCTGACGATAATATCAGGAGGCAACGGCCCGGCGCTCTCAACGTTGAAATAGAAACGATTCGGCACGGCGTCATAATCAAACGGCTCGCCTTCCTGAGGGGGTTCTTCCCAGGCGGCGTACTCGCTTGGTGGCCTACGTTGAGGTGGTTAAGAAATGCTTGGGCGTGACCCGGGTGTTCCTACGGTGAGACTTACCATTCCGCCTTCGCGTCCGCTTCATACCAATAATCCAGATGACGTAGCTTATTGTGAGGATCGTATTCAAATCCGATCGCTGCCGAAGGCGCCCACTTGGCATGTTCTTTCGCAATGCCCTTCTTGGCGATGCATTCGAGCTTGACCTCCTGACCTGGTCGGAGCTTCAGGAGAAGAGGCCCTAGTCCCTCAGCATCCTTGACCACGGGAGTGCCGACAACTTGGTTGACTCGGTCACCAGTTGGTACCAAATCGCGGGCAAACACATGCATGTTCTCGTCACCGGTACATTTCGCGTGCAGGGTAAGGCGGACGCTGCAGTGCTCGCAGCAGCCGTCGCAATCGCAGTCTCGCGCGTATAATAAGCTGTCGACGCCATCGGCGTTGAGGGGGACGAGGCCGAGACGGTGGGCGATGAACTCGTCGGCCAAAACGGAGCTGTTCTCCTCGATCTCGACAAGGTCGATAGCTATTGTCGGGATCTCGCCGAGCATGACGCGACGCAGCGAGTTGGCAAAGGCGATGTCTGCGTTGGACAATTCGTATTTTACGCGGACCGAATCTGCCTGGTTGTCGCCGAACATCGTTAGATCGAGCGTATTCCCACACAACCCCCACAAATGGGACGCCCATCGCCATCGCGACCAAGACGTACTTGAGAAATCTTGACCACCGGACCGAGCGCCTCAGCGTCGTCCATCACCATCGGATCGTAATCCATCTTGCCGGCAGAAAATCGCAAAACGTTCCCCTTCGCGTAGATGATAAAGTCGCAACGTGGCGCGGAACCAGGTGGAAGGCCGAATTCGAGGTGAGGTTGAATGATGTAAAGGGAAAGAAGCAGACCAAGGGATGGCAGAAATCTGACCTTGAAGTTTGCGGCCACCGAGCGCGCCAGATCTCAATGGGCGCGGTGAAAGCCCACGGTCCAGTGGGGTGAACCTAGTGCACGCACACCGTGACACCCCGCAGTTCCGCTAACCCAACATGGCATAGCGTATCTGCCACAAGGCCCCTCGGTTTTGAGCGCAGCGAAATGTGGCGGCCCGTTGATGATCCGCCTGCAACTTTTTGGAGAATTGGAAGCTTCGGGCAATCGACCAGAGAGCCAAGCCTGCGGCATCGCCCCCATAAAATTTGTCGAACTGCACGCGACTTACAAGTTTGAGCAATAAAGTTTCCGGAAATCTTTTTTCCACAGGCTCACCATCCCCCCAAATCTACACCAACATCTATAACCATGCTCCGACAAACTGTATCGTCCGCCTCTCGCGCCCTGCGCTCCACTGCCCGGCTCGGCACTCAAAGGCAAGCCATTGGCTTTGCTCAATCCCAGCACACACCCCTCACCCTCGCTTCGAGGACCCTTGTGCCGAGGGCACGATGGTACAGCGACGCCGTGAAGGAAGAAACTACGAAGGAGGAGGCCAAGACAGAGGAGACTAAAAAGGAGGGGGAGAGTGAACCTGAGAGCCCCGAGGCCGCCCTCAAGAAGCAACTAGAAGAGAAGGATGCCGAGATCCGGAAGCTCAAGGTAAGTAACCTGCTTCTTTATAACACTGTGTGTGTCCTATATATATGCGCGGCCCATACTTATATGCCCCACAACAGGACCACTACCTCCGATCGGTGGCCGACTTCCGCAACCTGCAAGAACGCACCGCGCGCGAGATGAAGAACGCCCGGGACTTTGCCATCCAGAAGTTCGCCAAGGATCTTGTCGAGTCGGTCGACAACTTCGACCGTGCACTAGGCGTGGTGCCCGCAGAGAAGCTCAAGCCAGAGAACAAGGCTGAGAACGAGGACCTCGTCAACTTCTATGACGGCCTCAAGATGACCGAGAACATCCTGATGTCGACCCTCAAGAAGCATGGCCTCGAGCGGTTCGAGCCCACCGGCGAGGTCTTCAACCCGAACGAGCATGAGGCAACTTTCATGACTCCCATGGCCGACAAGGAGCATAACACCGTCTTCCACGTCCAGCAGAAGGGATTCAAGCTCAATGGCCGTGTTCTGCGCCCGGCCCAGGTTGGCGTTGTCAAGAACAAATAAGCCGCCGCGCCATTCCCAACTTCCACTCACACTCCCTTTAACACGCACTCAACCAACATACTTCACACCTCAACATTCTCACCAGGAAGGGGGAATACTCCCCTCCCCCTCCTTTGTACTACTACTCTCACCACACGGCTGATGCGGTTTACACGCACATATCACGAAAAATGTACCAGGACCAGTACGGTCAGGCGTTTTGGGTTTCTGGTCTCTCATGTATAATGCTCCTCTCATGATGTCGGTTTTTCATACCCGTTTAGCATAAGGAATGCGGAATGCGGAAAAAGAAAAAGGGAATAGAGATGACGGCGTGCTTTTTTTTGTTTTCTGAAACGGGGTATATAGAAGCAAGAGCCTGGTGCGCACGCTGATGATACGCTACTAATGTAAATCTTCTGGGTTGGTGGCGGCATTGAGTTTTATCCTTGGTGATTTTGGTTTGCTTTGATGTGATGCGGTAGGACTGTTAGAGAAGCTTAAGAACGTTGACAGGTGCAACGAGGAACTCGCCCACGCACCCGTTCAAGCCCCTTAACCGGTAACACCACGAACAACACCCCACAAACGTTTGTCCCACAACTGAATGTGATCTCTCCTCCTGGTCCCCTATTCTGCTCCTTGTTCCCTTGCTTGTTACCTGCCGCCTTCGCTATCTTCCTCTGTGAAAGTAACTAGATTGTGCGCCCGGGATGTTTGAGAAGAGTTTGCGTTCGTTAAGGTAGTCCATCATCAGCGTCTTCAAGCTCTATGCCGACTCAAAGTCATAGGAAATGAGCAGAGTACTTGAATTGTAAAATGTATTTTATTTCCCATCACAAGAGGTGAATCCTAGCCAGAATTCGGATATCCTGTTCCTTGAATAAGATATGCTGACCCCCCAGTTTCCTGATTAGAGCCCAAATCCAAAGAACATGAATCCTTGTGCCATATCCGCCCAATTACACGAGACCTGCAACAAAATATATGAATGACACACCCACCTAACTATCACCAGCAAACAAAAGCCCCCCCCCCCCCCCTCAATTCTTTCCGCTTATTTGCCCCCACGACTATCATTCAAAGGGTATTTGGTCTAAACCCATCCCAACAAGCTGGTAGATGCAGCTTCCTCCTTCAGCCTTTGGTTGACGGCCTTCCAGACCCCGCCCCATCCATAGGCCGGGGCCCGACTGTCCCGGTATTGGGTATGGTCGAGGGGCCCCAGCCTATAGCCCTCTTCTTCTTCCGCCTTCTTTTCTTCCTTTTTCTATTGGGTTAGGTTGGTAGGGTTGATGCCTGGCCTTGGCTTGATGCCCATGCAAGGGCCCCTAGGAGGGCTTGTTAGCATGGTGATGATTACTGGAGAAACTTCTATAGGTTCTGGAAGACGACGTTAACTTACCTGCCGAAATCACCTCTTCCTCGATCTCCTCAAGAAACTGACCCGGGGCAACGAGACGGTAGGGCTGGTAGGCCACCGTACCGCCGCCAACGGTTATGTAGGCGCTTTGGCGGTGGCACTCGCCTCTCGTGCCCCGGGCCAGTATCAAGACTAGGCACCTGCCCCCCAGGCTCTCTGTGCGAGGATTGATTCAATCTCGCACAGAGCCCGGTGAAGAGAATACCCTGTGTGTCTGTGAGTGGGAGTTCATCTTGAAAGGATCTGAGTTGAGGTTGGGGATCAAGCCCTAGAGCCAAGCTTAGAGAGAAAATGACGGGCCGTCTGGTAACTTACGGGGGCTGGGGAGCAGTGTCGATAGCCTTTCAGTGGAAGCACGGCTAATACATCGGGTTCTCCCGCTTCCTTTCCGAAATATGTTAGGTGTGTGTTCTAGATGACCAACAAGACTGCAGCAGGAGGAGATCTGATGCCAGCCGCGTTTCTTGGATCTTGTTACCTGGCATGGCCAGCAAGAAGGAGCGTGATTGCAGAGGACGAAACCAGATTCTAGAGGAAGAAACCAAGAAAGAGAAGAAGGGAAGGCGAGGCTAAGTAAAGCAGACGAAGAACTTCAAGGTGGGACAAAGAAAAGCCTTGCACACTTACCATGATGATGGCGGATTTGAGATCTTGCCCCCGAGGGAGGGGCAAGACTCAAATAACGAGTTGTAGAAGAAGGGAAGAGAAGGAGAAGGAACAGCAGTCGGGAACGGCTGTTAAATAGGCCTCCAGATTCACGCTTGAGCAATCAAGCTACCAAACTGATTAGGGCAAACCAGCGATTAGGGCAACCGATCACCTTGTGTGCCTCCCTGCCCTCTCTTGCGCTCCTTCCATGTCCTCCAGTACCGGCCAGACTTCGGCCAAGGTCCTCGAAGGATATCACGTGATTCTGGCGCTCTCTGGAAGGCACAGAAGGCAGGGAGAGGGGAGGGGGGAAGGCTAAGCCATTAACGGGTGCCCTGATTTCGGCCTATAGAGATATCCCTCCCAGAGGCGGCATGTTGGTGAGGCGGGCACACTTCCTAGAGAGGCGCTTGCACAGCATAAGACTTTTGGAGAACGTATCGTGCAACATATTGCTTGAATTAACGAGAAGGGGCTCCCAGGACTCCCTCCTGTTGGCTTGGGAATGGGAGGGAAGCCGTGGAAGGGTGCTGGGCTTGGCTGGGTTGTGTGGTGAAAACAAACTCCTTAACGGGGTCCCAGAATGCAGTAAGACTAGCGGCGAGCAGGACGGTCAACATGGTCTGTGAATTTCCAAGCGCATTCACTGAGACAAAAGAATGTGATAACAGTATTATCAAGATATTGTCTCCGCTTGAATCGTACCTATGAAGTAAACAAACTCCTCAACGGAATGGCGTGAGACTCGGAAAGAACAAGCAGCTATCCAGGAACCTGTGAGCGGTTTTCGACCCGAGAAACATTAGTAGAACAGTGGAGAGAGGAAAACACCGAAGCCATTTAATTGTCCTGAAATATCGCCCGCAAAGTAAACAAACCCCTTAGAAGGTCGGCGCAATGCGACTGTGTCTGTGCGAGCGGCTGCACTATCTTTTTGTGAGGAGCACTGCAATTAGTAAGGTTGAAATGATCATGAACATTGAAGATGTCGGTGGTTGCGAAGATTAAACCCCTGAAGTAAACACACTTCATGAGGTTGGGTATGACGTAGGGCAAACCATGATTATAGGCGTATTTTCACTTAGAAAATAGTCAGATCGCGCCATTCTGACATTCTAATGTTACGAAAGTGGTAAGATAATGGTCAAGAAAACTGCGCAAATGATGTGTCAAAGGTGGCATTCTTAATTCACGGGGCGCAGATGGCAAGCACTCGCCACGACTGGAACATCTGTTAAGATCACCGAATAACATAGATGCTTTGTATAAGCCAGCAAGCTAAAGCAAAAACAGGAAGCTCCCAACCATAACCAGATACATGGACATATACAAGCCATAACCGCCTCTATGACACCCCATTCCTAAAATCTATGCCACAGTTTCCTCTAAACTCCCCTCAAAGCCTAAGCCTTCTTGGGCCTGCCCTTAGCTTTCGCAGGCGCCTTGCCCTTCCCTTTGGCAGCTTTAGCCCCATCCCCATCCTCATCGGCATCAGCACTCGCCTTAGCTTTCTTGCCCACGGCGGCCTTCTTCGCAGGTTTCGCCTTGGGCTGCTTGATGTACTTGTCCTTCTTCAGGTCCAGGTCCTCCTCATCATCGTCCACCAGCTCGGCAACGTCGTTTTCATCTTCTTCCTCGATGGCTTCCTCCAGGTCGGGCATGTCCTTGGCTAGCTTCTTGGACGCGACGGGAGCGTTGGTGGCTTTCATGAATGGAACTGGGTGGGAAGCGGCGTTGTATCTGGGAGTGGGTTAGTCATGGCGTCTTTGTGAAGGATGATGATGACGGATATATAAAGAACTTACAGCCTGGTAAAGGTCGACTTGGTCTGTGTTTCAATGTTGACCAGATCCTCCGACTGGTATCCCACACCTAGTTCCTTGATACTATCAAAGTCCTCGCGGGTGAGATAATAACTGTCCATCAGGTCGATCACATCGCTGACGGCCTCCTTGCCCTCCACCTCTAGTCTCTTGACGATCTGGTGCCAGAGCACGGGGAGGTATTGCTGTCGGACCTCGTTGTGGTCGCCCGAGGACTTGAGGCGCATGTGCGAGTGGACCTCGCGGACGAAACGGCCAAGTTTCCCGTATTTGCTGTTGTTCCCAAGCCAGCTGGTAAATTGAGTCTGGCCAGTAAACATGCCGGCAATAAAACTCGAAGGCCGAACTGTGCTGAAAACGGCGTGTGTAGGCATCAGGCTCCATTGTTGCTGGGGGCCATGGATCATGCGGTCGACCAGATCTCCATCGCTGATGCTCTCGGCTGCTTGGTCGACCAGTTCGAGATACTTCAGGTTCTGCTGCCTCGCATTGTAGTTCTGGCCGGTTAGTGCCGCTGGCTTTGATCGAAGATAGTTTTCTTGGATCATCAGGAAACTGAACTCGTGGTCGTGGAAGTAGAGCTCGATCTTGTCATTCAGCGTCGCCTTGCTTGCTGGGCTGAAGAGACCACCCCCGATCATCTTCTGGCAGATATCCCAGGGTTTTAGGACAACATGCTTCTCCCAGGCTTTGGTCATGGCCTTGCTCTGGTCATAGTCCATTGTCGTTTGGTCCAGCTTGGCGGTAGACAACATGTTGATGATTTGGCGAATGTCCTTCCCGCTACCCTCAATCAGGGCGTTGACGACCTGGGGAGGCATCTTCAACCCTTCTCTGTGGCAAATCGTCATGATCCGAGACCGGATTTGGTCAACAGTCGGGCGCTGGAACTTGATATCGAAGGCAACGTGATCGAATGGCTTCATCTTGGGCAGCCGGCGCTCGTTGCAGATCAAGATCAACGGCACCTCCGTCTGCTTGCAGAACTTGGCTAGTGCACCAACACCGCCCCGATCGCCCGCGGACATACCGTCGACTTCATCCATAACCAGAACGATCTTTTTCTTGCCAGCATCGACTGACTTGCCGTCGCCGGCAAAGTAGCCCATCAGCGAGGTGTTGTTCAGAACGTCGCTCACGCCGTTCTCGACAAGCTTCTTGCTACGCGTGTCACTGGCGTTGCTCTCCAGAACGTCGTAGCCCTCTAGCTTGGCCGCAAGATGTGCCGCGGTCGTCTTGCCAATGCCGGGCGGGCCAGAGATGATGACGGCGCGGTACCCGCCCATACCGTCAGCACCGCGCTTCTGGAAATCGTACTTGCGCGACACGGGCCATCTTTGCAGCCAGCTCTGGATCCGCTCCACGTTCGCCTTGTTGCCGCAGATCTGGTTGAGCGTTGTGGGGGCATACTTCGTCGTCCACAGCTGCGTTACTGCCGGGACTGGGACGGCAGCGGCGGAGGGAGCGCCGCGGGCTGCAGCAGCCTTCTTGGCGGCTTTCTCGGCTTCTGCCTTGCGAGCCTTCTCCTCCTTCTCCATCTGAGCTGCTTCTTCCCGGATCTTCTTCTCCTCGGCCTCCTGCTTCTGCTTGGCCTTCTCGGCACCCTTGCCACTGCCGCCATGAGCGGGCATGGTCTTGATGAGGTAGAACAGGCCTTCCTCGTCGATTGTCTTGATCCCAAGCTCCTTGATTTTCCTGAGCTTGCTCGGGCCTGCATCATCTCCAAGAACGACAAAGTCCGTCTTGCCGCTTGGCGTCCCCGTGACTTTGCCGCCGTACCGCTTGACAAGCGCCTGACCTTCCTCGCGGCTTATCGTCTTAAGCAGACCGGTAAACACAAAAGTCTTACCCATCAGACAGTCATCCTCTCCTTCGGGGATATCTGCTGCGCCGGCATTGGGCGGCGGCCCAGAATTGCCGCCTCCTCCCTTGGCCTTTCTCCAGTCAAACTTGGCGTCCGGATCAGGCGCGGGGGCATCGGGAGCTTGAACGGTAGGAAGGTTGTCCATGATGGCCTTGATATCGTCGGGCTCGGGCTCGGCCTCTTTCTTGGATCTTGGGGGGGCGCGGGGTTTGGCTGGTGCCGCCTTCTTCGCGGGCTTGACGTCCTCCTCATCTTCTTCGCTATCCGAAGTCGGAGTCTTGCGCTTCTTGGCTGATCCTCTCGGTGCAGCTGCCTTCGGGGTCGGTTTCACCTCGTCGTCGGACTCATCCTTGACTGGCTTGCTAGCGCGGGAAGCCACTCGTTTGGGTTTGGGGAGGAACTCTTCCTCGCTCTCTTCTTCGACGTAGTCATCGTTCTTTCTCTTGCCGACACCCCTCACATCCGCCGCAAAGATATCATCTCCCGCATCCTCGTCGTCGTCCAAGAACCCGTCGTCATCGTCCCGAACGTGCTTCTTGTAGGCAGTAACGGGCTTCTTGGTGCCGTTTTGGGTTGCTTTGACAGTGGGAGCTGGTTTTGGCGCCGGGGGTTTCGTCCGAGGACTCACACGGACCTCGGCTCCGGGAGCTATGCGGGCCGCGGGTGTACGCTTTGGTGTAGAGTTTGCGGCCGTGGGCTTCGGTGCGGACGACGAAAAATATTTGGCGGTGGTGGTTTCCTCGCCTTTCGGCTCAGCGGGTGCACTGCGCACAGGTTAGGAAAAGAGGCTTCCTAATCATCCAAAAAAGACTACTCACGCGGCCTTTTTCCTCGGGGTTGTCCTAGTTGGCTTCTTGGTCCTACATAACCGTTAGACGGGGCGATTGGGGGTACCACTTGGTGGGTGACGTACTCGACAACCTCGTCGTCGTCACTGTCCTCGACAACTTTGCGCCCTTCTATAATCGATTAGACATTCTGTATTACGCAGTCATTGATAGGCAATCACATACTCCCTCTGGGCTTTTTCGCCTCTTCTTCCTTCTTTGGTGCCGGCTTTGGCGGGGGAGGTGCCCCCTTGGCACTAAAGAAGTTGCGAATGTCCGGCATAGTGGTGGTCGAGGTCGAAATTCTTGTAAGAACAACCAAATTGAGTGGCAATTCGGGAAACAAAAGGTGCAAAAAGACAAGCCCCCGCGTCTTCTCCCCTTTTGAATTTGTTCAAATCCAGCTCGGGGGTGGAAGCCTAGAGCGTTCGTTGGCGGCGAAGCTTGTCGTTGTGGGTGGGTGACGCGCTCTTAATTAATTGGAGCGACGCGCAGGGCGCGGCATGCAGGGTCTTGGCACTAGGCGCGCCTTAACGTGACCTGCAGAAACCCCGATAAGGAGGCATATCGCTATATCCATGATATGAGAATGCAAGGTAATCCCGCAGTTTCTCCGGCTGCGCTGAAGCCGGGGTGTTTTTTTTGGAGCTGGAATTGCGAGCCGTCCAGACCCCTCGATATTGTCGTCGCTCAACCCACCCCCGCCAATTCGAACGCCATGAGGCCAAACCCTCCCTCGGCGCTCCTCAGCGCCTTTCAGGGGCTCAGGATAGGACCAACCACACCGATCAGGGCCCCTCTCCCATCCGCAACCGTCCTCCGTCCCTCGGCCCCCAACACACCTGCAACAACTCTGCGACATGCTCGATTATTCTCCGCGACAGCGGTCCGGGCGGGATCATGGCTGGAACCCAACCTCGAACGCAAAAAGAAGATGATGAAGGGGCGGCCTAGAGTGCCGACGGGCGGGTCGGTCAAAGGCACGACGGTAGTGTGGGGGGATTACGGGTTGCGTATGTTCGACCACCACCGCCGGATTAGCGCCGCACATCTCAAGATGGCGGAGGACACGATCAAGGCGAGGTTGCGTGGGCAAAAATACCGGTTGTACAAGAGGGTGGCTTGCAACGTTGGTGTGTTTGTGAGCGGTAATGAGGTGAGAGAGAAACTACGGATGCAATTACAAGCGTCTCGACAGGATACTAACGATATTTGTCTGCCTGAAGATGAGAATGGGTAAAGGAAAAGGTTCTTTTGACCATTGGGCGACCAGGGTTGCCGTAAACCAGATTATTTTTGAGATCAGGGGGTTGGTGCACGAGAAGGTTATCCGGGATGCTTTCCGGCTTGCGGGCAACAAGCTGCCAGGTACATTGCTGCCTCTCAGCCTCTCTGTAAACGTGCCGTAAATGCTGACCATTCCGTCTAGGGCAATACGAGATTGTGAAGAAGGGTGACCCGCCGGTTGTGGGAATCACAAAGTTGGATGGCGTCACGTTGGAGGAACTGAAAAGGCCATGGAAGACGCTCCCGGGGGAACCTACTATGCCCCCGCCACCGACAACAACTCCTAGCTCCTCGCCAACTCCTTCATAACGATGAAGGCGGGCTCTGATTTCTGATGTACATTATGTAGAATAACATAACGGTCGATGGGTTATGAGCCGGGCGTTTGATTTCCCACTCGCACCGAATAGCACCACGGGTCTTTACCATGATATTTTGCGCTTACCGGAAGAATTTTCTGGGAGGACTACTGAAACCAACGAAAGTTTGAGTTAGATAATCCGATTTCCTGAGACTAGACGACCCCCTCCGGTATCTTGACTTGCACTTCGCTGGGTGCTTATATGGTCCGTGCATAAGCACCCCTGCAAGCACTTTTAATTGATTTTTGGCGGGTGTCCACGGCGCGTCACCCAGACGCGTGTTCTTCAGCTTCAGCCCACCATCAATTCTTCCATTCGGCCCAACCTAACCACTTCATACACCAGAATTCCGACCATGGCGCTCATTGTTGACAAGCACCGGCCCAGATCCCTGGATGCACTCACATATCATGAGGAGCTATCGGAACGATTGCGTTCGCTGGTACGGCTTATTTATTTTAGAATGATCTTGGAAAGCTATACCCTGCTAACCAACTACTGCTGCAGGCACAAAGCGGCGATTTCCCCCACCTCCTCGTGTACGGCCCGTCCGGCGCCGGCAAAAAGACACGGATTGTCGCGACACTAAAAGAGCTTTTCGGCCCAGGCGTAGAGAAGATCAAGATCGATGCGCGGGTGTTCCAGACCAGCAGCAACCGCAAGCTCGAATTCAACATCGTAGCGTCCGTCTACCACCTGGAGATTACTCCCTCAGATGTCGGCAACTACGACCGCGTAGTCGTCCAGGACTTGCTCAAGGAGGTTGCTCAGACACAACAAGTCGACCAAGCGGCGCGGCAGAAGTTCAAGGTGGTTGTCATCAATGAGGCCGACCACCTGAGCCGTGACGCCCAGGCGGCGCTGCGCCGGACGATGGAGAAATACTCGCCGAATTTGCGGTTGATTCTGTTGGCGAACTCGACGGCGAATATTATTGCGCCGATTCGGTCGCGTACGCTGCTGGTGCGGGTGGCGGCGCCAACACATGAGGATATTATTGGCGTACTGAGGGCGTCGGCGAAGAAGGAGGGGTGGCCGGTGGTTGAGGGGCTGCACAAGAAGATTGCGGAAGAAAGTGGGAGGAATTTGCGCAAGGCGCTGTTGATGTTTGAGGCGGTACACGCGCAGAAGTAAGTGCTATGAGTGGTCATGATGTTATGGATGAGGTGTGCTGACCCTTTGCAGTGAGAAAGTCACCGACACCACACCAATACCGCCACCAGATTGGGAGGCCCTCATCGGGCAGATTGCGAGGGAGATTATGGAGGAGCACACGCCAGCGAGGATCCTGCAAGTCCGCTCGAAGCTCTATGACTTGTTGACGCACTGCATCCCCGCTACTACGATCCTGAGGACGCTTACGTTCAAGTTGATCCCGTTGATCGACGATGCGCTCAAGGCGGATGTCATCAAGTGGGCTGCTTTCTACGAGCACCGCATCAAGACGGGGACGAAGGTTATTTTCCACCTGGAGGCGTTCGTGGCCAAGTTTATGAGGATATTTGAGATGTACTTGATGAGTATGGATATGTAAGGGAGGTCTTTTCATGCGGTTGGGCGTTGGGACTGGAATCTCGGGATCGAATAAATGGAACCATGAATTACCAGACACATCCAATGGGTTACTCCCATTTACGAACGGAAAAGGGACCAAGGCTGGCGATGATATCGCTGGAAGCCATGACGTCGTGCCCTAACCCTGAATTTCAGACTCCCGATTTCCAGGGGCCACCTGGCCCAATCCGCGCACCCGATTCGCCAACATCTGCCATGTGGGTCCCCTACTGCGACCTGCATCTTCTTGAAGTGCCGCGCCATGCAATTGAAGGCGCGACCGTGTCCCCAACCGCAGCTCACAAACCCACGCCTCAGCGGCCCAGCTTCGCTTCCGCCTCACCCGGTTCCAGCTCGTTTTGTTGGAGACTTCCCACATGCCTGACCGGTTGACGACGAATGGCAAATCTCGTGCGACCGATCAATCGACGTAATTCAGAAACCACCACTCGAGCTATCGCCAGCTACCGAGCTTAGCTGCTTCCCGAGACGAACCCCCCGAGTTCAAACACGCGCGCTGCGTCTTGAAGTACTGCGACTGCCGAACTTCGGCTGGTTTTCCGATCTAGACCTTGTATATACGCCAACGGTCTGGGTAGACCCTTCCACCATGGCGTTCAACCTCTTCCGTATTGCCGGTATGCATTGGCCCAAGGAGAACACACAAGGGGGAAGGACTGAGGAATTCGCGGGGATAAGTGAGGGGCTGACACTTTGGGTTTGATAGGGGATCTCTCCCATCTGGCGTCCATTTTCATTTTGCTGCACAAGATTGTCCAGCTCAAGGTGCGTAACCCATGTTATTGGCGCTAGTGGTAATATTGGTTATCCGGGACTCGAAGCTGACCGTACTGGCGCAGAGCTGTTCTGGCATCTCGTTCAAGTCGCAGGCGCTGTACCTGATTGTCTACGTCACAAGATACCTGGGTGAGTCGCTGCCGCAAAATTGCCTCCCCAATATACAGCCGCTAACTCGATGGCTACACCAGATCTCCCATGGACGCACTCCCCCTACAACTTCATCTTCAAGGTCCTCTTCATCTCCTCCCAGCTATACACGATCTACCTGATGGCACGCGAGTACCGACCGACCAACGACGCCAACCTTGACACCTTCCGCGTCGAGTATCTGCTCGGCTTCGCCGCGGTCCTCGCCCTGTTGTTCCCCGTGCGCTACACCGTCCTCGAAGTGTTCTGGGCCTTCTCGATCTGGCTGGAGAGCGTGGCCATCCTGCCGCAGCTGTTTATGTTGCAGCGCACAGGCGAGGCCGAGGCGATCACGGCGCATTACTTGTTCGCGCTGGGAACCTACCGCGCCCTGTACATCCCCAACTGGATCTACCGCTACGCGACGGAGTCGTCGCGTAAGATCGACACGATTGCCGTGGTGGCGGGTGTGCTGCAGACGGTGCTATACAGCGACTTCTTCTGGATTTACTACACCAAGGTCATGAAGGGAGAGAAGTTCAAGTTGCCTGTCTAAGGGGCGGCTGTTCAATCTAAGCAGGGGATGGTCATGAGGGAGGGATGGGACATGGAGTTCAATTGACGAAGGTGTAACCCCCCAAATCCCGTTTGATATCTGCTTTGCCTGGCGAATGCTACCTACGAATGACAAGATGAAGGGGAGACTGGACAAGAGCGGGTCAAAAGTCATGATACAAAATGGACGGGCAACAAAAGCCCACTGTAACGCGAGAGCGAGCTTTTCCTGGTGACGAACAAGGACGGAAAAAGGCGGGCGATACATTCTGGCGTTCGGAGATGCTATGCTGGGTGGGTGGATAGGTCTGTGCTTTACAGGCGGCGGGACTTCGTTCGGGAATCGTGTCTGCTTGACCTTGGATTTTATCTTCGAGCCGGGAACGTATATAGATATGACGCTTGAAGCTTTGTAAACAAATAACTATAACTTGAGGGACTTGTTTTTTTCTCAGGGGTGGAGCGACGACTTCTCATGCAGTCACTGCGTTATGAGAGCTCATCTTAGCATTCCACAACCCCCACGTCAACAAACCCCTTTTTTAAATCTGAAACAGGTATCATCGACATTGCTAACTCGGACAACTTCGCTCCATGTCCTTTTGAAAACCCGGCAACTAGATGCCCAAACCGAATTTTTCTTCCACGGTACCGGGTTCGCAGTCTGAAACAAGGGACGTTCATAGGTCGTCCCTTCCGCTTTTGACTGCACCAAAACCCAATCAACTTGGCCCCGCACAGAGAACCTTATACAACACCTCAACTTCACAACCCACGACACGACACGATACAATGAAAAACGAAAGCTCATGCTGAATGTAGCTCGACTCAAGAAGGAGGCCGAACCCCAGGTTCACCTCCGAAACCCAAATTCCCGGACCTCCGGGCCTGTCTCGGCGGCATAACAACCCCCTGGCGCACATCAATCACCTGTCGTCTGTTTCAGATTTTGACGACGGTGTGAAGCCTGACCTACCCGGAAACTTGTCCGTGCACAGACTTTCGTTGCTTCTTATGAATATCCTTTTTTTGTCTTTTCTTGATTGCGGACTTGCGGTGGTCCGGGTGTGCTGGTTTCCGGGTTGATTTGCGGCGTGCCGATGTTGGGTATCTATGTATCAACCCTTCTTGCTTCACTGACCGCTTTGGTCTGCGGTGCCAGGAGGGATTTGAGACGACATGTCGTTCCCCATGGGAGTCCCCGCGCTGATGTCCTGTCAGGTTGGCTTTTGCTGCATGTCATCTCATGATGCCTGGAGTCACTGTATTTGCCGTGGATGCCATCCCATCTTTTTTTTTCGATGGTGGTATAGTGTTGTATGGCTGCGAGAACAAACCCTCCCTTCTTTTCACTTACCGTTTTGCTTGTCACCTCACCTGTCAGAACAGCTTTGTCGGCATCTCAATTCTGCCCCCACGCCCAGATATTTTTCTCTTCAAGCATGAATTACTGCACCACACGGGGCAAGGCGTACCATCAGTGACGAGCAGGAGTATCATGCTCGCCCCGTCTTCTTCTCGCTGCACACTGCAAGATCTACCGCTAGGGCGCGGTAGGGTTTCGGACGACCTTGGGACAAGTCAGTCTATTCAGGGACGCTTGGTTCAACCGAGTCTGTTTCTTCCTAGGTTACCTGGTTGAGACACCATCGATCTGACATCCGGCTCCGACCGTTTCCCCCTTCTGGCTCGACGAGTAGGGAGAATGAGGGAGAATGGCATGGGTAAACATTTCTCTTTTATCCTCTGCATCTCCTCCCGTTGATTCCTCAGTTGAGTTCCGTTCTGGTGATGCTGTTTCTTTTCTTTTCCCGTTGTCTTCTGGCTAATTAGCCTTCCCACGCGTTCTGTTCCCGGTTCTCTCTTCTGTACTACGCGCTTCTACACATCATTACACCACGCACCGGGTTCACCGTCTTCTGGCTGAAAGGGAGATCGCCAGGCCCGTCGTCGGTTAGCAGCTTTTTCGACTACTGGTATTGGTTCTACCGCAGCGCGGTACGAGGGTAGTATTGCGAGTTATTGGGGTGATTCGGGAGTGCTTTTTATCACCATCACCATCATGGCCAAGGGGCCACCAATATTCCCGCGTCTCTCGCTTCTTTTTCTAATATGTTCGGCCTGTGCATGGATTGGAAATGGGGCAGCATCCGGGCCGGTGCCAGTGGCGATAGGAGTCGAAAACGGGCAGGATATCAGCCAACAACAATTTGAACAGCCCGAACCACCACCAGCAGCCCAGGCCGTCCAAAACGAATACCAACCCACCATCACACCACCCCCAACCCTCCTCCCCCGACAAGGCCCAGACCAAGGCCAAATCCAAGCCCTCAGCAACCAACTCCAACAAGTCTCCTCCCAATTCCGCTCCGTCAGCCAAGCCAGCCAGGCCGTAAGCCAAGCCAGCCAGTCCGTAAGCCAGGCCAGCCAACAACTCAGCCAATCCCTCCAACAAGCCACGCAATCCTTATCCCAGGCCTCCCAACGCCTCTCCCAAACCTCCCTCCAACTCGCCAGCCTCTCCTCCGCCTCCCGGTCCCTATCCCAGTCCGCAGCCGACGCCTCCCGCAGCGCCAGCCAGGCGCTCGAAGCCAACATGGCTAGCGTCATCCAGCAGATGGGGGTGATGAGCGCCAGTTTCTCGAGTGCGTTGCGCAGTGCGCAGGAGAGTGCGGCTAGTGTTGCGCGGGTGGCGCAGGATCGGGCGGATGAGCAGGTGCAAATGGCGCAGGGGGCTGCGTTGTCGGTTACGCAGACGGCGTTGGCGGTCGTTGGGGGGGTGGTGGGGTCTTCGGTTGTTACGGCGGTGGTTGTTGTGTTGGTTTTGAGGAGGAGGGGGAAGAGGGGGCGGAGGGGGAGGAGGGGTGGTGGGCAGGCTCGGGGGGATATTGGGTTTCCGAAGCTTACGGGCACGTCGAATAAGGCGTACTCTGTGGCGTCGTCGGACGCAGCGTCGATGGAGTTTAAGGAAAAGGGGTATTACGCCCGGGATAATAAGGACGATGGCGATGGTGGTGGTAACGACGACAGGAGCAGCACGTACAGCACCGACGATAACGGCGTGCGGTTTTCGTCCGCTGGCGCTGCTGTGATCCAGCAACCGCCTCCAGCCATGACTACCAACTCTGCTGCTGCTGCTGCCTCTTCCACGACGACAGGGATACCGCGAAAGGAGGTCAACACCAATCCAGCTGTCGGACAAGCAGTGGGGTATGCAGTCGGGTACTACGCTCGGCGGGTATCCAACGCTGTCAAGGGGGGCCAGCAGAAACCCAAGTTCCAGCTGGGGAACCCACCACCACCGAGGGAGAAAGCGGCATCAGCAGCAGCGGGAGTAGCAGGGCCGACAACGGGAGCGGACACAACGAGTGGAACAAAAACCGGTGATGAGGCCACGAACGGGAAATTCACCCTCTTCCCCAGCCCGCAGTTCAATTTCAATCTAACCCCCAACAACAACAACAACAACAACAACAACAACAACAACAACGGCACCACCAACAACGAACCACCCGCTCCCACAACTATAACCAAAAGGGGGTTGTCGTCACCGTTGTCGTCATCTCTGTCGCCGACGTCGTCAGCTGGTGGAGCCACATCCACAACAGCTGGCGAGGTTCGGAAAGTGGGCGTGGGCGTGGGCATGGGGATTCCTTCGACGTTATCATCGTCGATGGTGGTACCCGGGCCGGGGCAGCGGTTAGGACAGGGGCGTGGGATTGGGGGGTTGGGGGGATTGATGACGACGGGGGGGGATAGTAGTAATCGTAATATTGGTGGTGGTGGTGGTGGCGGTGGGAGTAACCCCAGGGTCAATACCAACCGCTACAGCAACGACGACGACATCAGCGGCCGAGGTTTCATCCCCACACTCGAGCGCTGGCTGCGTGATGGGACGGATGTGAGTCCCTTCTCGACGCTGCAGAAGCAGGAGAAGGGGGCCGGGGCGACCCGAACTGGTGTTGCGAGATGAGGTGATTCGGTAAAGTGTGGGTGGAGGAGGGAGTACAATTATATCGTTGTCAACTTTCCCTTACATAGGTCTACGGCGTTTGGGCTTCTTCTGTTGGACGTCGGGGACCTGAGGCGAGATGAGACCAGGCCGGTTGGTCCTTGGATGGTAGAAGTTGGTGTTGTTGACTGCTGAATACCTGCCTAAGCGGTTACGGTTAACGATATTAGGGTTGGCTAGGTTACGGTTGTCGGAGGAGATGAGATACCCCTTTTACAATATATTTATTTTCTTCGGCTTCGTCAACCACATTCCCACAAGAGGTTGCTCTCCCGTTTACCCACCCCTCGCTTCTACTTACCGTGCTCCGCGATCTTCGGTTTATTTTAGGCAGAGTCTTGGACGCCCACCCCTGCGACTGTTGATCATGGAGGGCCCGACGGGATTAGTTGCTTCCATGAACATCGGTTGGTGCGGCTCTGGCCGACAGACACTACACTTCACTAGTCTATCAGGTATCGGCCGTTTGGCCGGCCTCGGAGGTAACCCTTTCTGATGATTGCGTTTGCTCTGCTCCATTTTCATGATTTTACTACCGCCGCAAAGGAACGGAGCAGTTATCGCTTCTCGGTCCTTTTGAAGGGGACGCGCGGCCGCCTTACCCTAAATCCTGGGATAAGCCGGGTCTGGTGCGAACTCCGTCGAAGGGAATCGAGAAGACGTTGCCGGTGGGACTAAGGGACAAACTCTAAGAATCAAAAACTCGAAGAAGCCGTGTGCAACCTGAGGTCAGAAAATAGTTTTGTGAGCTTGTTGTTCAAGCACTTGGCATCAAATCTCGTGTATGTACTGTACATGGTACTGTGCTCTTTGTGCAAGGAGGACTGCTCACGTGCCCACTTTGACGTTCAAGAAGTTGTTGAAAAACACTGTGGGGATTCCCGCCGTTTCAACAACCGCTCCACTTTTACGGATCACTTACTAGATTAGGCCAGCCAGAAACCTGAGAACCACCTAACCGAAGGCCTTCTGCAACGTTATTCTCGGCGGAATCGACTCGCGATTTTATCCTTCTTTTCCTCCCGTCCAACCGTTGAATACGTTTCTCCCCAAGCGGGACCCCCTTGCCGATCCGGGGTCGTCGCCCGGCAAATTTAGTAACATGTCGTGTGTGCAGGATTAGAGGGTATCTCGTAAACACAAGTTGTGGATTCTTCACCCCCAGGACAACTTAATGCCAAAACACTGGCCCAAGGCTGGCGAGGGAACAACATAGAGAGCTCGCTCCTCGACAAGCGATGGCATTGAACCACCCGCACAGGTCTCGAGCCAGCGGCCGAGCGGCAAGCTATGTAAGGGGCTCGTGGTGACGTCGACTAGTTGGACAGGGACAGGGCTAGGTCCGGAACGATACTCCCTTCCGTTGCAACTTGCAACTGAAGTGTGTGCCGTGTACGATCTTTTGCCATTCAGGATAACTAAACAGACTGGAAGGTCGCGTGCTCGCTTCCCTGTCTTGAAGCCGGTTGATTCTTCCTCCCGCTGGCCCTGCATGACCGCTGGTCTGTGTGCCCGCATGGCCCGCATGGCCTCGTTGCTGGTGGTCTCCGCTTGTGTTCTTCCATGCCGTCTGGTGGATTCTACACTAAGTAGTGTATGTACTGCCCAGACTCCCGAGACACTCATCGAGGCCAAGACCTGATGATCCCCCGGGACTGGCGGGCCCGATGTGGACGGTAGTACGACGAGACTTAAGCCCTGGTTGCAGTTCTCGTGCACTCCGGGGTGGAAGAATACATCCTATACAGGCCAACGGGTAACAAAAATCGGAAAAAACAACGTCCCTCGGACCCCGAGAGCGATAGAGCCTGGCCTACTTGGGGAAACCATGCAGTAAATTGGCCTTTGCACGCGACTTCTTGCCGAAAGAGTGGTGCAGCTCCCGGGCATATGACGACTATCTGACGACCGTTCTCCAAGTCCACACAACAGACGCACCCCCGTGCGTCCACACTGTATTAGCTGCCTCGTATTGAGGGAGGAGAGGATGAGAGAAAGCCTCTTGGAAGCCCAGGGCTTATTAGTCCCGATAACACGAGATAAACATACGACAGAAGACCACTCTGTAAGTAGAGGGTGGATGAGTGATCAGCAGTGCTTTTTGCTAACCATGCTGCGGGTACAACCTGCAGAACGTGCCCTTCCACCAAAAAAAACGGAAGCCCAAGTCCGCCCGGTCCATTCGCGAGCGACCCCGGGGTGCTGTTTTGTCCCAACCCACATCCCGATGTTCCCTGTCGAGCTCCAAACTCAACTGACAAGGAACCTGACCAGGAACTTTGCCTCATATGGGCCTGCTGTCGCTCTCTTTCTCGCTCTCTTGTTGATCTGTTTCTAGATATCTGAAGCTCCGGACTTTGAGCTTCGTTTATACCGCTTACATCATTTTTTGTTTTGCGTTACTGTGTTGGACCTCGCTTCTCCCCCCTTTATCATCGTTCATGTTGTACACATGTCCCCCTATCATCGGACCTAAGCAACCCGGGAGGCTGTTCGATCTCCTTTCCCGCAGCTAGCTGCTTTACCGTCCCTCTCAGGCCTCTCGCCTGGCTGGACCGAGATGAGACCGTTAATAGCCTTGCTCACGAACCAAAAGGTGTTGCTCTTGCTCACGGCCTTTGTTGTATTTTCTGGACTGTTCAGTACGGCAGCCGTTGCGCGGGGGGGTGACCAGGTGTTTGGGTTTGGGGGTTCGCAGCAGCAGCAGCAGCAACAGCCACAAGCACAACATGAGCAGGCACCAATATCACAGGCCAAGCCGGGGCCGAAGCCGAATCCCAAGTCGAGCCGGCCGGCTGCGGACTCGATGCCGGAGTACAAGTATTTCCAGGAGGCTGGGGGGTCGATGGAGCTTACTCGTGGGTTTCTCGATATACTCCTCAGGAAGAGAGAGAAGCTAACAAAGAGCAGACTACGATGCCCGTTTCTTTCAGGGCACAGTTCCCTACGATGAGCGTATGTTATCCTTTCACGTATAAGACAAACAAGCAGTACTAACAAATCAGACCGTGAAATCCTGACCCAGCTCATCCGCTCTTACCTAACGACCTTCCGGCAGCTGGGCCTCGAAACCTGGCTGGCGCACGGCACGCTGCTGGGGTGGTGGTGGAACGGCCGGATCCTGCCGTGGGATTTCGACGTTGACGCCCAGGTCAGCGCCGAGACGCTCGAGCTGCTGATCCGCCGGCCCCAGGACAGTTTAGCGAACGATGATAACAACGACAACAGCAACTCGAAGTCCCCCGGGACGACCGACACTGCGGAATCCTCAACAACAACAATCACAGTCCACGGAGGGACCAACCCATCCCCGTCCCCATCTAGTGCCTCCTCAACCTCAAACATCTCTCCACCCCCCACTGACAGCGCAGGCAACCCCCTCCCAGCCTACCACCACCCAACCTACACGCACTACAACCAAACCATCCACTCCCACACCTCCACCAACCCCCTCACAGGCCACAAACAACACCGTTCCTACCTCCTCGACGTCAACCCCTTTGCCGGCAAGTTATCCCGCGGCCGCGGCGAGAACGTCATCGACGCCCGGTGGATCGACATGCAAACGGGCATGTTTGTGGATATCACGGCGGTGGTGGAGAGGGAGCCACACCGGAGACCGGGGGTGGTGAGTTGTAAGAATTTTCATCGGTATAAGGCAGAAAGGGAGTTGTTTCCGTTGCGGGAGAGTGAGTTTGAGGGGACGGCGGCGATGGTGCCGTGGGATTTTGAGGGGGTTTTGGTCGGGGAGTATGGGGAGAAGAGTTTGGTTGTTGCTGAGTGGGAAGGGTGAGTTATTTGTTTCTGTGCTCTGTGTTCCCCCTGAGTACGATGCCGCTTTTGATCCTCCGTACTAACGATATACTACGCAGACACAAATGGGATCCCGCCCTCAAAGAATGGATCCGAAAGCCCTCAACCGCAAAACCAGGAACCGCAAAATGGAACGGCCCAGTAGATCTCGGACAACTAGGGAAACCACAGGAGGAAGAAGAACCAAAACAACAACAAGACAAGACGGAAACTACAAACTCAAACACAAACATAGCCGGGAAACAACGGGATAAAGCCACGGCTTAACCGACGTCTAGTCGGAGAGAGGGGTTTCCGCAGTTTTCGAGGAGGGGTCGGTAAACGTGTGATATGGGTTGACTCTGGTGTAGTCCAGTGTAGGGATGTCTCGGGGTTGGATGTTGGGATGCTCGAGGTGCTTCAGACAACTCGGACGTTTCGGACGCCTCGAATGATTTAGGAGTGTTGAAAGCTAGATGCTTGGATATCTTGGACGTTTGAGTTCGAGAGAGAACAGGGGTAAGGAAAGAAGCGTGAATGAGGGCTCGATAAGACGTACATAAGGGGGGATATAGACGTATATATACGTACATATGATACTGAATTGAAGGGCATGGTATGCATTTGTGTCAGTATCGCCGGATGTGTAAAATAGCTAACTGATGATTAAATGGATTGGATGGTTTGGGAGACATCTGCCCTAACTAAGGACTAGCATTTGAGGTACAAATTAACTGCTTGACCAGGCTCTGATACTCTGTCTACTCCAACATGGCACGCAAGATTGTGACCCTCAATAACTTCGTCAATCAACCACTTTAACCAATACTGTTTGCCGGCCGGAATAAGACGCTTCCCCCAAGTTTCCAACATTCGCTTCAGCTTTGACCTCTCCGTGCCATTCCCGCAACTTCCCCCCCTCCTGGAGTCTTTCATACCTCCGCTTCCCGAACAGCATCAAACCCGCTTCTCTTCTGCAAAAACAAACAAACTTATTTCCCTCTGTTATTTCTTTTGTGGTCATCGTACAAGAAACAGCTTGATATTGTGCTTCACCAAGTGCCTAGCCCGCCTCGTTGCAGCAGTGCTCAGCTGGGATATGACGGCTCAGTTGAGTCGCCTCTCTAGAATCAATAATTTGGGTGGCGAGCTTGCAACAAGAGCCCAGGTGGATGTGGTTCGGGATGCCGGTTGCAGAATTGTCACAATGGCTGGGCCGTTAGCGGCGGGTTTTTGAGGGCAGTGGGCAGGCAGGAAGGAAGGTACGTAGGGAGAGGGTATATATACAAGGCCCACCTTCCCTGTTTCCAACTAGACGAGGACCACCAAGGTGGTCATGGCCTAACGGTCACCAGCGGCGGTCCTCGGGAGGGGTTTAGCCCTTGCTGGGGGGAGGTCGAATCTTCAAAACCTCACCACGAGGTCGAGGGTTCGATTCCTGGCAATGGCGCGGCTTATTGGTTAATAAGGAGGAATCATGACCCTGCCTAATTAGCTAGCTCGACGATGTGAACTTTTATCCATTACGGGAAGGCTGAACACAAAACCGGAACCTCCACCCCGGGTGGGGAAAGGAGATCCGCCGTTAGACTCCCTTTTTTTTCTTGTTTGTTTTTCTCTTTGCAGTGTGTACTTTCGGCCGCTCTGAACTTATCTGTCGTTGTTCTGATTGTTCAACATTTGACATAGTAATTGCTCGTTTAGTTCTCTCTCTCATGGTTCATCATCAATTGCACGCGCTTGCTTGACCGATTGGACGAAGTGGGCATCCTGAAGTCACCCCGGCACGATGGACGAAGAAAAGGCAATGGCTGAGAAGAAGGTATGTTGCTGTCTCATCTACTGGCTGGGGGTTCAGTCAAGTCAGGCAGAAGCAACCTCAGCATAGTCAACTAACCACCTGACTGAATATGAATAACCAGCACCATCCATGTCCGCGCCATGCAAATACATCCATATCATATCCATTATCAGTATATCCATGTACCCCCCCCCCTCTATCCAAAACACCTCGCACACCTTTCCCATCATATCTAAGGCCCGGCTACCCTCCTCCGTCACAAATAAGACCCTTGTTTGAGAGCTTTTCCCCGTGCTATACTACCCCAGTAGTCTTCAGACCCCCACACATCCCCCCAGCTTCCAGCTAAATCCTCAACCCGACCCCAAACGTTCCAAACCAACCACCTAATACCCAGCAACACTTCCCCAACCCCCACCCAATCCCCAAGTAAGTAAGTAATACCCAAATTAAACAACCAACCCAGCCCCCTCCCCCTCGCCATCCAACCTCTCAAGCCCATGACACGCAGCCCCATACACCCTTAAGGGCACAGCCACCTCAAAGCTCTCACACAGAAGATTCTCGACGCCGACGAGGACTTGGCCGCCCCGGTCGTCGCGGGAGATTTCCTCTAGGAGGGGGTGTGTCTGCCCTGTCTGACTTTGTCCTGTCTGTGCTGTAACTCCTTGGGAGTGGGAGTGTGTTTGTCCTGGTTGGCTGGGTTGTCCTGGCTGTCCTTGGGAGCGTGCCTGGGAGTGTTGTTGATGCGGATGTGTCTGGGTTTGATGCTGAGGGTGCTGAGAAGGGTGATGCCTAGAGCCCCGTCGTTGCTGGGGCCCAAGCATACCGTCCCGTTCGTCTTCATCTTGTTCTTCGTCTTCACCTTCATCTTGTTCCTCCTCCTCTTGACTCTGATTCTGACCCTGACCCTGACTCAACCCCAAACCCACCCCCTGAGACGACTGAGCCTGCACCGGCACAACAAACTCCAACCTAACCTTCCACTCCAGCCCGACCCCACTCGTCACAAACTCCGGCGTAGCCGCGACCGGAATCCCCGCGGTAAACACCCACCTCCTCGCAAATAACACCGCCTCGCTCGCACTCGCCCACACCTTCCTCGTCACCCTATTCACACTCGCCTCGGACCGCAACGCCAAACTCAAATCCACGCGCTCCGCCGTCTCCAACGCAGCATGCACAGCGTGACACGCGACCTGAGCACCCGCGAAATCAACTACACATGTCACCGTCTCGCCTAGACGAAACGCTGGGCGGGTGAGCATGACGACGCCGACGCGGCGGCCGTTGCGGGCGATTTCGAAGCGGTTGGGGGAGTTGGTTTGGGAGCCGCCGGTGAGGTTGGAGCGGAGGATGGCGAGGTCGATGGCTTCTTTGGCGGTGGGCGGGGGGAGGAAGGGGTGGTGGTCGGATACGGACACGATGGATGGGCGACGGGAGGAGGTGGGGGAGTGGGGGGTTAGGGGAGCGCTGGGGCTGAGGAGGGCGCCGTTGGAGGTGGATGTGGAAGTGTTCTGCTGCGGGCGGGAGAGGAGGTCGTCGACATACGAAAAAAAGGAGGCCACGGTCGAGGGGGGTGTTACTTTGATACTGCCGGTCTTTTTGTGTGACGTGCCAGCGCCGGTCTTGACAGCCGTGACCGTCGCCTGGTCGCGCAGCAAGATATACGGCGCCATCAGATCATGGCCCAGAATCTCGCCGTGGCTGTTAACACTCCCCAACACGCGGAACGGCACATCGACCGACTTGACGCGCTGCTCCTTGGAACTCCCCGGCCGCTGCGTGCCGATGACCAGGCTATACGAAATCTTCATGGCTTTCCCGCGGTGCGTCGGCGGCAAACCGCGTGGCAGCTTGAACGAGTACTCGTATGTCTTGCTCTCGCCGGGGCCTAACTGCAGGTCAACAAACAGGATGGACTGTGGCGTCGACAGCAGCGGCACGGCCTTGGAGTTGGCGATCCCCCGCATCTCCTTGATGGTGCTCAGCTCCCCGCCCCCGAGCAGCTCTCCGATCGAGCTCGTGATGTTGCCCCAGCCGAACCCGCGCAGCAGTCCGCTGTCGCGTTTGGGGGTTTCCAGCCCGATCACGCCGCCGCCTTGTCCGCCCACGACCGCTTTCCGTTTGACGGCCTCGAATGGACCTAGGTTGATCAGCGAACCGTCCAGGGTAAACGACCCTTGCACTTGCGCATACCCCATCATCAGCGTCTCGGGCAGGCGTGCGGCCGCGGCGCTCGGGACGAGGTTTGATGTGCGTCGGTTGTGTGGCGAAGGATGGTGGGTTTGTGAGCGTAGCGGCTGCTGCGTCACGTACTCCGAGGCTAGCGTCTCAGACGAGTTGTTGCTGAGCGAGTAGAACTCGCCGCTGCTGCGCGGCGTGCCGGCGATGCTCATGGTCGAGAGGATTCGTGCCGAGGGTGCCACGCCCTGCTCGTTGATGGTCGGTACTGAGTCTCTCGGTCGCAGCGCTAGGCCACTGGTTGTCGGGCTGGACGGGTCTTCGTCGGCCAGACCGCCGACCGTGCCGGGGGTCGTGGGCGACGGCGACATGGGGAACCTGAACTCGGCCAGGGGATTCGGGGAAACGGGAGACCGTCGTGGGGGGAATTCGGGCCGTGCTGTCTCAGGGCGTGCGGTTTCGGGCGCTGTGGCTGTCCCGGGACGGCGGCCGCTGATGCTCCTGTCGGGGGGGAACGAGGCGTGAAACAGGGGGGACGGTTGGCCGGAAGGTCTCACGGTTGCTGTATACATTAGCCCTGCCGTCACTCTAGAAATAAAATAAAATTTAAAGAAAATGAAAGTTGAGAAAATGGAAAACTCACCAGACCGCGGCCCATTTAACAACCCCCCAGCGCGCGGCAATATCTGCAAGCTCGACGCCCTTGCATGCCCATGCCCCCTCGACCGCGACGGTTTCGCCGGTGCCGTGGCTGCCGAACTACTCGACCCATCGTCCACCGTACTCAACGATCCAATCGACACAATCGACACCGACCGTTTATGCCCGTGTCCGCGCCCGCCTCCATGCCCACCACTCCCACTCCCATTCCCACTCCCACTCCCACTCGCCAAATCCACCTCCCCTATCCCCCCTATCCCGCCTTTCCCCACACTCCCATTCCCATTTCCATTTCCATTCCCACTCCACCCTCCCAAGAACCCCCCCCCATTCCCCACGCCAACCCCCCCACTACCCCCTCTCCTCCCACTCCTCTCAGACGGCACAGACAACGATAAACTCGACCGGTGATGGCCCCTCTGTCCCCCCGTCGGCGGAGGCGCCAAGCTACTCCCTGATGCCGAGCCCCCTTTTATTCCTCCTCCACTACCACCACTCCGATTCCCATGTCTTTGTAGCTGTAACTGATGCTGTCGCGATCGGGAAGCGTTAGGCGGAAAGGATGGCGCGGAGTGGAGCGTTGGGGTGTTGGAGAGGGATGTTGATGGCGTCGAGGTCGTGGAGGAGGTTGTGTGTGAGTTTGAGTTTGGTCCTGGTGTGGTGGATGCAGCAGCATTGGGCGTGCGCGCGACATTCTTAAAGGTGATGGTGCACCGGAGTTCTTCGCCGGCAAAGATGGTCTGCTCGTGCCAGTGGACGAAGACGCGGATGTTGCTGGTGGGAGTGCTTGTTGTCTTGTTCGGCTTGGGTTTGGTGTAGTTGGGGTAGTTGGAATTGGAGGAGTTGGAGACGGTCGTGCTGGGACCGCCTTCGGGCGGCATTGTTTACGCCGGTGTGGCTGTCTTCGTGTCTTCGTGGGTGGTTGTTCGTGATTATTATCTGTTCGATTCGTTCGCGTTGGTTGTGTCGCTCCGCAGCATCCGTCGTTGGGGAATGTACCTCGCGGGCTTCGTCAAGGGAGCGTCGAGCGCGGCACTAGCAGCTCCCGCAAATCCACGAATTGGTCGCCAAACTCGTCAATCCACTAAATTCCGCATTGCCCAGCCGCAGCATGGTCTGTCGCCGCAATGCAATCTGCAGAAAGACACAGAAAAAAAGGCGCAGGATGATGCTGTTTCGTTGTAGTTCGTTGGCTCCGGAGAGAGTCGTTGAGCCAGCGACGTCCGACCCGAGTGGGCCGTGGCATCGGGGGATCGTCAGGACCCTTGCCCATGATGCGGGTGCTTGGGCCATGGGTCCCTGCAGGGGCCGGGGGGAAAACTTAACCCTAACCCTCAATTGCAACTTACACTTCCATTTTAGAGCCTCTTAAGGAGTAAAGCAGACTTAGCTACCAACAAAGTAGATAACCATGCCTTGATTATTGACAAGCTGAAAAAGCAATTATCTTAAAGTTACTACAAACTAGAAAGAAAAAAACTCAAAAAGCTCACCGCCCCATCATCTCAATCCCCCGTAGGGATCAAGGAATGGGGGGCTGTTACGAAAATCCCGAAAGATTTTACTCGGTGCATCATCCGGGGATCGAACCCGGGCCACGGTATAACAGGCATATTTGTTGATACCCGCGCCCCCCCCAAATGCGCCATCCGCGGTTGGGCATTTGCCGGATGGGGGGGGCTGTTGGAAACTGGTTACGGAAGTGTGGGTTATAAAGGGCTGTGCGGGACTTTGCGGGAGGGAAGGTGCGGAAAGAGGATGAGAGGGAGAGAGCTCGTCCATTATTATCATGTACAGTGCCTATGAACCGGGATAGTAATCGCTGGACAACGGGAACTGCCTGTACGCCATGTTCCAAACCACTGCTTAACAATACGGAATGTATAGATCTATAGACAGGCAAACAGCCGGGTACAGGCAGCACCATTGTCTTCCATCAGGCCTTATTCCTTAGATCTGAACTCCACATTGTAATTAAGGAACAGCCGAACGGTCCTTAGATTAAGACTTCCATTCAATGCAAAGATGTATAAATCCAGCCTTCCCACGACCCATCCAGAGCAGGTAGGCAAAGACGCCGGGGAAGCAGTGACAAATTCAAGAAGCTCCGAGGAGCTCTCGATTGCAGGCAAAGATTCACGCATTCGCGCCAGAACCACAGCGAGAACGAGACAAGACGTCTCTTCCTCAGGGCAGCAACGAAGCTCCTTCTCCGCACACAGACTAGTTGCCACAGCACGGGAGCGCAGCTGTGGCAACTTAAGAGTATGCGGTGTTGGCAATGTTGATTCAGGAAGGATAGTTTGATTGGCGTGGGAGTTGGGGATGATTCGCTATTAGTTGATACATTACGCTAGAGGTACAATTACTTATCCTTTTTCGACTCATCGGCAGCTTCCCCAGGCACGCCTTCGTCTTCCACCTCGTCCTCGTCCGGTTGGTCTTCTTGGACGTCAAGGACATGATCACTGGCCTTCTCGAGGGTCTTGGCCATTAGGTGGTTCACAAACTTCCATGTTGCCTGTTACCCCGTCAGTATGGTATCAAACCCCAAAGATAAGTTGAAACTCACCCCCATGAATGTCAGCACCCCGACGACCACAAGCGCCCAGTTGATCTGCTCCACCCTGTTTCTCCCAGTCCCCCGCCGACGACGACCTCCAAACCGAACATTGAGCCAATGCCACGGCGACATGACAAACATGGTCTTGAGAAACCCCAAGATTCCCAAGGACAAGAACCCCTTAAAGAAGTGACCATACCAGGTCCCAGGCCCATCGTCCGCCAAAATCGGCTCATTCAACTCCACATCCATCAACGTCTCAATGAGACTGCCAAACGGGTCGTCCCAGAAACCGAGGATCGGATCGGCAACGAAGCCGAGGATGAATATGGTAGCCACCATGATAACGACGGTCAAGACGCCCCGGAGCGCTTTGCTCGACAGCCATCGACCCCATCGGAGGCGCTGGAGGCGGTACTCAAACTGGCAGGTAGGACACCGCCAGTAATTCCGATCGGACAGCGGCGACGCATTTCGCCAGGCCTGCAGACAACCCTCGTGGACATACCTCTGCGATCCTTTGCAGCGGCAGGGGCTGATGAGTCGGCCGAGCTCTGGGTCCTCGGAGACGTACCGCACACGCGTCTTGGAGGAGAAGACGCGGCCGGCAAGCGAGTCATCGATCTCGGTGGTGGGGTTGACGACTTCGAGGCAGATGCGGCAGGTCCGGGGTTTGTAGTGCCGCTGTTTCTGTGTCGGCGTGGCGCCGGGTTGGTGAGGAGCATCCGAGCCGCCGGCAGCGCCGGATGTTTGGTCGTCCCTGGTCTCGTGCTCGTGTTCGTCATGGTTCTGTGTATCCGTGTCGGGCGGCCACCCCCATTGAGGTTGGACAGACTCAGATTCCATATTGAACCTGAATCCGCGGGGGATTGTGATGGGGGTTGTAGGTGGTGACAAATCGAGAATGATTCAAAGAGAAGGTACGGGGCGTTGGAGGGTCATCTAAGCTTAACTATAAGCTGGGCGGCAGGAGCTTGGAAACCCACGGAACTTGACAGGTGTCAAAGGGCGCCAGTTGGTCCCGACAGCCGCCGGGCTGTGATGGACATGACCAACACAAAGGAAGGTCACGCGGGGAGCCACGGTAGCTTGTGGTTATTGAATTCGCCAAAAGCGTAACGGGCTGGAGCTGAACTCGCCATCGATCGACTCAGTTTTAAACTCTCACTCCGAGTTTAGTAGAGTTTATGGAGAGAGAGAGTTGACAATTCTTCATGGGTAACAGCTTTTTTCATTCAGGCCCGCTTTCCTCTTTCGGTTAGGCTGCGGCCGGATCAGCCTGGCGGGGAGGTCCCACATCAGGTCAGCGGCGGGGCCAATCAGGAGCTCTATGGCTTGCCGGGCTGGCCCAAGCTCTCTCAGGCTGAGGCCTGCCCGCCGACGCGCAACTTCGCTGTGCCTGGCTTGTAGCAACCACCGAAGCTTGGGGAACCTCAGCCCACCTTGAGCCTGCAACATTCAACTCGAAGACCGCCAGCAACAAAGCCGCAAAACACCAACCCCCGCGATCGTCACCCCGTTTGTGAAGCTCCAGAACCGACGCCATGGCGGACAGATACTCGTTCTCCCTCACAACATTCTCGCCTAGGTATGTCGGCCATTCTTGGACTATGGTGGAACTGGAAAGCGGGCAACGGATGCTAACAACGGCCCAACAGCGGCAAGCTGGTCCAGATCGGTTGGTGGCCCATTTGCACCGGAACCCGACGAAGCCCTGTGACGGCAATTATCGACTTTTGATCGCTAACACCGGTTCAGAATATGCCCTCAACGCCGTCAACCAAGGTGTAACAGCGCTAGGCATCAAGGGTTCGTCCCCCCACCATCACACCCCGCCTATCCCCTCGATCAACCTTCCCTTCCTCCCAACAACCAACCCCTCCGTTCCACCCAATATTTCCCACTAAACCTTTGCTAATGGATTTCCTTTGAGAAATACAGCCACGAACGGCATCGTCCTCGCAACAGAAAAGAAATCGTCCTCCCCGCTCGCCGACCCCTCGTCCCTTTCCAAAATCAGCCTCGTCACCCCCAACATCGGCATGGTGTACTCAGGCATGGGGCCCGACTACCGCGTGCTCGTAGACCGCGCACGCAAGGTCTCCCACACGGGCTACAAGCGCATCTACAACGAGTACCCGCCCACCCGCATCCTGGTGCAGGACGTCGCGCGCGTCATGCAGGAGGCCACGCAGTCGGGTGGTGTCCGCCCCTACGGCGTGAGCCTGCTGGTGGCTGGCTGGGACGAGGGGATCTTGCCCGAGGAGGATATTGAGCGGGCTGCGCAGGAGCAGGCGGCGGTGGCGAAACAGAGTAGCAGTGGGTTGGAGGATGATGGGGAGGAGGGGAAGAAGTTGGGCGGGAAGACGGGCGGGATTCTTAAGGGTGGGCCGATGCTGTACCAGGTCGATCCTAGCGGGAGTTATTTCCCGTGGAAGGCGACGGCGATTGGTAAGAGTGCCACGACGGCCAAGACGTTTTTGGAGAAGCGGTACACGGAGGGGCTGGAGTTGGAGGATGCGGTGCACATTGCGTTGTTGACGCTCAAGGAGACGATTGAGGGGGAGATGAACGGGGAGACGATTGAGATTAGTAGGTTTCTTCTCTCTAACCTTTCTACGTGGAGTTGCGGTTTTATCTAACATATCTATCTAGGCATTGTTGGCCCCCCGGCAGACCACCTCCTCGGCGTCGAGGGCGTCGAGGGCGCAGTGGGACCGCGCTTCCGGAAGCTTACGCCGCAGGAGATTGAGGACTACCTGACGAATCTATGATCTTGGGTCGGAAGGGGTGGTTTAATGCGGTTATGAGGACAAGGGCGTGGCGGCTGGTTAGTTCTCTCGACAAGCAGGCTTTCATTGTACACTAGACGACAGGCACACGAAAGGCTATAGAGAGAGAGCGCGCAGTGGACAAATCAAAAGAAAGAATCGTCACCAAACTAGGTCATGTCATCACCCAGCCTTACTGCTATTGCCGCTGAATGAACAGATACCAAGCCCAACTACATAGTAGGCCGCCTTACTCAGGAGTAGGCCTCCCCTCTCTAGATTTGGTACGAATTATTGCTCGAGCTTCTCAACAACCAAAAACGAACTCCTCGGCCCAGCCACAACACCCGTAACAACCTCCCCAACCCCCAGCACCGAGTCCAAATCAACCCGAATCCACCGCCTCGTCGATTCCACCACCCCCGGTACCCCCAGCTGTCCGTTCCCATTCTGCCCTATCACAAACACCTCCCCGTCTGTTGTTAATACTAGGATGTGTGAATTACCGACTGCGACGTCTATGATGTCTTTTTCTTCTTCGTCTCCCTCGTTCTCACCCCGCGGCACATCATCCGTGGTGTCAGTGCCGGTGCCGGTGATGATAACAGGACAGGGCGTGCCAGACAGGACGTCAGCTCCCAAGAAGGGGAACCGTCCCGAGTGGCCCCAGATGTACAGGTCGTTTCCTGCTGTCAGGGCTGCGAGCACATAACCGCCGGCTGCGATCTTGGTGATGGGGCCTGTGGGGAGGTCGGATAGGGAGGAGAGGGGGGTGGGTGTTGATGCTGGGCTGTTTTCATCTTACTTTAGCTCATCGTTTTGGTTTAAGGAACGGGGGAGTTAGGTACCTCTCATCGGTGGGCTCCCGGCCGAGACAGGCTGTGTACCGCTCGTCGCCCCATGTGTAAACCTGGCCGGTGGAGGAGAGGGCGGCGAACCCGGTGTCGTGGGCGAGGAGATGGGTGATGTTGGGGAGGTTGGGGAAGGTAGTTGGGGGTTTGTTTTGAGCCTTGGGGGCGTTTAGTAGGAAGTTTGGTTGGGAGGTATGGGAGATATCGGAGATATGGGAGAGGAGGTGGTGGATGGATGGGTATTGGTGGATGGTTTCGTGGCCGTCGTGGACTGAGATGATGTAAGTGAGAGTTAGATCTGTGATTTACATAGTAGGGATATGTCCGGTTCGGACTTTGGGTACATTACCCACTACGATGCCATTGGATGCTTCGGCAAAGCCGTCGTAGACTTTTGGGTTGGTTGCGTGTAAGCTGGCGTGGTCGGATGGGACTAGCCCGGCTACTTTGGTCTGGCCATTTTTGAGGACAACTAACACCGAGAGTCAGTCTTGAGAGGCTGGCTGACCACTCAGAACAGATAGTTGTCCGAGTTACGAGTCCTCTGTTTCCGTTTTCTTTCGGTGATTTACTCTTCAATTGGCCCTTTTACTCCCACGCTTACCCCCCTCCTACCTCGCTACTTTTTGAAGACTCACCTCGAGTGTATGACAAAAATGGACGGACAATCTCAACTTCGTCTCGTAACACGCAAGTGAACGACGAGAAGTCGTCTGATTCGCCCACGCCCGGGACGTCAAATCCCAATTGGTTCCAGGCATTGAACCCCGTTGCGTATAGCACCATGCCTAGAAAAGAGATCTCCCCCACTTCCAAATGACGATTTAGTCTCGGCGTTTGTCAACCGTCCAGAAGTGGAAGCGGTAGCTCTTTCCTCGCTTGGTAAGAACAAAAGGAAAGACCTTGAAAAGGCGGGTGCGATGGTTGAGCGGATGAGGGGGGTAACTCATCGCTGACGAGTCCAGTCCCCTGTGGCCCCGCCTGTGTGTTGCCCGCCTTTTTGACCCCCGCGGTATCCCGCAGGAAGTGCCGTAGAAACAACCAAACTTCCATGCAATCGTGACATCCACTGTGATGCACCAACGCCAATCTCCTTGTCCATTCCTTATGCGATGATCTACCAAATGCAATAACGGTATGTGAGTCACTCCGCGGCTGCATGCAGCGGCTCACTCAGTTTTGTTTGTTTGTCGTTTTCCCTCTGGCCAACTTTACCCCCCTTCTCGCCAAGCAATACCACTCATAGCAAGGATCCCAAAACTCATTCACACACTTCTTCCCAATGTAGTGGCCGGACGTCTTAGCGGGGTTCCTCCAGACAGGGCTACCGAATCTTTGAATGAATGGTGCCCTCGCGAGGTATGGCTCTCGAGGCTACCGGGCTGCTTCCAGAGCTGTTGGCCTCCGTAATCGTCGTCGGCGATGGTGGGCCTCATCGCAGAGAGGCAGTCTCGCAGCAGCAGCCAGGCAGCTTGATAAAACCGGCCTCCTTCGGGGCTTTCCCAGCTCCCAAAAGCTGATGAAACTGAACAAACGACAAGACGAAAAAATCAGGCAGATGAGGAAAAAAACAGCATTGTCAGAACCACCAAGGCAACGACCGAGTTTGCGCTCGGCTGGCCGTGTAAGATTCCAAGTGAGCTCAATTCCTCCTTCTCGAGCGGTACTCCATCGACGCCCCCACACCTCGGACTTCAAGGTTGGTTCTAGTACGTATGTACATGTAATATACCTAGTCACCACCACCACCACCTCCAAGTGCCAGGTCAACGCCAAGACGCGTCATACGGCGTTGACAACCAGATTTTCGTGAAAAAAATTCTAAATCTCTGATGTAGGATCCTCCCGCCGTTTCTAGAATAGGAAAGAAAACACCCCACAATACAAACCATCCCAGGCCTGGCGCGGCCACCACGCAACGCGGCGCCTCGTGGCCTAACTCGTGGCCTAACCGAGTTCTGGCTTTTCTCAGCGGTGTGCTTGGCCGGATGACCAACATCACTACGTCGTCGTCTCCCTCCTCCGACCCCGGCACCGGTAGTAGTGGTGCCGCTGGCACTTCCGGGGGGGTGGTACCGCCGATGCCCGGTAACGGTGCGGGGGGGCTGCCGGCGGGGCGCCATAGACGGGGGATTATTATTGAAGAAGAGTCGGATGCGCCTTCTGAGAGCGAGGATGGGTCTACTGCTAGTTTTAGTAGTGACGACCGGCTCTCGGAAGCTGGAGAGACTGCCAGTGCTCTGAGCAGCAGCAGTCCTCTTGAATCGGACGAACCGCTTGACGTCGTGATACCTGCTGTGAAGATGACGGCGAGGGCGTATCAGTTGGAGATGTTGGAGGAGAGTCTGAAGCAGAATGTTATTGTTGCGGTATGTTGCTGGTTATGTGTGTTCCTCTTGTGGGGGGTGGTTTGCTGACATCTTGACATTGGGTATTAAGATGGACACGGGAAGTGGGAAGACACAGGTGTGAGTGAGCTAGATATGGTGGCCGTGGTATCATTGGATCAAGGCTTATGCTGGCGCAGTGCAATTCTTCGCATTCAGAAGGAACTCGAGAACAGCGACAAGGTTAGTTTGAGTATTTCCTTCTCACCGTGGTTACTATGGTGTTAACATCTCAGATCGCCTGGTTTCTGGCCCCGACGGTAGCCCTGGCTGAGCAGCAGTACGAAGCCATCCGGGCGCAGATTCCCGGCGTGCAGTCCAAACTCATCCGCGGGTGCGACAATGTGGACGCCTGGTCGACCAAGCCGGGCGTGTGGGACGCCGTCTTGTTCAACACACGCATCGTGGTGTCGACGTACCAGATCCTGTCCGATGCTGTGGCGCATGCCTTTGTCCCGCTGGCGTCTATTGGGCTTATTGTTATCGACGAAGGTGTGTTGAGCCCCATATTGATGACCCTGGCTGGACATTTATCGTTTGGGGGTTTGAGCGTTCGATTGACATGCTGTAGCACACAATCCGGTTAGGAAAAACCCGGTCGCGAGACTCATGCGCGAGCACTACGCCCCCAACAAGGCCAGGGGCCTTCCCGTTCCACACATCTTGGGGCTCACGGCCAGCCCCCTCATGACGTCGAACCTGGACGACCTCGAAGTGCTCGAGAACACGCTGAACGCCATCTGCAAGACGCCGAGCAAACACAGGGACGAGCTACTGGCGCAAGTCAACCGGCCGGAGATGAGAACCGTCTCTTACGGAGACGGGACAGACGCCGACGCCCCGGTACCGGACACGCCGACTATGACGAAACTAAAACGCGCGTACCAGAGCCTGGACCTCCGGGAAGACCCCTACATCCTCCACCTAAAAGCCAGCAAATCACAGCGGGACCGGGACAAGCTGAAGAAGGCGATCATGACCAAGAAGACGTACTCTCGACTGCAGATGGAGTCATTCTGCAACCGGGCCAAGGAGATGTGCAAGGTGTTTGGGCCGTGGGCGGCTGACTACTACATCCACCGTGTCATCGTCAGCTTTCTCCAGGACCCCATCGCGCCCAGCCAGCCCAACGACAGCCTGGCCGAGCAGGAACGCAAGTACCTGGCCGCCGCGTTCGCGCAGGTGGAGGCTGAACCACCCTCTGGGCCGCCGACCGATCTGTCCGCCCGCGTCGACGCCTTGATCGGTACTCTCGAAGCACACCCGGGCAACCCGATCGGGATTGTGTTTGTCAAGGAGCGAGCGGCCGTTGCGGTGCTATCCCACATCCTCGCTGTCCACCCCCGCACAGCCGGGCGGTACCGCGTGGGCTCGATGGTGGGCACGTCCAAAGTGCCGAACAAGCGGGACGACTTCCTCGATCTCAGCCAAAAGGACTACTTGCTCTCTCTGCAGGCGTTCCGCAAGGGCACGATCAACTTAGTCGTGGCCACCAGCGTGCTGGAGGAGGGCATCGACGTGCCGGCGTGCAACTTGGTGATCTGCTTCGACGAGCTGAGCAACCTCAAGTCGTTCATCCAGCGCCGGGGGCGGGCGCGCATGGCGGCTTCACAGCTGTATCTGCTCGTGCAGAACGAGTCAGATGCGGCAACCCGCGATTGGCAGAATCTGGAGAGGGAGATGAAGAAGAAATACGAGGACGACATGCGGGAGAACCAGCGGCTTGAAGCGATCGAAGACAACCGCGGTGGTGGTGACGGCGAAAGCGGGTCCGTCGAGGACTACCCAGTGCTGCGCAACGACGAAACAGGAGCCCAGATCACGCTGCTCGACGCCCGACAGCACCTGGAGCACTTCTGCGCCATCCTCTCGACGCGCAAGTTTGTAGACTGGAGCCCCTTCTTCATCGTGCACGATCTCGACGGCAACCCGGTCGATGCCCACACTCCCGGGCTACGGAAAGCCACGGTGCACCTGCCTGTGTCTCTGGCACCGGAGCTGAGGACGTTTAGGAGCCTGTTTGCGTGGTCGTCTGAGGCTAATGCTATCAAGGATGCTGCGTTTCAGGCCTACAAGGGGATGTATGAGGTTGGACTGGTCGGGAAGCATATGCTGCCGATTCGTGAGACGGATCTGTTGAAGGAGGTCGAGCCGCGGGCTGGGCTGGCGGCGGTGAGGGAGCAGATGAATCCGTGGCCGGCGGTGGCACAAGGATGGAAACGGGTGACGGATCGTGGGGATGAAGCTGCTGTTGCTGCTGGGGGTGATAATGCTGAGGACAATACCCTCATCTCGAGGGCGAAAGTCACGATATCAAAGAACGACGGCACGGCTAGTGCGGACATGGAGATCTCGCTGCCCGTCCCGATCCCGGACATGGACCCGTTCGATATCTTTTGGGGGGATCCTGTGGGCTGGCGAGTGAGCATGCAACGCGGCAGCGGTATCAGCAGCAGCAGCGGAACAGACATGGTCAGAGAAGACAGCCAGCCAGATCACTCATCAGCACTGCTCGCATCCGCCTTTGGACACCGGTGGAAGATAGACGATACCAAAACCTACCCCGTCCGGTTCACATCCCCCGACCGAGACCTACGCGCTATCTCAGACGACCCGCCCCTCACACCCGAAGCGATAGCCACGATGGGACAATCAACCCATCTAGTCCGCGACAAACTTAACCAAAAACACCCCTACTTCTACCTCTCCTGGCTCAACACCAAACCCTCCCCCGACCTCGTCCAAAAGGGATCCCGCGATTTGGAGGGCGCCCCCTCCGACGTCCCCTACGCCGTAGTCAAAGCCTGGCCTCGGCCCACCGGTTCCTTCCGCCCCCCTACCGCCAACACCATCGCCCTCGAAGCCCAAGCCGCCGCCGACTCCGCAGCCGATCCGACCACTGGCGTCGCGCGGCCCTACCCGCGCGTGTTACCGGCCGAGAACCTGTATGTGGATAGTACTCCCGCGGTGTATGCGTATGTGGGGATGATGGCGCCTGCTATTACGCATGCGCTGGAGTGGTACTTCGTGGCGAAGGATTTGTTGGAGTCGCGGTTGGAGGGGACGGGCATTGGGGATGTCGGGATGGTGGTGACTGCTATTTCGACTAGTGGGACGAGGGGGCCGAGGGATTATGAACGCGTGGAGTTTTTGGGGGATTCGATTTTGAAGTTGTGTACCACGGTGAATTGCTCAGCGAACTGTATGTTTTTTTTTTCTTTTTCTCCGTTACCCCTTTTCCCCTTTCCCCTTCTCCCTTTTCTCCCTCCAAACTTGCCCACCTACAATAACAGGGGATGGAAGTGAGTAGACCCAAACTAACTAACAAAATAGACCTCATGTACCCCGAAGGCTTCCTCTCCCCCCTCAAAGACAAAATCGTCTCCAACGCCCGGCTATTCCGCGCGGCCGTCGACTTCGGCCTAGACCGATACATCCTCCATAAAGCCTTCACCCTCCACAGATGGCGACCGACCTACATCGAAGACCTCCTCGCCAGTCCACCTTCGGCCACAGGCGTCCGACAAATGTCCACCAAGACCCTCGCCGACGTCGTCGAGGCCCTCATTGGCACGGCCTTTTTGAGTGGTGGCATGTCTAATGCTTTGGCCTGCACCTCACTCTTCTTGCCTGACATTGAGTGGAACAGCCTCGAGCACGGCCGGGAGGTGCTGTATAACGAGGCGCCGCATGATGAGGAACTGCCTGTGACGATGCGTCGCGTTGAGGAACTGATCGGGTACACTTTCACCAAGAAATCCCTGCTGGTAGAGGCCATGACCCACCCGTCGTGTAACGGCCCCGGTATCCGCGCGTCGCTAGACCGGCTGGAATTCTTGGGTGATGCTATTCTGGATTATGTCATTGTCAACAAGCTGTTCTCGTTGTCCGACCCGAAGCCGCTGGAGAACTCGGAGCTGCACTTGTTCCGGACAGCCTTAGTCAATGCCGATATCCTGGGGTTTATGGTGTTGGAATGGTGTCTCCCAGCCGATGGCCCCCCTTCTTCCACTGCAACCACCACCAACAATGGACAAAAAACACCAGACGTCAACACCAACTTCCTCCCCGCCCACCTCCACCCTACCACAACCCCCATCCCCCTCTGGACCTTCCTCCGCCACGCCTCCCCCGACCTCGGCGCAATGCAACAAGCCACCATCCTCCGGCACGCCTCCCTCCGCGGCCCCATCCTCCACGCCCTGCACCACGGGCCCAACTACCCCTGGGCATTGTTCGCTCACCTCCAACTCAACAAATTCTACTCGGACATCTTTGAGTCGGTGCTAGGCGCGGTGTGGGTGGATTCCGGGTCGTTGGAGGCGTGTGAGCAGGTAGTGGAGAAGAGTGGGCTGGGCGGGTTGTTGAGACGGTTGGTTGCGGGCGGGGTTTGGTGTTTACATCCGAAGGAGGAGTTGGGGATTTTGGCTGCTCGACTAGCTAGTAATGCTGCTGGAGGTGCGGCCGGGGTCGGAACCGGGGGAGGGGGTGTGGAATATCGAGTTGAGACCGAGGTGTTGGTGACTGATGGAGTAAGTGATGAAAAGGAGAGAAAAGAACGGGAGGAAGAAGGGGTGGTGGGAGAGACGGAACGGTTGTTTAAATGTGAGGTTGTTGTTGGAGGGGAGGTGGTTGGGCGGGCGACGGGGGCTGTGACGAAGGAGGAGGCTAGGACGAGGGCGGCTGAGAAGGCTTGTGCGGTTTTGAAGGGGAGGGCGAGTAAGAGTTGATGTGTTGTTTGGATGTGGTGGATTTAAATGTAGAGCTGCAGTTGGAAATGTGAGGGTTCGGGCTGGGGTTATCTCGAGTGTTGAGAATCAAGCTCCTTTTCAGTATCATTGAGGCGCTTGTAACAAGAATGAGATGGTTGGCAATACAATCGATAACACAGTCAAAAGTGTGGTTGATAACACCAAGTTCCCAACACACCTGATCGGACGTATACCTTCCTTCCTCCCTCTCAAATCCCACACAGCCCTTTATAACCCACCTTTCCGCAACCAATTCCCACCAGCCCCCCCATCCGGAAAATGACTCCCCGACCGCGGATGGCGCATTTGGGGGGGGGGCGCGGGTATCAACAAATATGCCCGTTATACCGCGGCCCGGGTTCGATCCCCGGATGATGCACCGAGTAAAATCTTTCGGGATTTTCGTAACCGCCCCCCATTCCTTGACCCCTACGGGGGATTGAGATGATGGGGCGGTGAGCTTTTTTTTTTTATTTTTTTTTATTTCTTTGTCACTCACTACCAAGACAATAACAACTAAGGTACAATTGCCTGCCTCGTCGGCGGCGTGGTCTGGTTTATTGCTGCATGTAGGTCGAGTATAATCGGTGGTCATCACCAATTTTTACCAGGGGTCTAGGGTTAGGGTTCTCACCCCAAAATTATGATAAGCCTATCGGCTTCGATCTTCACATCATCCACGTTTCTCGACAGCAAGTCCGAATGCGGCGTCCATTTGGATAACGAGATTTCCGTGATGATTTTCTCCCAGCATTGTAAAGGGGCAAAAGAGACTCACCGTTTACACGGCAATTTTCGGTGGCTCGTAGGCAATGACTAACTGTACGATTTCATCCAGCCATGTTTTGATTCTGTCCTCTGTATTTGTACCACCGTCAATTCCCGGATACCATCCCTGACGTCCATCTTTCCAGTCCACCATTCACCCACCAGCTTTTTCCGGCGCAACGACACTCCTTTCCCAACCGTTTTCCTGCACCCCAATTCGAAGATCACCACTGCAACAAACACTCACCCTCCCAGCCGCGCGGTTCGCCCCCGAAGACGATCATACCCGAGACGTCGCCTGTATTGCGCGGCCAAACCCACTTCTGTACCCTCGCCAACCCTTTCAACGAACGACAAGGCAAGGCCCCGTCGCGAACAGACCCGCGTCCCGCATTTACCCATCCCGACCTGCACAGATCAGATCTCCCTCGCATTGATACCCGGCGCAGGCGCGCCGGCATTGTGGGTTCAATTTAGGCCGCGGGAGTCCTTCCCGGCCCACCGACTCCCCTGACACAAAAAAACCGCCCGCCCACGACGATGCATTTCGCCCTCCCCCCACGAAAGACCTCGCGACCGCCACCCTACCTCCCCCGAACATCCCACCTGCCTGGGCTTAGGAGAACGCGGCTGAAGCTGATCGCGCTGGGTGGGCTTTTCTTTCTCGCGTTGATATACTTGATCACACGGTCGGGTGGTGGTAGCAGCAGACATGGGTTGCCGGCGGCACGGGTGCCCAAGGGGAACCCGCCGGTGGTGATTGTGACGGTGCTGGATTCGACGAAGTTTAGTGGGACGTATTTGCAGACGGTTAAGCAGAATCGGTTGCAGTATGCTGAGAAGCATGGTATGTACATACGCCAGAATCCATGAGACACGTCTTGGGTTCATCAACACGAACTAACGTACTGAGTTAAAACACAGGCTACCAAACGTTCCTCGCGAAAATCACAGACTACGACCTCGAGGGCTCGCCCTTCTCTTGGACGATGGTCGTCGCCATGCGCGACGCGCTGACCAAGTTCCCCGACTGCCACTACGTGTGGTTCCTCGACGCCAGCAGTCTGATCATGAACCCGAAGCTCAAGATCGAAGAGCACGTTATGCCGTCGGCACGACTGGAGGAGTTGATGAGGAAAGACTTGCCTGTGGTCCCGCCCGACAGTATCATCAAGACGTTTAGTCACCTGCGGGGCCAGGACGTGGATTTGGTGATTTCGCAGGATAAGGAGGGATTGTCGACGAGCAGCTTTGTGGTGCGGAACGGGGAGTGGGCGCGGTTCTTTTTGGAGACGTGGTTTGGGCCGCTGTATCGGAGTTATAATTTCCAGAAGGCTGAGGTGCATGCTCTGGTACGTGCCCTATATCGATCTCTACGAGTATAGCGCAAAAGACTTGAGCTAACACAGACTTTTGATTTCTAGGAACACATGGTACAATGGCACCCGACGATCTTATCCCGCATGGCTGTCATCGACCAACGCACCATCAATTCGTACGCCAAGGGCACCACAGCGGAGGAATACAAAGACGGCGACTTGGTCGTGGGCTTCCCGGAGTGTGTTACGGTTGGGCCGCAAGAGTGCGAGACTCGGTCCAAACCGTTTGCACAGGCGTGGAAGAGGGTGTTTGAGAGTGTATAATTGCCAAAAGAAGGCTGGCTCAGAGGTTACGGAACACCGCGTCATCCTTGCCCAGTGGCTATGGTTAAGGCTGTGGTGGCTGAACTGTGTGGGGGACTTGGGATATAGCAAAATTAGGGGCGTTTTGGGTCGGCATTCGGGGCAGGACTGGTGGTCGGTTAAGGTCTTTTCCCCGACAGGTGGGTTCCGGGAGAAAGCTTGACGCCACGAGGAGAGGTCATCGGAGTAATATAGATCCTTGCTAGGAAGTATCGGGCGGCACGACAGATCTAGAGGTCTCCCTTGCCTCAAGGACAATCAGGCAGGAGGAATGCCGGCGATGTTTTGGGAAGTCCACCAAACCATGGACAAATGTTAGTGGTAACTCGTATAATGTATCCATCACATCACATTACCAAGCATTAAGCAACGCCACGGCCCGATTTAATCGATCAGTCTCCCCTCCTACTACGTTGCATGTCTCCTTGAGGCAGGTGCCGACAAAAGAACACATCCAGTCGACGACAACCTCGCATCACGAGACATACATTGCTCCCCCATGAACCCCGCGAAGTGCATTCATCAAAGACATTTCCAACTCACTCCGTGCATATCCCCTCCGTCCCCGGTCCTCCTAGCCACCACCCAGAAGAACGGAACGAACTAATAACTTCCGCTTCCGTGTGTCCGATGACGGTCGCACTCCAAAGGCGGGGTGTACAGAGTTCTAATGCGACCCGAGGGTCGTATCCAACACAATGGAATTTGTCCCGGGTATTCGTTTACCAGCGGGGCCCGCCGTGGCCCGTTAGGTAGCTTGGAAGTGACGAGGTGACGAGGTGACTTTCGGGTGACACAACAAGCGAGGAAAAGGTCACGGAACAAAGCCACATCTACCTAGCGTGGCAGCCGATCACCTTTAAAAAGGTGCAGGTGGGTTTGGTCAATAACGTAACAGGAAAAAAACCGTTGGAGCGTTGGAGCAACGCCTGTGGGTTGGAAGGCTTGAGGAAGGTGTGAAGAGGCCCAAGAGGGTAATGTTGTCTTGGGACGGGGCTCCGCGGGGTACGTTCTAGGCATGTGAAAGCCCGGATAGCGGCATGGGTGGGGCACCGAGACATGCAGCTACAGGGCATCCCGGGACGCCGCGGGGAGCCGAGTGCCCGCGGGCCAGCAGCCCAGCATGCTATGCGGGCGGGTGATTTTTCCCAGTGTGGGGGAATGGGGGGAACGAGGCCCGAAAAAGAGCCGCGCAAGCGAAATGCTGTGCGGTTATTGGAGAATTGAGGCCAGGCCGTGGTTTTGGTACGGGGGAAGGGTGCAAAATAGGGCCAAGGCCGAGCAGGGGTGCGGTTTGGGAGAAAGTGGGTTGCTTTCATCAATTGCTTGTCCGTTCCGGGCTCCATTCGCGATTTCCATTCCAGGTTTGGGGTCTTTATCCCGCGATTCCCGAACGTCGGACTCTTTCTTTTTTTTTTGTTCTCGTGTTTTCCTCGCCCTCGAATTTTGGGGACAAGACGGCCTCTCACTTGACGGAGAAACGGACCAACAAGCCTACGGACGAAATACTCGACGACGCCGGATTGCTGATACCTTCTCGAATTCTTGACGACATTTCCCTGTCCGCCGCGAACGATGCCAGGAACTTCGCGCATGCCCATCAGCTTGCGCGATGGGTTCAATAATGTTCGGAAGAGGTCCCAGGGCGGGAATTTGTTGGCGATGCTCAACTTGGATCTGTCAGTAGATTTGCTTCTCCCAATGCCCTCCATTTTTTTTTGTCTGTCGCTTCTTTCTGCGCCGCATCCCGTCCGGTCCGGCACCTTGCTGCAGCTCGCCGGCCAACCTCGGCACGCAATCTATTTTATTGTCCGAAGCGTGGCACAGCAGTATCGCCAATTGCGCTCGGAGAACCACCATATGAAACGCGCACACAGAATTACAAACAACAGTGAAGCTAACCGACTTCAATCAACAGAATCCGTCACATCGTCTTCTTCTTTTTCGTCCTGCGATGGACCCGGCGCGTCCTGTGGAAGCTCAAGGGCCGCGGCCTGCTGGGCACGCTGATCGAGCTGTACACCGACGCGCGCCGCATACTCTACGGCTGGTTCCTGCGCATGCCCGGTGTGCGCACTCAGGTGCGCAAGCAGGTTGACAGCGCCCTCGCCAAGATGCAGACCAAGCTCATCCCGCCCGGCGCCAACCGCTACGTCACGCTGCCCAAGGAGGGCTGGACCGAGGAAGCGGTGCGCAAGGAGCTCGAGACGCTCGCTACTATGGACCACACCCGCTGGGAAGAGGGTTATGTCTCGGGCGCCGTGTACCATGGCGAGGATGAGCTTCTGAGGCTGCAGACGGAGGCGTATGGGAAGTTTACCGTTGCGAATCCGATCCATCCGGATGTGTTCCCGGGCGTAAGGAAGATGGAAGCCGAGGTCGTGTCGATGGTGTTGAATCTGTTCAATGCGCCGCAGGGCGCGGCCGGTGTGAGCACCAGCGGTGGGACGGAGAGTATTTTGATGGCGTGTTTGAGTGCGAGGCAAAAGGCGTATGCCGAGCGTGGTGTCACTGAGCCGGAGATGTAAGCTTCTCTCTTCCATGTTTACTCCCCCCTTCCCCTTTTTATAGACCGAGCATACTGACAAACTCCAGGATCCTCCCCTCGACAGCACACACAGCCTTCCGCAAAGCGGCCAAGTACTTCAACATCAAGGTCCACCTCGTCGCCTGCCCCGCGCCCAACTACCAAGTCGACGTCCGGCGCGTGGCCCGCCTAGTCAACAGCAACACCATCCTCCTCGTCGGCTCCGCCCCCAACTTCCCGCACGGCATCGTCGACGACATCTCCGCGCTCTCCAAGCTCGCCCTCAAAAAGCGCCTCCCCCTTCACGTCGATTGCTGCCTAGGCTCCTTCCTCATCCCCTTCCTCGAAAAAGCCGGCTTCGAATCCACCCCCTTCGACTTCCGCCTCAAGGGCGTCACCTCCATCTCCTGCGACACCCACAAATACGGCTTCGCCCCCAAAGGCAACAGCACCATCCTCTACCGCACCCAATCCCTGCGCACCTACCAATACTTCGTCGACCCCGACTGGTCCGGCGGCGTCTACGCCTCCCCCGGCATCGCCGGCTCCCGCCCCGGCGCCCTCACCGCCGCCTGCTGGGCCAGTCTCGTCAGCGTCGGCGAAGCCGGCTACCTCGACTCCTGCACCCAAATCGTCGGCACCACCAAAAAGATCCTCCAACACATCCAATCCTCCGCCATCCTCTCCCCCGAACTCGAAGTCCTCGGCAACCCCCTCGTCAGCGTCCTCGCTTTCCGCGCCCGCACCCTCAACGTCTACGACTTTGCCGATGCCATGTCGGCGCGCGGGTGGCATCTCAATGCGCTGCAGGACCCGCCGGCGATTCATGTATCCATCACGAAGCCGATTGCGAAGGTGTGGGAGCGGCTGGTGGCGGATTTGGAGGCGACTGTGGAGGCGGAACGGGAGAGGGAACGGGTGAGGGCTGTGGAGGGGAAGAAGACGAGGGGTGGGCAGGATCAGACGGGGGATACGGCGGCGTTGTATGGAGTGGCCGGGTCGTTGCCGAATAAGAGTGTGGTGGTGGACTTGGCGAGTGGGTTTTTGGACTTGTTGTATAAGGCGTGATTTTTCTTTCTTTGTTGTTTTTTTTCACCTACCTCCGTTTTGCGTTGGGTTGTTTAAGTTGTTGTTGTTGTTGTATTTCTCAAGCTTTGTGTTTATTTCTGCATTTTCTTCTCTTTCTTGTCTCGATTTTGCATAGTCTCTTGTTGCATGGCCGAAAAAGGGAGGTTGTTTTTGATCAGAGAAGAGTATGTGCCTAGCTAGGTACGTAAGTGAGACGCCAGTATTCTGAATAGTCGGTTTTGGAAGGAGAGATACACTATAGGCAAATAAAACAATCATACTACCCTGCCTTTACGACCGCACACTATTCGGTCAAGACGGCTTTTTTCTCTATATTTATTTTGACTCTGTCCTAGCCGTGTGCTATGCATAGAAGTAGTCCGCCGCTAGACTTCAGATGTGGAGTGAGCTATGTACCAGCACAACACTACCTAGATAATAACAGCAAGGGGGCAGACAACATCCAACAAAGTACACAGAGAATCACGATATAGAACACTCCCCTTCCTCTCTCAGGTAGGCAAGGTACGCGCTGTCGAATCCATATCCACACTGATCACTGTGACCCACCCGCATACCAATCACCCCAAAACCACCACAACCCATAACCTCAAATGCTCTTCTTATGTTTAATTTATCGTTACATGACTACTCATCTCCCATATTCTTCTTCCCTACAATAACTACAGTAAAGTTAGGTGTCAGGTGAGTTATCTTCCCCACCCAATCCTGGTATATCAAAACAGGCCATCGCATATATGCATTGCATCTGTATGTGTGCGTGTTGCGTATGTATGTGTATGCGTTGTGCTTGGCCCTGCCCTGGCCTCGTTTCTTCTTTCTTTCTATGTGCCTTGGTCCTTGCAATCCCAGGTCCCCATGGTCTGGCCAGCCGCGCTCGATCGCCATGTAGACCATCGTAGACCAGTCCGGATTTGTTTGGGACAGGACGAGGGGGGAGTGGGTAAGCTCACGGAGTTCTTCAAGCGAGCCAACAAGCAAGCGCAAAGAAACCCCTCGCCACCCTTCCGTCCCGGCGTCTGATCCTCCCCCAGAGGAAACAGGTCGACATCCTCGCCCCTCTAAAGCTCACTGTCGCTTCCCCGTGCCGGAGGAAAATGGCGTTTCTTCTTCCCCTCAACACCACCATCGGTGCGGCAGCCACTACTACCACCATCATCGTTATGATCCGCGCCATCATTCTGATGCCGCGCCTTAAAAATAGCCTCAACATCGCCGACCTGTCTGCGCTCGGGAATTTCGAGCGGGGCCGGGTTCTTGAGACGCTTGCGCATCAGGTATCGCATAGGCAGCGTCAGTCCTCGGGGCTGCGGCTGGCTATTACTGCCGGTGAGTCCCCTCGTGACGGCTGGTTCCTATTGGAGCGGCTCGGATGAGCTGGAGAGGCGGTTTAGGTGGAGGTAGACGTCTGTGCCGTAGCTAAAGGGGGACAAGGGTTAGTATCGAAGAGGAGAGTTGAAACAGTGGAGAAATTGAAAACATACCCCTCCATGCTGATCAACTTGAGGTCGCCGCCAAAGTACCGCGCGTAGAGTCGTGATATGGGCAGGCCGTAACCAAACCCAGCCATGGGCGCTTTAAAGTCGCTCTTGTCAAAGTCCGGGTCGAGATTCGGCGTCCGGTCGACGGTGGTATACATGTAGGTCCACACCAGCGGGATAGCGCTGCGGGGGATTCCGCCGCCCTCGTCCGACACCTTGATGGTGATGTCCTCTTTGCCCTCGGCCACGATCACCTTGGTGACGGGGAACTCTTGCTTGTCCTGGCCGTGGGTCTCGACAACGGCGCGCAGGGAGTTCTTGAGGGTCTCGAAGAGCATGTGCGACAGGTGGCCCGGCACGTACATGAAGTTGAGGGCTGGGTCGCACACGAGCTGAATCTTGGGGGCCTCGAATAGGCCGTAGTGGTCCTCGCACACGAACCGGGCGTTTTCGATGGCTTCCTGGGCCAGGTCCTTGACAAAGGTCTTGGTGCAGATTATGCCGACGTAGGACGGGTCGCGGTAGTGGTTCTGGTCGGTCAGGGCGATGTGCTGGCCGATGAGCATGCGTATCCCGATGCGCGACATGTAGAAGCGGTCGAGGAAGGCTTGGATGTTGTGGTCGATCTGCATCCGTTGCCGCTTGCGCTTGTACTCTAGGATGCCCTGTGCCATGGTGGTAACCACGCTGTCGTGCCGCCTCTTGATGCGATGCAGGGCCTGGGAAAACTTCATGTTGTACAGCTGCAGCTCGGGCGGCCAATCGCCCGTGTCGTCCACCATGGCGAAGTATCTCCTCGTAGCGGAGAACTTGTTCTTGCCCCAGCCGTTCCCGTTCCCGTTGGCACTTCCGTTCCCGTTCCCGTTCGCAGTACCACCCCATGAATTGTATTGCCCTTCTTCGATACTCGGGTTCGGTGTCGCCTGGCTCAGTAATGTGCCTTTCCCAAATTTTGTCGGCCGCATCAACCTCTCCTTCACTTCCTTTTGCAGGTCGGGTCGAGGTAATGTTGTGATTTCCTAGAGACCACAACACTCTGGTGAGTCACTCGTTATCCCAGACTCACAAGGCGGGGGCGGGGCCGATGATTTGTGCGTACCTCGAACGACTGTGCATACCAATCCGCCACCTTCTTCACCGAGGGCATCTCATTGAGCCCGTCCGGAAGGGTCTGAAGCTCTTGCACGCGATGGGCCAGTCGGATGGGCAACTCCTCGGCAAGGAATTGTGACGCACGGAAGAGGGTCCCTGGGCGCCGGCGTGCCGGATCAGCAACAGAATAAGGCAACGAAAAACAAACCCCGCGAGTTGTGATTTTGGCGGCCTATCATATCAGCAAAGGGGGATCTGTGCACTTACCGGTCGACGGCTTCTCGCCAAACTGGACCATCTGGCGCAGACTCACGCCCGTAGCGGGGAAGCTGGCATAGTGACGGATAGTATCCATCAACCGCTCGCTTCCTTTCCACGCCATGTTGACTGCTTGGGCGGCTTAGGCAGCGCCAATTGGTCTCTGTGGGTGATGGTCTTGTTGTGTGGTGTGCAGCATGGGTGCAAAGAGCAAAGAGAAAACTGCTCGGCAAAGTATCAATGTTTCGGCTCAAGAATGAGTCGCGGTTGTTCTTCGATGCGCGGCGGGCGTTGTCGGCGTGGATCGGGACAGGGTCTCTGGGTGGGTGCTCGCAACTTTTAAAGCCGAGGCAAGCAGTCTCCAATGACGCAACAGCGTTTTCGTTCTCCTGGCGCGGGCAGGGAAGCGATGCACAGGACGAAAAATAAGAATTGCAGGGCGTAAAACAAAGCCAATTCCAAGACGGCTTGGCTTGTGCTGGCACAAAAGAGCAGTTCTTCAATATTGGTAAAAAAGAGGAGAGCGCGGATGGGCGGGGCACGGGATTGCTGAGGTACTCAAGTACTTGGAGTGCACTGTGGGGGAGGATCTGAGGTGCGTCAGATGCTCGTGTGCTTTCTCACTTTACCGGGGGTTGCCGCTGGAAGCTTCGGGGCAATGGGCGCAACCTCCAGGGTTAACTTTAGCTTAGCAGAGGTGACTCGGCAAAGAAAACCCCACCGTCAAGGTCCCTTCGCGCGCTGCTCCCCAACTGCATGTGCCTCTTCTTCTACCGAAAGCGTCACAACGGCCCAGGGTGCTCGTGGCCAAACCCTGGTCTTTGGCAGCCTGCACCCCACGGCTGTCCTGCGGCGGGGCCAATGGAAGCATTGATGGACCATTGATGTCGTCTTGCTTTCCAACCCTCTTGCCTACCTCGGGGAAGTAGCACAGAGAAGCCGAGTGAACATTCACCACCAACATAGCGCCAGAGAAGTGTGCTGGCCGGGTTGCGTATTGGAATCAGGGATGTAGACAGGTGAGGCATATTCAGGACGCGCCATTTCCCATTTCCCATTTCCCCTTTCCCCTTTCCTCAGCAGGGGCTGATCCTGTTTCGCCGTGCTGATGCATCAATGGACCATTCTCACCACCAAGGCAACTAACTCCGCTTTCTGTGGCTTTGTGGTTCATAATCAAGCATAATCAATGAGCTGGAGCTTGGTATTGTTTCCCGTTTTGGGGGTAGCCCCATACCATGTGCGTATTCCGTCCAGTGTTTGGCGCGAGCGTGGTGAAAAGAGGCTTGCCGGATCTCATGGGCATCTCCTGGCTGCAGAAATCTTGGAACTGTTCAAGATTAAGTTTCGATGCCGAAGAGTAGCGGCCCGCATGCTCCAGCTTGGCGTTGATCCAGGGTCATGTGGTGCTTCCTGGCCTGTTGCGGTTCGACTTCTCGGAATACTGTAAATAGAATGGATCACCGGAATTGACGGAACACCAAGACACATTGTTTTTTTTCCACAGTACATTCAAAAATGAGAGGTAGACTCGATGTGTTGGGCACTGTTGTTTATAGTTTCTTCGAGTTTCCCCAAGCCCCTAGTGTAAGTTCGAGGCATGTCCACGATGAGACAACGACTGGGGAGCAACTCCATGTCTCGGTTTCCCCATCCAAGTCCTCGGTGATAAATCGCCGAAGCCGTCGGGCGGGCGGACAGGCTCGGGCGACTTCACCAGCGCTGCAAGGCTTCGTCGTTGTTGACTGGCGCATCCAGTTGAAACGGTCCCTGGTCTTCGACTTCAGCGTCTGCAACGTGCTGAGTGGTTGCGACAACACCTCACTGCGTCACATTACTTGGGAAATAACGTAAAGTGGGGTTACAGCTAGGCGCTATTTCGAATAAGGTTGGCGGTTGGAGAGGCTCAACTTGGAGATCCAACCATCAGCGAAGTGAGCCCCAAAGCGGAAAGACGGAGAAACGAACGACTGGCGGGGCCAAAATCAAGCCTGAAGCAGAAAGGGGAGAGACGGAGAAAAAAAAAGGCAAAGGCTGGGGGAAAGACCCTTGGCACAAAATTGGGCAAGAAGTGTGGGGATTTCCGCCGGAACGGACCCCCGTGATTGGCCGCAGGAGCTCCGGGGACAACGCATTGGTTGAAGCCTCCACTACGGTCGCAGTTTGTTCACCTGGACAACACACCAAGTGGGGCTCCCGAAGAGGAAGTGGATGAGGTGGACAAAAGAATCGTCGGTCGAAGCTTCGATTTCAATGCACGGCGTGCCGCTCGAGATAACATCCTGGGAGTCGAGAGCAGAATCTGCTGCGTTGGAGAAAAAAAAGAAGAAAAAAAGACAGAGCTGGCGATCGCGAGAGAACAGAAGGACATGACCTGAAGGGTCCGACCGGGGTTTTTTCTGAAATTTTGAGTTGAATTTCCGGGTTCTGTTCACCGCAACTCAATCCGGCGCAACTCTCACTCTCAGCGCAACTCGACTGCAACCCTCTTTCAGGGCGGGCTCTCACCTCACCTCGACTCGACTCGACTCGACGAGAGCCTCACATTCTTTTCGCCTTTGCGGGCGCACCACAACACACAAGATGCACGACCCAGACGACGATGCTCCCGGGTCAAGCGACGACTGGGAGTTTACGCCCATGTCCCCGTCGATTTCGTCGCTCTCCTCGTTTGCGCCCGAGGAATACTCGTTACCTCTGCACCAGCACCTCGCAGAGCCATCCACTCGCTATCTTCCCGCTCAACTCTCACCTCCACAAACCTCCCCACGACGACGACAACCACCACCATCACAACACCAGCAGCAGTCACGAATCCCGACCTTCAACCATGGCGCCCAGTCCGAATCCCCGTCCCTGGACCGGTTCCGCCAGAAACAGCGCACACCACCGCAGAAACACCCAGTCCGCACGCCGACAGCCATAACGACGACACATCCGCCCAACGGCATGTCCATCCCTTACCTCCACACACCCCCACCAACTTCCCCCCGACGAAAACCAGGTAACCTACTCTTCGCCAACCCGTCGTCAGTCGCAACCAGGACCACCATCACGTCCCCCAGCGCCCCAGATGCGCAACTCACTCCCCGCGGTCCAACCACCGCAACATCCTCCTTCTCCTCCTCCACAACAGCCAACAGCACCACAAACACCAACCACAACACCGCAGCCACCCCGGGCCCAACCTCCCCCACCAAACCCCCCAGCCACGCCAGTTTCACCAGCGGCAGCAGCAACAACAACAGCCTCATCAACATCAACATCAACCGCAGCACCTCCAACCTCAGCCGCGCCAGCACCCGCAGCGGGGCCCCTCTACCAGGCGGTCTGCGCCTGCACATGGGCACGGGAACGGGTGTTGGCGTGGGCCTAGGGTCCGGATTGCCGGTGTCGCCTTTGCCTACGCCGGCTTCGGCGTCTTCTTGGTTGCATCGGGGAGCCTTGCCGGGGCCGAGGTTTGTTTCTGGGGTTGGGGTGGAGGAGAGGTCGGGGTTTTCGCCTTTGAAGGCGGGGAGTATGGATGTGTTGGGCGGGTCGGACGAGGATGAGAGACGAAGGAGTTTGGACCAGAGTTTGAATTTGAGTTTGAGTTTGAGTCAGGGGTGGAGTGATCTTGGGGCGGCGCAAGTGGATGGGGCTGGTGCCGGGGAAGAGGAAGAGGAAAGGGTAGGGAAAGAGGAGGAAGAGGAGGCAGAGGAGGCAGAGGAGGCCGAGGAGGAAGGACCAGGGTCGTCGGTTGGGAATGAAGAGGGATCATCATCCGTGGGGAATAGTCAACGTAACAGTTGGGATAGTGTCGCAACCGTAAGGGAAGAGCCCGGGCGCGGGCACGACTACTATGATTACGAAGTTGAAGGGTCGAATACCCACATCGGCGACGGATCAGACGGGTACATGTACAAAGACCGCGATTACCTCCTCCGGCAGTACGCCACATCCCCCGAACGCAGCGCCAGTTCCCGAGGGTACACCACCGACTCTCGGGCTTATGACCTAGGAGAAAGCCGAGGCCACACACCAAACCACCTCGACCGGCCTCAGGACTCCTCCTCCCCCACCTATGCCGACGGCTGGCTCAAGCCTGAGAAGACAACAGGCGGGGTCCGGTTCCTCGAGATCCAGAAAGAGGCCGCGTCGCAGCACAACATCGACGTCAAGGACATGCAGGAACCAGAGCCGACAGGAAAATGGGATAGAGGCCTAGAGCGAATCCTCGAAGAAACCCAAGAGACAGAAACCGCCGGAGACACGCTGCCGCCGGGCAGGGTCATGCTTATGGAGCGGCTGTGCGATATGGTGCAGAAGCTGTCGTCGGTGCGGGTCGGCGGGGGGATGGAGGCGGATGTGATTGATGTGTTGAATGCGAAAGTGGAGGAGATGGAGGATTTGTTGGTGTTGGCTGAGGAGACGGCCGAGGCGGAGGCTGGGGCGGACGGGAGTGAGGGGGGAGAGGATGATGGACGTGAGAAGGAAGAGGTGGAGGAAGAGGGGGGAGAAGAAGAGGGGGGAGAAGAAGAGGGGGGAGAAGAAGAAGGCAGGGAGGATGATGATACCAAGGCTGAGGCGGAGGCGGAGGAGTTGTCCGAGATCAAACTCCCGCATCAAAACGACCAGCCAGAGGGAGAAACAGAGGAAGCACCAAAAGAAACGGAAACATCCGCCAACGAGCCCGACTCCAAAGAAGACGACGACGAAACCTCACCCCCCCTCCAACTCTCCCCCCCCGACATCCGCGACCTCACAACTCCCCTCCCCTGGCTCACATCAACCTTCAAATTCTCCGAGTCCCTCGACGTCTCCCCAACCCGCTCCAACCCCGAACTTGCCGCGGCCACCAACGAGGCCCTTGAGGCAGCCAAGCAGGCCGCCCAAGCCCAAGCTGACATGGCCGAGCGCGTAGCCCGGGAAGCGGAACGCCTGAATGGCGAGCTGGTCCGCGTTGTCAAGGGGCTGCGGGCGCGCAGGGAGGAGTCTGATGTACGTATCTTTTTTTCTCTCACCCTCCCTTTCCTTTGTTTATGATATATGTTAACGCAGTATAGCACCTCCACTCCCTCCTAATCAACCGCGCCGAATCAGCCGCCACCCGCATCCTCGACCTCGAACAAGAAATCTGCGATCTCGAAGACGACATTTTGTCAGGCGAATCTGAACTGCGCCATCTCCGCCTCAAACTGCGCGCCGTCGAAGCACTGTGCCATGATCTTTTAGTCCCGCATTCCGGCACCGACCCTGAACTTATCCGCTGCATTGACAACTGGAAGGCGGACTGGGTGCTGGTGCGCGATCGCATGCTGGCAAGGAAGAGGGGGCGGACGGAGAGGAGGGCGAGGTTGTGTCGCAAGGGGTGTGTGATTAGTTCGTTGGAGGAGCGGGAGAGCAGGGGTGCTAATCCCATCACCTCTACTCCTGCTTCGACTTCTGCCGCTACCTCTGCTGCTTCTGCTTCTGCTTCTGCTGCTGCGGGCACAACTACTGTCAAACTGAACGCTTCCCCAGTCGTGGACGCCGTAGCAGCAGCTGCAAAAGCAAGGAAAGGGAATAAGACCAAAGAAGGCGGGAGGAGGAGGTCAGGGAGATTAGGCGGGTCGTCGCGACGGGGTAAGGGGAGTGCCCCCGAGGCTGAGTCGGCTGAGTCGGCTGGGAGGAGAGTTGATGATGATAATAACACGATGGAGGATGTAACGGGCACAACGGGCACAGAAACAGAGACAGAAACGATGACTAGTTTAGGCGGGCTATCGATGTCCGTTTCGATGATGGGGTTGGGGGGGACTGGTCCACGGCACTGAGAGGGCGGAGTTAAAGAGTTGGATGGATTTGGAGGCGGAGGTGGTGGGGTAGGGGGGAAGGGAAAGGGGGGGTTTACGACTCTTTGACGGCTAGGCGGATCAGGTCAGGTTCATGTCATGGCGTATCATCATACCCAGCCCTAGCACACAGCCACGTGGTGCCGCATCACGGACGGGGCCGGGACTGTGCGCGGGCAAGCGGGCAAGCGGGCAAGGAGCAAAGCAAGGGGCAAGGGGAAAAGGAGTTTGGGCCTATTTTCTGTATTCCTCAGGTCGGACTAACTGACTGTTTTCTCTCTTGGGACCATACCATGGATGATGGGTGGACTTCCTGTGATAGCGGGACTGCTTTACTTTCTTTACCTACATTTCATTCACATTACCTTCTCCTTCTCTTTTCTCTGACTTTCTTTTCTTTCTCTTGTGTTTCCTTCCCATCATTCACCGTCAGAAACATCCAGGTCCAGGACAAACAGAACTTGAACAGACCGGCACGGCTAGGCTCGCATCAAACTGCAAAAGGGCCGCAGAACACACCATTGGCTGCATAGTACTTACTAGGGGAGTTGTAATTTTTCTCATACGGGTTGAAACGGACATTTATTTGTTTGGCACGGAAGAAGACAGGACGGGTTTAGTTGGGATGCTTGCTATTTCACTGGGACGGGATGAGGTCGGGATGAGGTCGGGATGAGGTCGGGATGAGGTCGGGATGAGGTTTGCACGACCAAGGGAGGTAGCGTTTGTGGGGTTATACAACTAACTAATGCAAGGAGGGGTATTGTCAAGTCAGTTCACGACAACTTGTTTGGGAGAAAGGAGTCATCATACCGGACCGGTTTGCCGGTGTATCGGTTGGGAAAGGCATAGGCAAGGACAAAACGGACCACATCACATCACATCAGATCGGACCAAGCAAGCAAGTAAGCAAGCAAGCAAGCAAGCATATATATGGTAGTAGAACGGCGCACTCGATTACAGAGAGCAAGGATGTATAAACCTCAGGACTTTGGTTCATATAGCTCTACGCACTCTCTGGGTTTCCCACAGTTAAGCGAGACGACTCGCAAGTACTCGATACAGGGTATTTTCGAGACTTCAAAAGACACAAAAAGGAAAGAAGAAAGAAACGACAAACTACCCCGCCTGGCTGCCTGCCCCTCCTTGCCGGATATCATTCATCTTAAGTAGTTCATCCCACATCACCCGTTCATCCCAAGTCATTCAGCCATCTCATCTCATCTCATCTCTCCCCCACAAAACATAACAAAAAGAACCCCTCATATCTAAGCAGCCACCGTCCCATCCCGTTCCCCACTCTTCTCCCTGACCGGTGCGTCCTTCTCCCTCGTAAACACATCATCCGGCACATGATTCGGCAGCGTAGGCTTAACCGCATCCTTCCTAAACAACACCCACCTCTGCACAAAATACCCCATCTGCTTCACCCCATACGCGGCCTGCGACCGCAGCGGCACATCAAACACGCTATCCAGTTCCTCCAGCGTCTTCTCTTTTGTTTCCGGCACAAACAACAGCACCAGCACAAACCCAATGATATTCCACCCCGCGTACCATCCAAACCCGCCCTGCGGACCGAAAGATTCCAGCATGCTGGGCCAGGTGACGGCTAGCACAAAGTTGAAGAACCAGGTAGTGGCCGTGGCGAGGGACATGCCGATGGGGCGGATATACAGCGGGTAGGCTTCAGCGGAATAAGTGAAGGGCACGGGGCCTTCGCCGGGGGAGTAGACGACACCGTAGAGGTAGATGCCGAGGGCGATGCAGGCGATGTGGGCGGTGGATTCCTGGGGAATCCAGAAGGAGAAGCCGGTGAAGAACATGAAGAGGGCCATGAGGGGGAAGGTGGTGAGGAGGAGGTTGCGGCGGCCGAAGGTGTCGATGGTGTAGAAGGCGGGGAGGGCGAAGAGCCAATTGATGACGCCGAAGCCGAGGGAGGCGGAAAGGGCGACGACGTTGCTGGCGCCGGCTTCGACGAAGATTTCCGAGGAGAAGTAGGCGATGATGTTGACGCCGCAGAATTGTTGCATGAACATGACGACTTCGGAGGCGACCATGGCGTTGCGGTTGCGGCGGATGGTGAAGAACTCCTTGATGCGGTTGCTGCGGCCGATGGACATGGTCTTTTTCTCGGTTTCGAGGAGGGTGTAGGTGTAGAAGAGATCGCGAGCGGCCTGGACTTTTTCGAAGCGCAGGTGGCAGAGCGAGGCGAAGGCATCACCATGCCGGTCCTTGGTGAGGTACCAGCGGGGGGACTCCGGGCACTTGTAGGCGAGCAGACAGACCACGACGGCCGGCAGCATGGCGGAGCCCATCATCAGGCGCCAGTTGAGCCCTTGCTCGATGCCGTGGTCGGGGACGAAGTAGAAGGCCAGATCGGCGATGTAGCCGGCCATGATGCCAAAGGCTGTCCACATTTGCCATTGCTGCGACGGGTTAGCATCGGTCTTACAACTAACCGCATATGTAACCAAAGTTCGAGAGTGAGAAGCTTACCATGACGAGAGCACCACGCAACTTCGGCGGCGAGCACTCAGCCGCAAACATCGGCGTAGTCGCCGACTTAGGCCCAATACCAAATCCCAGGATAAACCGGGCGAGGAACATGTGCCACCACGTGTTAGTGAAGGCCTGCCAGAAGCAAGCCAGGGCCGAGATCAGACAGGAGATGAAGACGGTGCCACGGCGGCCAAAGAGCTTGTTCATCGGGTCGGTGAGCCAGCAGCCCAAAAAGGCACAGCAGAGATAGGGGGCGCCGTTAACCAGGCCGACAAGCCAGGTGTCGCGTGACGCCTTGGTGTCGATGCCGAATTGCACCTTGTAAAAGATCTGCGCACCGTTGACGACGGTCTCGTCCATGCCCTGGACCGCGGCGCAGAGCGAGCAGACTATGTGTCTGTTAACATCACCTTCTCGTTTTACTATCCATGTGAAAGAGGAACTTACTAGCAACGACCCAGTACAGCATACTAGGGTTCGACCACTTGTGCGTCGTCTCCCGCACCAGCACCTCCCGCTCCCGCTCCGTAAGCTCCGGGATTTGGTCGTACTGCGTGTGGTCCCCAGCAATCACCGCGCCCAGGCGGAACGCCCGCATGTCCTCGTCGCTGGTCAGCCCGGCCAGCCGTGCGTAGTCCTCGCCCATTTTCCCGAGACGCTCGGCGCTGAGGCCGGCTAGCGGGTTGGCCAGCTGTCTCGAGGCAGCTAGGCGCTCCTGGGCGGCGTCCTTTTTCGAAGCCGAAGCTTCGGTGGGCTGGCCGGCGTGTTGTGTGCTCGGGCCATCACGGTGTTCTACTTCGGCCCCAGATGCCGAGTCGCTGGAGCGGTCGGCTTTCTTTTCCGGCTCCATGATGGGTCGGGGGAGATGTGATTCAGTGTGTATATGATCTTGTCTTATTCCCCAGGTGAATCAATGGTTTCTGTATGGACACAGTGAGGCGAGTCTGAATCAATTGGTCGACTATCAAACGACACGAGGCGGGGATGGATACTGGGGAGATCAACAGAGCAACGAGGTGTCAAGGGAGCTTCCCCAGGTTATAACCCTTCTCCAATTCCATGCCTGCAGGGTTCCGCCCGGTCTTTTGCCTTGGTTGGAAGAGGGGAGAGGGGTCCGATGATGCTGCACTTCCAACGGTCCGGGATGTGTGCATCCCAACATCCCAACATCCACACCCCCTTGACGAGGTCGTACCAGATGTGCAGAGTTGTGACGGTTTTTGCTTGGTGCTTGCTTGCAACCTCGACCCACAGCCTCACCTCGCATGCCAATATGCCTCTCCCTCTGAGTGAGCCCACACCAATGCTGTGAAGGCTGAAAGAGAAACATTTACCGCCGCAAAGGAATGCGGGTCTCACCTGCAAGACCGCTTCCAAACATGGCAACTATCGACGTCATATACGGGGAATGAGGAGGCGCTGCACGTTTGTTGGAGGTTGGAGGAGTTGGAGAACCATGGAGAAAAGCGTCCGTGGTGTTCGGACCACGCTTGCCACGGCCCAGGCGTGCCAGGGGCGGCGGTGGTTGGATCGCGGCGGATTCTGCCCGCGTTTGTCGGCACTGTCGGAGCAGCCGGCGGTTTGAAGAGTTTGGACTTGGCCGAGAGTTCCCATTCGCAGGTGGTTTTGCGGGATTCGCCCCGTGGGATCAGATCGGCGCTGCTGTGTGCGGGCAGATGACCAGAGCTACGTTATGACGTCAGTGAGTCTCCATCAGCGCCGCAAACAAGCATCGGGTGGCTGTCCAATTGCCGGCTTCCCGTGAATGCGAGCTTGGCGAGCTCGCTCGGAAAAAAAGCTTCAGTTTCTTATCGAGGCACGCGAGGCTCGGCGCCAGAAACAAGTTGAGCAGTCAAGCAGTCAAGGCAACCCAGGCGTCCCAGTCAGGCGTGGATTAGTTCGAGGCTCGGTGGACGAATACCTATGGCTGTGTATGGACAAAGTTAGTGTTCATACATATATCGATATGCCTTGAGAGTCGACAAAAGACAAGATTTGCATGGTGCAGACGGATTTGTTCGTATCTCGTGTGCCTCGCTCATCCATCCCTTCTTTCCTCCCGCCGCAGGATTCGGGATCGTCTTCGCGCGTCGAAGGGATGTCCTATTGAGGTAAAACTTTGCAGTTGGCAGTGCAGGGACTGTCGTGTTACTCCAGGGTTCTGAGTAACGGGGGAGCTGGGATAAGACATGCTTCTCCGCCAATTCCACCGCAGCGAGTTCGGTGGAGTTTGAGGGGAAGGGGTTTCCACGAGGCTCTGACAAGGCTCCCCATGGGGAAGGAGGACTCCGGGGGAAAAAGTCCTGGGGAAAGAGGCTCCGGGGAACTCGTGCGTGGCCCACGCAATCCGCAGGAAGGGACAACGCAGGGAGAGAGGAGACAGCGGAGAAGGAAAGGGCAAGCTCCGCAACTCCAGACTTTTGGTCAAATCGCAACGGCGGTGCCGACAACCGTTGGGGAAGTGACGATCGAGCCGTGATTGCGCGTACAGGGGTCCCTTGATATCTTGTCCTCCGGCAGATATCGGCCCACTTAGAAACCAACCTCAATCTTCCCAAAGTCAACAGCCTCGATGCTCACCGAAGAGTAGAGTCAACAATTCACAACCGGACGAATCGCGCAAAGCAAAGACTATTAAATGCAGTTTTAGATATATTTCAAATGTACTTGATTTCCAGTCTGTTAGGTCAACGCCATTCCCAGTCCGATTCACACGCTTCATTCGTACATCATCCGTGCCTCCAACCATAATTAACTAGTCGCGACGTCTCCCTGACACCACCGATTTCCTTCTCTCATCGCGCACCACCACCGAGGCAGATCTCCTCGGTCTTTGTCCGTCACGTCTTCGGTCACGGTCACTCTCCTTTGCATCTCGCCCCCGATCGCGGTCTCGGTCCCGGTCCCTATCTCTCTCTCGCTCTCGCTCTCTCATATCTCTGTCCCTCTCACGTTCCCTCCTCTCCCTCTCTCTATCACTTTCCCTATCCCTATCCCTATCCCTATCCCTATCTCTATCTCTATTCGCGCCTTCTCGCTCATCCCTCCTGCTATCTGACCCTCGCGCCCCCGAGACGGACGGTCGACGGCCCTTGCTTTCTAGATGGACGACTGGGGATTCCCGAGCGGGCGATGCCGAGGGCGGTGGGGGTCCGGTGCTGCGTCTCCGCAGGCTAGGGGTGGAAGTGTTGGAGTTGCTGGAGCCCCCGCGCACGCTGGGCTGGACTCGGAGGGGAGAGGACGATGAAGGCGGCTTTTGGGATGTGATGGGACGCTCACGGCCGGTAATGCGTGTGGAGGTCTCGCGGCGGAGTTGGGGCCTATTGGTGGTGTTGTTGCTGTGGTGATAGTCTCGCTCGCGGCTACGGTCCCGACTGCGGTCACGGTCACGGCTGTGGTAACGACGACGCTCACGATCACTCTCGCGGTCGCTGTGCCGCCGGTGGCGGTCGTCCTCGTCGCTTGCGTGGGACACCGACAGGGTGCCTTCCGAAGGCCGGTAACGACTCCGAGGGCTGGGCGGCGGTCGTTCTCCATCACTGGTGTCCACGCGGATAAATATCGGGCGTGTCTTGCTGGGCATTGGGGGCGGCGGTCTGATCGCGTCCAGATGGTCCCGGAGCGTGTTGAAAAAGAGGACCCGGGCCTGTCGGTCCGCCTCCGCTGGGAGCAGATGGCGGGAGAGCTGTTTTGGCAAGCGCTCCGGCGTGGTCTCGAGGAGGGTGTCGGCGTTGATGGGCAGCGAGGCGACGATCTTGGCTAGTCTCTCTGCCTCCTCGTTGGGGTAGCTGCGCATAGCGAGGGTCATCCATCGTGTCCATCCGAGGAGGGTCAAAGCCGGCACTGTCGGTCGCGCGTTGGGGGCCGCAGGAACGAGGTAGTACTCGCAGCCAAGCTTCCGGTAGAGTTCTGCCAGACTGGGGGGTGCTGCGCCGTGGTGACCGCGGAAGATCTCTGCTCGGTTGTCAGCTTGACCCTCTCCTGAAAGTACCGAAACTATCATGACAAACCTGGGAAGGGAAACGGCTCAAGCTCGAGCTTGTGGTGGGAATACAGCACCGCCAACTTATCCGGTGTAATTACCAGCGTGTTCTGCGGCATGAACTCGTCTTTCTACACATAATCCGGTCAGTAAGCTGCTGCCACCATCTCTTGAGACTACTAAGGGTCTTACCAGATAGTTGCCGATTCCTCTGATGACCTGCTCCCATCGCTTGGTGGGAACCCCGTGCTGGTCGAAGAGCGTCCCCCATTTCCGGTCGACGGCGCTGATCTCCTTGGGAGGAACGGACATATTCGTCAATGGGGGGGTCGAGGGAGGGGTGGATTCGCACCACTGGACTCCCGGCTGTCGAGGTTTTGCGGGAATATTGATCGGTGGTTGTGGTCTAGGCGCCGAAATATTGGCAGTCGGTACTCCTCCCGGTGCAGGCGGCTTAGGCGGCCCAGGTGGTGCTAGATTTGGCATCTGCTTGACTGTTCGAGTGTCAGATCACGGTCCTGATTGACAGGACGAAAAGAGTTTACTTACGCTCTTCTTTCACGATCTTTCGGACTTCTGTGCGGATGTCGACCGCCGCTGCTTGTCCTGGGAAACCCGGGACACCAGGTCCCGGTTGCTGTACATTCTGGACCTGAGGAGGAAGGGGTGGCGGAAAACCTCTCTGTCTGCCGACGTTAGGCATGGCTTGTGGTTGTTCTTCCTCGTCCGTCTCTTCGTCAGAGCTGGTAGATGACTCGCTATCTGATGAATACTGTTCGTTCGTTCGACCGTTGTCGCCTCCATGGAGCGTTGGAGGAGGAGGAGGAATGTATACATGACCCACGGTGGCTGGATGGGGAGCTGATGGAGGTGGTGGAGGGGGAGGTTGCCATACGGCCCGGTTGGGAGGTTGTGCGGCCATGTTTGGGCGTTTAATCGTCAACCTTGAGGCCTCAACGAGTGCTACGAGTTGCTAAGTGCATGTGCCTGAGGGACTGACGACGAACTAAGAAGAAGAGGAAAGAAGCAGAAACCATGACAGGCCGTCAACCGAGCTCACTTATATCTCGATGTTCTGCCCTCCCTCCCATTTCCCCCTCCTTCGTGGCCCTGAAGGTGGATGGACATGAAACGACCGAGGTGTGCCCCGGGCAACAAGAGGAGGGGAAACAAGCGAGGCGGACCACACGAGGAGATCAGCGCGAACCGCCCTGTCTGTCTGTCATCCCCTTCCACCGTTTCGCTTCCTTTCCTCTTCCGGCGCGGTCACCAAAATGAGCGCGTCAGAGAGAAGGCAAAAGCAGGCAGGGGGAGAGGACCAGGTTCCCGGACCCGGACCCAGCCCCGGCAGCGCACCTCTGACCCCGGTGTCGCACATGGTCGCGCCCGACCCAGTCGAAGGCGCATCGGCAACGGCATCTTGTGGCTTGTTTTTTTGACACTGGTAAGGCAGTGACACTCCAACTTTAGTTCGTTATCGGAGCCGCAAAGGTGCCTAACTTCTGTCCCGATGCACGGCATTCATGCGACACACACACAGCACACATAAGTCAGTGTACACGCAAATATCATTTCTGTTCGCCTTCGAGTCGTGTCACACCGCGGAACGACCGCGGCAGCATGGTCTCGGCAGGACGGGACAAAACAAAAGCTAAGAGGGGGGGTGTCATTTGGGAGTCTTGCTCATGCGCACTGCCTGTCCCGATTCCCAACCGACGTTGGCGGGGCGAGCGTGGCGTCAAAACCCCGTCCCTCCCCCTTTTATTCCGCTGCAGCCCAAGGTTTTGACTTTTAAGCAAAGATGGGAAAAGCATGAAAGGGCTGAGTTGAACCGCAGTTCCCCCCCCTCCCGGAACGAAATACACACTCGTTGACCGGGCGCAGGCTGTGGTTGGATGGGTCGACAAGCCACAATTGAGTCCTGATCCAATAACTACCGAAGAGGGATCCTGCGCCCGACCAACCACGCAACGCAGCGCAAATCGCGGTTAGGCTGTATTTACATACATACGGTACAGTGTAGGTTCATTTAATACATGTCTTCGCATTGAAACGGCCGCCCTCCCCCCATCTGTGTTGGCGCGCGTAAGCCTTGCCCGGGATTCAATCCCGGTGTTTTATCAATGGTGGTCTCCCTTTTCTGTTTTTTTTTCCCCCTTTTTGCCTTGATTGTGGTGGTGGCGTTAGGCGCGCAGGAAATGGTGGGTTGATTACGTACCCGACGCCGGTTTCATGAGGGCTTCTTTGTTTGGGTATGTAAGCAAGGTAAGGTAAGGCAGTAAGTAGGGTAGATAGGTAATTGAATGGTGAATGGGTGGCATCCATATTCTTGACCGGTATGGTGATAAAGGCCTGAAGCGGGGAAATTTAGCCTGATTAATTAAATGGTTGTGAGGCTTCATTTTTGCTTGTTCTTTGCTCTGTCCTGTCCCTGGGGTGGTTCGTTTCGAGCGGGCTCCCTCTCTCTCTTTGTCTTGTTTCTTTTGCCTTGACTCCTGACTTCTGGCTTCGAATTCCAACTTCTGACTTCTGGCTTCTGTGACCTACCTTCTAATTTCTACCTTCGAATTCCGACTTCTAACTTCCGACTTCGACTTACACCCCCCTGTGGCCGTGACCCCCACGTAACAACCCCACGGATCCCATACTAACTACGTACACTCACCGACGCTGGGTAAGGTAACACCTCCCGTCACCGAGGCTGTGTAATGAATGATTTAATTAGGTAGCAGAATAATTAGGTATCAGAACTGTACTCTGCACCTTGCATTGTTTACACAGGTGACAACAGTAGGGAGGTAGGTAGGTAGATCTGCGTTCCGTTTGGGTGTCGATTCGAATCATTCCACGACACGGGTGACGGGCTAGTGTAGAACAACACAACTCGGCCGGACCGCACCCGGCGCAGGACCCGGCTGTCCTTCCGAACGTCCTTCCGAACGACATTCCAGCCGTCGGAAATCGGAAGTCGGAAGTTGGAAAGAAACAAATGTGTGATGCGATGCGATATAAATATTCCCGATCTTTTACGTGACATGACATGACAGGCAGTCAGGTGCATCTCGCCTTTCACCCGACGCCCCGGAAGCCTCCCTTTTCTCATGCCGACGATGATCATATTCATACCCTATCAAATGAGGTGAGTGTTTGGATTAGTATTTAGCTCGTTCCATGTCCCATCCCCCATCCGACACGACCCTTATGCGAGGGAGGCAAAGTGTGTTGTTGTGTTGCGTTGTGTTGTGTGAGGGCTGGGAGAGGCGAGGTGGGCTGACGTCGTTGTTTTGAGTTGAGAGGGAGGCGACCTAATGGGCTAAAATACTTACACAATATACACAGGGGGTAGGAGATGGGCGGTGAGAGATGGAGGGAAGAAGACGAGGCAATGAGAGTAACCATGCGGTAGGACTGGCTGACTGACTGACTGGCTGAGTGAGTGAGTGATCGCCTTGTACTCGTTTTTGTCGTGTGATCAAGGTTCGGTTCTGACTTTTTTTGTGGTTTATTTTGTTTTTCCGGGACTGATTTTGGTTTGATAGGTTTGGTCTAACAAGTTGTTGATCTGGTGGTCTTGAGATCTAAGTATCTTCTACTCACAGGTACAGCCCAGCCGGTCGGCCATCAACTTAACGTTGGGCTTGGTTCGATGCTTCCCCTCCTCCGACTTGGGCTTTCATTTTTCTCTTGTTTAAGTTGGTTTTTGCTTCTCTATTTCCACTAGTTACTCAAGTCCAAAGATATTGGGCATTCCATGCTGGTTGAGACTGGAAGAATTGATCTTACCTCTCTTTTTTCATCTTCATTCCCTCGTTACTTAATTATCCAAGAAACTTCCCTAACTTGCCCAGCAATCAAATGATTCACAAAGAATGAGGTTGTCAACCAAGCCCACTGAACAATCCTAACTTAAAAACAAAACGAACAAATCAAAAGTAAAATAAGAAAAGAAAAATTCAAAAAGCTCACACACCAAGCGCCTATCCCTATCTGAAGGGATATCGGTTGGTGGCTACAAAAATCTTTCCCGGTGGAAAGATTTTTCTTCGCTAGCCCCGGGAATCGAACCCGGGGCCACTTCGATTTACGACGGTATTGGCGTGGTGCTCCTCCAATACCGCTGGGCCAAACACGTTGTTTGGCACATTGGGAGGAGCTAGTGACTGGGGGAGTGAGAAGGGGGGTTATATGGGACGGTGGTGGTTTGGGGGGAGTGAACGTGCGGATTTGGTGGTGGGTGGTTGGGTTGAAAGTGTTGGCTTCATGGTGAGTTTGTTGTCTCACTGACTGCCTGACTGCCTGCCCGCCTACTGTTTTACTTTGCTTAACGTAGGTATTCTTGAAGGGGCGGGCCAAACGAAGAAGACGAGGAGATCTTATCCACTCTTCTGATAAACCAGGCTCTCTATCTACCAATCTCCCTAGAAAGAAAGAATGAAAGAAATCGACCGCTAATAACAAACACCCGACCCAACCCGATCCTACCCATCCGTTCGGGTCGGTTCGGCCATGTCCAGTCGGTGGGATAACCAACCCCATACAGCGACACAGACACAAGCGCAAGGCTACCGCACTCGTACACCACCACCATGTGTCTATCAAACTCACGCCTTGTATACATGGAGCACAAAAAGGAGCATGTGCGGCTGGTCTTCTGACCTACCTGCTTACAGAGGTACCTAGCTTAGCTCGATGTAGGATACATGTACAGTACATACACTTGCAGGGAACTCAAGATGATTAGGAAGGTGAGATCAGCTGTAGAAGTAAACCGCATACATATCGGGCAACTTTCCCCTACGCCGCACAAACGCAGGGTCACATGTCGACGTAGATTGTACAGGTTGGCGGATCGTAAGCCGGCATTGCTGATGCCCTCTGAAGTGGCGATGATTCGTCACGGTGGTATTCGCACGTAGTTGCCGTTCACTCAAACTCAGGAAAATTGCAGAGAATGATTTGCCAGTTGCTTGTTATCTACGAACTACCTGCCACTTTGAACGATGGGAAAACTACGCAGGTAATTAGTTAATCAACTGAAACGTTCAACTGCAGATGGCTCCTGTCCTCCCCCCATGTGAACCCGTCTATCTCCTCTAACCATCCGCCGCAGGCCCTTCCCACACAGCAGAGGGGCCTTGAAGACGACCTCAGCCCAACCGGTGGTCTTGCCGCTCCCACGATCAAAGTATCTGGTAACCGGAAAGGAACAAATGCAACGCGCCGTGGCGGTGAAGGAGCAAACGCCGACGTCCGGGGTTGGTGTAACGCCCGTGCCGGAATGCAACGCAAATAACGACCAACCACACACGGAAACGTGCCTCCCAAAAACTTGGTTTAGTTGACCGCAATGATGTCGTCCTCGAGGTCCCGATCAAATTCGTCGTAATCGTTCGTCGCCGGCGGGATATCGTACCTGAGGTAGTCGGGCAGCTGAGGCATCTGCTTGCGGGTCGGCTACTCCAAGGTTAGTATTGAACCCAAATCGAAAATTTCTTGCAATGCCTTGGAGGATTGTTACGTACCGGTCTGGCCCAGCCCTTGCGGCCCAGATTGACAGGACGACCGGTGCGAGCCGTGTTGGCGCTGGTGCCCGTAATGCGGCTACTACCAGTCACCTCGGTCGGGGTTTTGAGCTTGCGAGCAAACTCCCCGTCGGGGCCCCAGGCGTTGAAGGGAACACCCGGGCGCTGGGGCCCGTTATCACGGGCGGACACCGTCGCGGCGCTGCTGTCAGCGACTGAAGCGTTATCGGTGACGGTGGCCGACGAGCTCATGGGCTTGTTGATTGAAAGGGAACCCATGTCGGGGATGAGCCAGTGAGGCGCCCTCTTAAACGTGCCAGTCTCGGAGGGGGACGCGCGCATTCCAGGTCCCTCGCCGCTTCGGTCTTGGTATTGGCTCTGTGAGGTAACTGTAGAACCGACCGTCGACATGTTGTCGAGCCCACCGTCATACTCGGACGGAGCCTCGGACTGAAATCTGGTCAGCTCGGCATCTTTCGATCAGCACAATGATTGCTTACTCGAGAATCGGTATAACTATCCAGAACGTTCTCGGTAAGAACCTCCTGGGCCGCTGCCGCGTGCGTTCGGAAGAACGCGCCAGGATGCATCTCCTCGGCCGAAAGCTGGCCGCCCGGAGCCGGGAGGGCTTCGCCAGCCTCCGTCTTGAGCCTCCAGTCGTTGCAATCGATGCACCACTATCGACCCCACGAGTAAGAATCCGTGTTCCATATCATGCCCATGAGCAGAAGACTTACGTTCTGGCCTTTGGATCTCGTGCTCTTGCTGAAGAAACGCAAGTCCCTGGTACGGAGGCAGGGGCCCAGGCACTTCAGCTCCCGGACCGGCTGGTTGGAATGATCGGTGCAGTGGATACCGGTTTTCGAGGGGCTCGCTCCGCCTCTACGCGCAAGACGATCGTACTTCTCAAGCTGCCGGTGGGAAAACTCGGCGCGAGTCTTCCACTCGCCGTTCTCGCAGCGCAGGCGATCGGCGGACATGGCTGTGGTTGGCAGACGGATGACTTGGTTGAAAAGGGCTGTTGGGAGAAAAAGAACGGATGTTAGGAGTTTCTTGAGATTTTTTTTGAAGGGCGTAACGGAAAAAGATGGATGTGAAGGGAAGAAAGAGAATAAGTGTTGGTGTTGCGGTATGGGAGAATATTTGGGTTGTTGCCTAGGGCAGGGCCTAAATCTTATGCCCGTACCCGATCAACTGCCAGGGCCCTAGGGCTCCAGATGAAATAAGAAACCAAATCAGTGACATCTAGTTTGATTGTGCACAAAAGGCAATAGAAGGAAGCCTTTGACTAGTAGCACACCGCCTGATGCCTGGCGCACAAACCTGAAACTGGCTTCTGATTTCTTTGTTCATACAAGAACTCTGTTGCAGGAAAAGAGCCATAGAAACGGTCGTGAAAAGGAAACCCATGGTACTTACCTCAAGTTCCTATGGGATATCTGAGCATCTCGAGATGGTTCTCCCGCCGTGCCAGCGAACAAAGAAAAATTTGAAAACTGGCCTGGAATCAGGACTCATGGAAGGAGCTGTGTTCAGCCCCGCCCAGGTGCCAATAATTCAACAGGATTGGTGTCCATGTGATCTAAGCACAGGCAGGTCAGGTACGGGATATCCATAGATCGAATACAGTATGGAAGGAATGAGCCACCCCGGGCCGCGGGCCGTTCTCATTGTTCCAAGGCAAGTTCATTCCGTTGCCAGTGAGGGTAACGCCTTGATACGGACCATGTCCGAGCAGAGGCTTGGTCTCAACCTAAGCTCTCCCGCTATTCTCGTCACGACTAGCATGATGCACATGTTAGGGTTTTCAATAGCCCCCCCTTTCCCTCGACCCCTATTATCCACCCGTTTTGCGTAATGTTGATTTCAATGTGGATGGTAACTAGGTATGAAAGCGTAACATATCGATTAGGTTTCTTTAGCTTCCCGAAAGTTGGCACAGGGTTGACACCAGCCCGAGGCAGCGCCATGACATGTAATTACACTCTAGTTTGGCATTCCGTCTGTGGCGCACTCAGACATACAATGACCCAATGTATTCTTGAGGTCACATGAAATCATTGCTTTATTACGCACCCTTAAACCTTAACATTCCCTATCTGCGGGCTTCTCGGCTATCATACATCAGAGTACAGTCGCTAGCGAAATCGGCTTCCGCTTTTCTCTTTCACATCGTTTCAGCGCACAGGCCTTTTATACATCTAACCGCCTACACTGTGCGATCGAGCACGCGCCTAAGTATAGCAGGCACATGTCGCATAAGTTAACTCTTCGCCAAAACTAGACCTACGTCCAGCCAAAAGTGGGTGTGTGGAAGGAAAGCCGACTGTAGCAGTACGGGTTACAGACCCTACATACCAATTCAAAGCGTCTTGAGGCACCGATGAGTAGCAAAGATGTATTTGTCAACATTTGTATAAGTGGCAAAACTGAGTAGTATAAAGCAACCGTTTCTCCCAGGCCCTTCATTTGAGCAAAGATATGAGAAATATTTAACACTATGTTACGAAGCGAAATCAATCTGGAAGGATGTCACATGGCCAGAGGCATGCCCTAGGACCAGTGTATGATCATGCACTGATGTGCACGTTGCCCGGTAATCGGGAGGAAGCCAGAGAAGATTCTTTCCACCTCTGGTGATCCATTCACCATCGACAGAGAGAATATTACCTGCTAGTCTCGGGTTTCGAGAGGCGTACAAGCCTGAGTTCCCATCCAGCGAGAACGCTATCACTCTGACGTAATTGCTTTGCCTTGTGACGGAATCGCTATAGCCCTCGAGCGTCTGTTGGTGTACACCCGTCGCCGCATCCCAGAGCCGGATAGTCTCGTCCACCGAACCTGACGCAAGCGTTTTCCCATCCGGTGAGAACGCCACCGCCATAACGGAACGGCTATGCCCCTTGAGCGTCTGTTGGTGCGTACCCGTCGCCGTATCCCAGAGCCGGA